TGCTGGGATTTATAGTTCACCTACAATCAAGGAGCATTCTGAACCCCACCAATGATAGAATTGGGCCAAACAGAACCCCCATGACCAACAGAAAATCTGTGTTTTCTGATGGTCTTTCGCGACCCCTCTGACACCCCTTCGCAACCCCCCCAGGGGTCCCAACCCCCAGGTTGAGAAACACCGTCCTACAGGGTTCAGATAAAAACTCTATTTTAAAATTGACCCTTTTAACGCAAAAAGCACTGACTATCTGCGAGAAGATGGAAGCAGAGAACGGTGATCTTGCTACCATCAACAAAATTCAAATTTAAAAAATTAATATGGACATGCCACTAGTTTTAGCTTCCCTTGCCCTCGCTTAATCCCTATTTTAAGGAAATAAACCATTTTTTAATTTTTTCATCTTGTAGTTGCACGATCATTTAGGAGTGGGTTGACAGGCCAGTAGGCCGGGATGCCTTGTATTCATATATGGTTTTCCTGTATGTATGGGCAAGTGTGTATGCTTTGTATGTTTTGCAAGTTTTGATATGGTCAAAACTGACTAATCAATAAAGAATTGTTGTTTTTGATTCTTAGCACAGTTTGAATTATTCCTGCCGTATGGATTAATTCTGTATTTTTCCCTAACATTGCTTGGAAGGGAACAGTAATTGTTGTCAGATGTCAAAAGACTGTAGACTCATGGTTCCTTTGCTGTTGAATGTTTAATGCACATCCTTTCTGAAGGCACCAATCAAGTTAGGGTTATGGGCTTAATGCATCCCAAGCAAATGGCTATAGTGGTCAGCACTTAGCAGATTGCAAATAAATCCCAATGGTTCAGGGTCAGTGTGGGGCATTGTTCCACTCTTGGTTTGATACTCACTTGTGCAGAATCAGTGACATTATCTGCCACAGAAACTTTCTGTTTGTAGGAGTTAATTCTATATACTGGGTTCTGGATTGGTTTTCTTGTAATGTAGCCTTTTTTATTGTGAAACGTTCAGCATCCTCCCCTGCCCCCCACAAGCTTTTCTCTTCTTAAAAGCTTTAATCTGCAGTGCAAATCTCTGGTGCGAAGCYAGCAGCATGCTATAAGGCTCTCTGCAGTTACAGCTAAATCTGGTACAATATAAGCAYGTTTGCAAAATGCAACATGTATTGCTTTCTCATATTGYTAAGTTCARGTCAGTTCTTTTGCTCCCAGTGGTTGTTGATACACACACACTACACATAAATACACACACATAAATGAATARACTCACTCACATTTACACATACTTGTGTACYTGTGTATAATAATAAAAATAATAAACCTCACTACCTCTGAGGATGCTTGCCATAGATGCAGGRGAAACYTCAYGAGAAAAATTGCCTCCAGAACATGGCCATATAGCCCYGAAAAACCGACAACAACCCAAAAATAATAAACTTTATTTGTACCCCATCACCATCTCCCCAATGGGGACTCGGAGCGGCTTARATGGGGCCAAGCCCAAACAACAATTACAATAAAGAATGACRGAACGCAAACRYAAAACGCAAACAATAAACAACATCATAATTACATAAAACACATGAATAMACAACAATATAAAATTACAATAAACACAAAAATAAAAAATATGCAYTGCTTTTGATACAAAATAAATATTCATTCATTGGGTGAATATTTCACAATATTTGTAAAAATGGTTTTATTTAATGATTTCATGTATCCTACTAGATCAGATATTAAAACAATATAGCCCATTGCTATGATATTGTTTAAAATATGTCATGTTACATAAAGAAAAAAGTGATCCTAAAGGGTAAGTCTATTTGTGCATTCAAATGTGAACAAGTGCATCTGCACAAGCCTTGATTAGAATACAAGTCTGGTCCAAAGGAATGATATTTATTAGTTTTTGCAAATGTAAACTGAGCTGTGATTTTGTGCTTGCAAACATAAAAGATTAAATTAAATTGAACATTTTTTGATAAACTATGTAGTTCCTAAATCAGTTCCTCAATAAATACTTCCAAGGAATTGTATTTGGCTTCAAATTACTATCTGTATTAAATCACATTGAAATAGCAAGTAGGCTATGGGGAATGTGTTGTCGAAGGCTTTCATGGCTGAAATCACTGGGTTGCTCTGAGTTTTCTGGGCTGTATGACCATGTTCCAGAAGCATTCTCTCCTAACGTTTCATCCACATCAGTGGCAGTCATTCTCAAAGGTTGTGAGGTCTGTTAGAAACTAGACAAGTTAGGTTTACATGTCTGTAGAATGACCAAGGTGGAAGAAAGAACCCTTTATTGCTTGAGGCAAGTGTGAATTTTGCAATTGACCCAATTTTCTAAAATCAGGATAGTAAATAAAGAGAAATACTCAGAAAACAGGGGAATTCCAGCTAATCTCCTCCCAACAAAGGATTCCCCAAGGCAGGAAGCATCTAAGACTTGAAGCTGCAAGACTATTCAGTGCTAATCAAGGTGGCTAGTTGCAACATTCACACTTGCCTCCAATAATAATAATAATAATAATAATAATAATAATAATAATAATAATAGTAAACTTTATTTATACCCCACTACCATCTCCCCAAGGGACTCGGAGTGGCTTACATGAGGCCAAGCCCAACAACACATCAAAAACAACAAGCAATAATAAAATAACAAGCAATAAACAAAATAAACAATACAATTAATATAACTCACAAGTAGACAATAAACACAAGAATTTAAAAACATATGGCTGGAACAAATGTAATAGTTAAAACTTCAAAAATAAATGCTGGACATGAACAGAGGATGTCTCTGTTTGGAGGGTTTTGAATCAAAAGTAAGAGCAACCCAACAGACAAGAGTTCTTTCTGTCACCCTGGACATTATTTTATGGATGTAAACCCCACTTGCCTAGTTTCCAATAGACTTCACAACCTCTGAGGATGCCTACCATAGATGTGGGTGAAACATCAGGAGAGCATGCTTCTTGAACATGGCCATACAGCTTGGAAAACTCACAGCAAACCAGGCTATGAGGGCATTATTATTAAATGTGCTGAATACTAGAAGCGTTCAGACATTGCAACAGAAAAAGAAGTATGTCGCATCAGGAGGAAAACCAAATGTGTTTGATGCTATGGCATTTGATCATTCTGTTGCATTTATGGTTTGTAGCTCAAATTTAACTGTATGTGCAGATTTGAAATAATGATCAGTTAACCCCTTGCACATTTCAATAGAATCTATATAGCGCTGTGATGGCAATAGTTGCCATGATGGCTCTTAGAAGTAGGCTAAGTTGCAGTGTGCTAGAAGTGGGGATTGGAAGAAGGATGGTGCTGGTCATTAGAGTTGTACTTAATACTAAGCTTTTCGCCCTAAGTGAGGTTAAACAGCTTGTAATACAATACAATTTAGATAATTTTGGGAGACCTTGATCTGGAACTTGAAGCAGTGTCCCTAGCTGAACCTTCCAATTTGATATTAACAGTTTTGTTTTAATTTTTAATGTACTGTTAATGATTTCCAGCTTGTTGGGGCTTTTAATTAGCTAACTAGTGGAGTATTCCCAAAAGCCATGGTATGTCTGCCTTAACCCAGTTTTTGTACTTTCAGAGGAGGAATGCTGATAAATATAAAATTACTGGTCTTATTATTTATTTATTATTTAAAACATTGATATTCTGCCCTTCTCAGCCCAACTCTGGGGACTTAGGGCGGAGCACAGCATATACACGGCAAACATTCACATACAATACATAAACATTAAAAAACATTTATCAGAATATTAAAATACACCATTTAAAACCGTCCTTGTCATCCGCGTCAAATCTAATTGGCCTGGTCATCTTTCCTATTGCCGCTTTATTGCCCTGTCCTGAAAGCTTGGTCCCACAGCCCAAGTTTTTACCATCCTTCTAAATGACAGGAAGGAGGGGGGTGACCTGATCTCACCAGGAAGGGAGTTCCATAGCCGGGGAGCAATCACCGAGAAGGCCCTGTCTCTCTTCCCCACCAATCGCGCCTGTGACAATGGCGGGATAGAAAGCAGGGCCTCCCCAGAGGACCTTAATTTCCGCGATGGTTCATAGGGGGAGATGCGTTTGGACAGGTAATTTGGGCCGGGGCTATTTAGGGCTTTATAGACCAAAGCCAGCACTTTGAATTGTGCCCGGTAGCAAACTGGCAGCCAGTGGAGCTGGTGTAACATGGGAGTTGTATGCTTCCTGTATGCCGCTCCAGTTATTAACTTGCCTGCATCTCATTGGACTATTTGAAGCTTCCGAGCAGTCTTCAAAGGCAACCCCACGTAGAGTGCATTGCAATAGTCTATCCTAGATGTAACAAGAGCGTGGACCACTGTGGCCAAGTCTGACTTCCCAAGGTACGGGTGCAGCTGGCATACAAGTTTTAATTATTAGCTAAAAGAAACATGTTTGCAAACTTTCTCATGCATATGTGTGGTAATGTCCACAATTCATCCTATAGGAAAGGATTCCATGTTGTAAAATCAACTTGGAATATTCCATGCCACTTATTGGATGCACTTTCAAAGATCTCTGTCTAGTGTTTTTACTTGTATTGAGCCAAATTTCCTTTTCAAATGTTGATAACCTACCTATCCTCATAAAATTGGTGATTGGTTATAATGAGTGCAAGGGTGGATTCTTGATTTTTATGACTGGTAGTTGCAGCCATGGTGCATTAATATCCACATTCCCTCACAATCTGACCCCATCAGAGATTAAGTTCAATATTTCTGTTGTTTTTTATGTTCCAGACTTTGTCCATTGGAGTACTTGATATTTTTGGGTTTGAAGATTATGAAAGTAATAGCTTCGAACAATTCTGCATTAATTTTGCAAATGAACGTTTACAGCACTATTTTAACCAACACATCTTTAAACTGGAGCAGGTAAATATATAAGAATATACAGCTTCCTATTGATCATTGAGATACATTTCATTTGAAAATAATTACTCTATGTTACATCCTCCCCAGATCATAGTGATTCAAGAGTTGTTGCATTCTTTTTATTCGGGACTAGCTGTACCTGCCAAGCTTTGCTGTGGCCAACCTTCTCTCCCTCTTTATTTCCTTTTTTCCTACCCTTCCTTCCCTCTTTTTCTTTCCCTTCTTCTTTCTTCCTTCTCTACCTGTTTCTTTTCTTCCTTCCTTTGCTCTTTGGTTCCATCCTTCCTTGTCTCTTTCCTTCCTTCCCTCCCTCTTTTGTTCCTTCTCTCCTTCCTTCCCTCTCTCACTTTTTTATTTCCTTCTCTCCTTCCTTCCTTCTCTACCTTTATTTCTTTCCTTCTTTCCTTCCCTCCTCCTRCTTTCCTTCCTTCTCCCCTTCCCTCCTTCCTCTTCTTCTCTCCCTCCTTCTCTACRTCCTTCCTTRTCTACCTTCTTTCTTTCCTTCTTRCCCTCCTTTCTCTCCCTCCTTCTCTCCTTCCTTCTSTACCCTTTTTTCTTTCTTTCTTTCTCTCCCTCCTTCTCTCCCTCATTCTCTCCTTCCTTCCCCCTTTCTGTGTATGTTTTTTTTGTGTGTGTGTGCATATGTGTGTTTGCATATATATGTGGTTTTGCGCATGCGTTGTAATGTAATTTTGTTTTTTGGCTTTTTAAARCCCTTCTGCTGTGTTTTTCAGTGTATTTATGAGTGATGGTCACTTCTTGGCCTGAGAGGTGCATTGTGTCCAAATTTGGTGTCAATTCGTCCAGTGGTTTTTGAGTTGTGTTAATCCCACAAACGAACATTACATTTTTATTTATATAGATTAATAGGTGCTGCAGGCAGGAAAACATTGTTTCTTACTAAGGATACATTGAACAAAATCACTTATCTCCCAGTTGATGTAAAAACAATGCCTGCAGCTTAAGGCATTAACTTCTCCCTCTTAGTAAACGAATTGCCAGCCATCTCACACTGGGTCTCACTCACTGTTTATGGGGCCATTAATCGACTATGTGCAGAGCAGCCTCACAAAATGAGATTTTCAATGTACACAGTTGATAAAACATTTCCTGCCAAAATGCATATTCTCACTAGCACTTTGTTAGAAATTTGAACATGCATAGGAATGGCTTTTTAACACTATTGGTGACTTTACTATCACTGTACATGGAAAACACACACACATCTACAAACAATATTGTTTTTTGGTGAATGTTGCATAATTTTTAAAATCTTAATGTAACCTCTCTCCCCACCCCAGGAGGAGTACAGACTTGAAGGCATCAGCTGGCATAACATAGACTACATTGACAATACTGGTTGCATAAACCTCATCAGTAAAAAACCAACAGGATTGCTCCATCTTCTGGATGAGGAAAGCAAGTGAGTGTATTTTGTCTTCCCTCTTTTCTCGTATTGAGCAGAAATAGAAAGATATTTCTCTTGTAGGAGATAACAACCTTCTCAAGCCTCCTGTATTTGATGTTATGTCTGTTTATAATGTGTTATTTTATTTCCTGAAGTGTATGTCTTCTTTGGTTTGCAGTTTACTTAGCTCTATATACTTGAGGCAGTGGGAGGGGCTGCAGATCATGGGACTGTTTTAGAATACATTTTAAACATGATGACAGTTGAGAAATGACAGTTTTAAGGCTTGAGTCAGTTAGAATACAGATGTCAGTGTAGGACAGTGGTTCTCAACCTTCCTAATGCTGCGACTCCTTACTACAGTCCCTCATGTTGCGGTGACCCCCAACTACAACATTATTTTCGTTGCTACTTCATAACTGTAATTTTGCTCCTGTTATGAATCATCATGTAAATATCTGATATGCAGGATGTATTTTCATTCACTGGACCAAATTTGGCACAAATACCCAATATGCCCAAATTTGAATACTGGTGGGGTTGGAATGGGGAATTGATTTTGTCATTTGGGTGTTATAGTTGTTGGGATTTATAGTTTACCTACAATCAAAGAGCATTCTGAGCTCCACCAATGATGGAATTGAACCAAACTTGTCACACAGAATTCCCATGACCAGCAGCAAATAATGGAAGGCTCTGGTGGGCATTGACCTTGAGTTTTGGAGTTGTAGTTCACCTATATCCAGAGAGCACTGTAGACTCAAACAATTATGAATCTCTACCAAACTTGGCACGAATACTCAGTATACCCATATTTGAACACTGGTGGAGTTTGGGGAAAATATGCCTTGCCATTTGGGAGTTGTAGTTGCTGGGATTTATAGTTCACCTACAACCAAAGAGCATTCTGAACCCCACCAACGAAGGAATTGAACTAAACTTGGCACACAGAAATCCCATGACCAAGAGAAAATACTGGAAGGCTTTGGTGGGCATTGACCTTGAGTTTTGGAGTTGTAGTTCACCTACATCCAGGGAGAACAGTGGACTCAAACAATGATGGATCTGGACCAAACTTGGTACGAATCCTCAATTGCCCAAATGTCAACACTAGAGGAGTTTGAGGAAAATAGACTTTGACATTTGGGAGTAGTAGCTGCTGGGATTTATAGTTCATCTACAATAAAAGAGCATGCTGAATCCCACCGATAGAATTGGACCAATCTTCCCATACAGAACCCCCATGACTAATAGAAAATACTGTGTTTTCTGGTGGTCTTTGGTGACCCCTCTGACACTCCCTAGTGACCTCCACAGGGGTCCCGACCCCAAGGTTCAGAAACACTGGTGTAGGAAGTTAGAAACCAGTTAAGCCTTGAGTCAGCTTGAATACAGAAGTCTGTTTTTCAGTCTGATGTCAGTGTAGGAAGTTAGAAAACTGTTGATGCTTGAATTTCTTTGAAAGTAGACTCTTATGAAAGAGAACTGTACAGAACAATATAGTTTTTGAAGAGATGGTTAAAGACAATAAGTTAAAGATACAAACTGAAACATTTCAAAGTTTAAACTGACAAGAAAAGTGCCTGAATATTAAATACACGAAGTTATCAGTAAAGCAAACAAGTTATTTAAAAAGAAGTCTACTTGAATCTTTGTCTGCTGAGAGTGTCAATGGAAACAAGATATTTAAGAGTCCAACAATCATTCATTACCTATTTATTTATTTAGAACATTTCTATTGCGCCTTTCTCACCCCGCAAGGGACTCAGGGCAGAGCACAAAATATATGTGGCAAACATTCAATGCTAGCACATAAAACCATAAATATATAAATACATTAATAAACTAAAGGAACACTTCTGAAACTCTGCTACCCAAGAGGTTATGATCCTAACAGGTCATAATTCATAATCCCCAATAGATTGTGATCCTAACAGGTCATAATTCTTAACCCAATAATTCATGGTCCCAGGAATGATCCATTGGGGAACAACTCCCATCGTGAATGGCTAGTAGCATTCTTATCAGAGGATTCTGGGATTTCTAATCTCAAAAAGAATGGCTTTCAAATTCTAGTATAGAGTGCTTCTTTTATTGCGAGCAGCTAGCACCCTAGAAATAGAAATGTGGAAGAGGTTCTCATATGACTGTCCTACCAGATGTTTTACAGTTTTAATGGGTTCTTGGCATAGTAAGGGAACTTACTTAGGCGATCCCTTGTTGTCCGAGTAGGATAATCTTCCAGGGTGGGTCTGTAGGTGACCGTGGAGCCCTATTCTTGACCTGCATCTTCTCCCACAGTGAGGGCATTGGTTTCCAGGTGGAAGGCGGTCTCGGTCGGGGTTGGCTTGATGCACTTTCCTCTTGGCACGTTTCTCTCTTTTGCCCTCCATTCACGTCTCTTCAAATTCTGCAGCACTGCTGGTCACAGCTGACTTCCAGCTGGAGTGCTCAAGGGCCAGGGCTTCCCAGGTCTCAGTGTCTATGCCAGAGTTTTTAAGGTTGGCTTTGAGCCCATCTTTCAATCCCTTTTCCTGTCCACCAAGATTCTGTTTTCCGTTCTTGAGTTCGGAGTAGAGCAACTGCTTTGGGAGACGGTGGTCGGGCATCTGGACAACGTGGCTGGTCCAGCGGAGTTGATGGCGGAGGACCATCGCTTCAATGCTGGTGGTCTTTGCTTCTTCCAGCACGCTGACATTTGTCCGCTTATCTTCCCAAGAGATTTTGCAGGATTTTTCGGTGGCAGCGCTGATGGAATCGTTCCAGGAGCTGCATGTGACGTCTGTAGACAGTCCACGTTTTGCAGGCATATATCAGGGTTGGGAGGACAATAGCTTTATAAACAAGCCCCTTGGTCTCCCTACGGATGTCCCGGTCCTCAAACACTCTCTGCTTCATTAGGAAAAATGCTGCACTCGCAGAGCTCAGGTGGTGTTGTATTTCGGTGTCGATGTTGACTTTGGTGGAGAGGTGGCTGCCAAGGAAGCGGAAATGGTCAGCATTTTCTAATGTTCCACAATTAAGCTGTATCTCTGGCATTGGAGAGGGATTGGCCGGTGACTACTGGAAGAGGACTTTGGTTTTCTCGATGTTCAATGACAGTCCGAGCTTATAGTAAGGGCAGTATACATGAGGGATTTAGTGCACAGAAAATGAGATGCCAAGAGAAAATACATTGCTCTAAACCAATCCAATGAGCTGAAAGTCATTACAGGACATCTTGTGGGCATAAATCAATTCCCCTCCTGCTAAGAGTTAGGGACTTCATATTTAAAGGGAAAAAATGTGTTAGCATGATTAAAGTCCTGGCATCCTGTTGGTGTCTTACATGTGTATTAAGTTCTCTTATGCAAGCAGGTGCACATTTTTGCCCCATATTTTAACTGCCTTATTCACTAAAAGATTGTGAAAGCTATGTTATCTATATAGTGCCAGTGTGCATCATTGCCCATTACCCTTCATTGTGAATTAGATGCATGATTATGCATAGCACTGTGGTATACTGCAATCTGTAATGGGATGAAGTAGTGTAATTAACATGCAACTGAGTGTAAAGTTATGTTGTTCTACCTTAGTGCAGAATTAGCCAACTCTAAAATGGATACCAAAAGCTATTATGTATGCAGATCGCTTCATTCTGCACTGGTTGTGCTGATACTTAATGATAAGAATAGTATTGTGTTAGAACTGTTACACAGATTGTTGTGTCTCTATTGAAATAATATCTAGGTAGAACAAATTATGTATTAGGAAGTGTAATAGCCAATCTTAGATGTGTATTGTCTATGTACTGGAAAGGAAGAGTGGAGATCCAATCAATTACAGTCCTAGAACATGTTACTATTTATAAGAATGCTGCTTAGTATGCTGTCACAAATCTAATTTTTACTAGTTAATGATTCAGGAATTGGCTACATCTATTTGTAAGAAGTTTCATATGGATATGTATTTTTCAGTATTTTATATATGATCAAAATCATGTCACCAGAAAGAAAGCTTTCATGTTTTTCTCTCATTTTTTTAGTTTCCCGCAAGCCACAAATCAAACACTACTAGACAAGTTTAAGCGTCAGCATGAAGGGAACCTCTACATTGAATTCCCAACTGTGATGGAGCCTGCTTTCATTATAAAACATTATGCTGGGAAAGTTAAATATGGTGTGAAGGTCGGTATGTTGTTCATGGAGACTTATTTGTCCTGAAATATGTGTCTCTTACAGACATGCTAACATATTATTGCTCCAGACTCCCTGGAATAAATATACCATATATACTCGAGTATAAGCCAGTTTGTCAGCCCCTTTTTAAGGCTGAAAAAGCTCCCCTCGACTTATACTCGAGTCAAGGTTATTATTTTACTCTGATGATGATGATGATGATGATGATTATTATTATTATTTGAAGCACAACAAGATGAGTCTACAGCAGACACTCTGCTGGCTGTTGAATTGGATCACACGTCGGACACTTCCCAAGTGTCTAGGACTGTGTGATGTATCAGTGAATAATGTGTGCAGATCCCAGTAAGGTGGCCTTCTGCAGCTGGCAGATGGTAATTTTGTCAGCGCCAATTGTGTTTAAGTGCAGGCCAAGGTTTTGAGGCACTGCACCCAGTGTGCCCATCACCACTGGGACCACCTTTACTGGTTTGTGCCAAAGTCTTTGCAGTTCGATTTTTAAATATTGTGTCATCTTTTCCAGTTGTTTCTCTGCAATCCTGCTATCACCTGGGATTGCGACATCAACGATCCATACTTTGTTTTTTAACACGATTGTGAGGTCAGGAGTATTATGCTCCAAAACTCTGTCTGTCTGAATCCGGAAGTCCCAGAGGAGTTTGGCGTGTTCATTCTCTGTAACTTATTCCGGCTTGTGATCCCACCAGTTCTTTGTCGCAGGCAGATGGTGTTTGTGGCACAAGTTCCAATGAATCATCTGAGCAACGGTGTTATGCCTTTGCTTGTAGTCTGTCTGTGCGATCTTCTTGCAGCAGCTCAGGATGGGATCTATTGTTTCATCTGCTTCCTTGCAGAGTCTACACTTGGGATCTTTTGTCAACTTTTCAATTCTGGCTTTGGTGGCCTTGGTTCGAATGGCTTGTTCTTGGGCTGCCAGAATCAAGACCTCCTTTGTCTCCTTTTTCAGAGTTCCATTTGTGAACCACAGCCATGTTTTTTCTTTGTCAATTTGGCTCTCAATTTTTCCCAGGAACTGTCCATGGAGAGAGAGCCTTCTTTGGCCAGTTTTCTTGTTATTATTATTACATTTATTATTTTTATTTATATTTTTAATAATAATAATAATAATAATAATAATTATTATTATTATTATTATTATATTTATTATTTTACGAACCTTCAAAGACTAAGATCTTCTGGGGAGGCCCTGCTCTTGGTCCTGCCACCATTTATTTATTTTTATTTATTTATTTCTGGTACTTCTACCCCACCCTTCTCAACCCCCGGTGGGGGACTCAGGGTGGCTTACAAAAAGGCAGAATTTGATGCCTATACAAGATATACATACATACAAAACAGCAGTTAAACCAATTAGCGAATTAAAATAATCAGTACATAATACAATCAGTAAAAACTAATCTCATGTTCAGCGTTCAGAGTTCCGTAGTTCCATTCCGTTTTGTCCATTCCATCGTCAAGTCCTTTCTTTCCTTCAGAAAGATGGTAAAGACCTGGCTGTGGGATCAATCTTTAGGGAAGTACAGTGAGACAATAATAGGAAACCTACTCCACTGACCGAAGCCAGCATGGTGTCTTGAGCTAATTTTAAAGTAGATATAATTGATGTTAATGTTTGTGTATATTTATAAGTATTTATGTTCCGGCATGGAATGCTTACCATATTTAAATTGTGCTCCACCCTGAGTCCCCTTCAGGGTGAGAAGAGTGGAATCTAAATGTTTCAGATAAATAATAGACTATGCTTTAAAGCTGTTGTGACCCAAACCCAATTCAAAATGATGTTTTCACAATGACAATATACTTGTTAGATCTTTATTCTGTGTCCTGTGATTCAGCAGAACACAGAATGTGGATGTTTGATGTTTTATATTTAGATTTAATGTTAGATATAATTGTATAGATAGGTTACGTTTCATTTAATCTGTTTGTGTCATGCTATATGTTATTTTCACGTGTGGGGTTATTTTAGGATATTATGTCTACATTTGTTATTGTACTGAGGCATTGAGTGTTTGCCTTTTTTATTTGTTGGAATCAGCCCTGAGTCTCCTCGGGGAGATAGGGCGGAATATAAAGTAATATTATTATTATTATTATTATTATTATTATTATTATTGACACAAAAGCACAGAATGTCACAGCAAATGAGATCTCTATGCTGGATTTCGTATCACAAAATCACAAGTCGAACACTTCCCAGGCGTCTAGGACTGTGTGATGTATTTTCGAATGATGCACACAAATCCAAGTCAGGTGGCCTTTTGCAGTTGAGAGATTGGAATTTTGTCGATGTTTATTGTTTCCAAATGCTGGCTGAGATCTTTTGGCACGGCACCCAGTGTGCCCATGACCACTGGGACCACCTGTACTGGTTTATGCCAGAGCCTTTGCAGTTCAATTTTGAGGTCTTGATAACAGCTGAGTTTTTCCTGTTGTTTTTCCTCAATATGACTGTCACCAGTAATCAATAATCCAGACTTTTTTTTTCTTTTCCACAATCATGATGTCTGGTGTATTGTGTTCCAAAACTTTGTCAGTGTGGATTTGAACATCCCACAGTATTTTTGCGTGTTCATTTTCCACGACCTTTGCGGGTTTATGATCCCACCAATTCTTTACAGCTGGGAATAAATTCTTTACTACATTATTATTATTATTATTATTATTATTATTATTATTATTATTATTATGCCTAAATCAAAAGGAATGCAGCCATGAGAATAAAAAGGCCAATACTTCTTCCTTACTTGCCTCTAGGATTTCCGGGAAAAGAATACTGATCATATGCGGCCGGATATTGTGGCACTCCTAAGAAGCAGCAAAAGTGCCTTTATCTGTGGAATGATCGGGATCGATCCCGTTGCTGTTTTTCGCTGGGCGGTCCTCAGAGCTTTCTTCAGAGCTTCAGTGGCATTTCGGGAGGCTGGGAAACGGTACACTGAAAAGAAACCTGGTAGGTGTCTAGTATTGTAGCTCTCCCTTCATATGGAACTTTTTCACTCTTGCATCTCTGAAGATTGTGCTTTTGACAACTAATCTAAAGCCAGATCTTCCTCTGTGAAAACTGCTGAAACATTTTACAATACATTTTTTCCAAAGATGAATATTGAATGCCATAAGAATGCTCTGGTACAATAAATACATTTTGAAACAAAAGATCATTGTATTGGTGGGTAACCACTTTCTTTACAGGGTTCTTCTTGGAGTGTATGAATTATACATAAATTCTAATAGTGTGTTAAGCATTCATGACTAGAATACTTTGGCAGCAAAATATTTTTGAAAGAAGCACTTTGAACTATTCTGTCATGTAGACAATAATTCACAAAGGGTAGTTGTCTGAAACATACTGGGTTTTTTTTTCTTGTGAAATATGAAATAATAAAGTAAATACTTAGCATCATAGAATAGGAGAACAAGCATGGATAGGATAGTTTCACATGGGTCACCTGCATAGGACACCTTCAGGACCTTCTTAAATTGAGCAGTCTTTTAGATCGGACTCTACAAATTCTTCCGTTCCTCTCTATCTGCCTTAATGGTTACTTTGGGAAAAGCTTTCTCTGACGTTCCAGCTAAAATATTAAATGTTCCTTTCTTTTTCTCCTTTAAGTTCTTTCTAAATTTTATTGATTCCTTTGTGCTTCTCCTTTCATCAGTATATCTTCTTCTGGTCAACTTGTTTGGGGACTTTTCTGCTCTGAAGGATTTCTTTGCAAAGTGTATGCATCGCAGAAGCAAGATGACCAACATTGATGCTTGCTGTGTTTGAATGAAGAATATGAGATCAATTCCTGTAGCTGTTGGGAAATATTTACACCTTTGAGGTTCAGGAAAACAGAAGTTCTAGAGAAGGATAGAGCATTACATTCTCTGGATTTTCAAAATATGTTGGCTTTTTGTCTTGAGTGCACTGCAGGCTATGAAAAGTCTAAAGTGGGGGAGGTCAGTGCTTCTTTCCGGCAAAAAGATGTCATTTGTGTTCATGAGGATATATTCACTGGATAACTAGTGAATAAGAAGAAATAAATTTTTAATAAAGAAAATAGATTTTATAATAAATAAAATAAATAAATAGTACAGTTTGGTGTCAGTTGGATTACTGTGCCACTTACACAGAGTCTTAAGGGGAACTCTTTCAGGGCACTAAGGAATAATACTACTAATAATAGTAACAATAATAAGATATTTTTGGACCACCGTTATCTCTCTGAGGGGACTCAGGGCGGTTTACACACAAAAAGACAAACATTCAATGAGCTCAGTAGTCACTGTCTGTGAAAGATGTCATAATTATGGTTTGAAGGCACTCTTCATGTGCCATCATAAGGGCTCAAGCAGGTGCTAATTCACTCAGGGACAGAGAGTATGTGTCATGCTAATCTGTGCAAAACTAAATCTAAACTGTAACTCTAGCAAGGAAAAAATAGTTTTGAGAGGGGGGCAGTTTTCAGTGGGAAAGAGGCAAAGAAGGAGTCTCTAACAGGGAATTCCAAGGAAGAGGAGCTGCTTTGTGAAAATGCAGCAGAAGACCAGGACAAGGAAACTTTTAACCATGTGTTCACATCTGTTCACCCTAACAGAGCCATTGTTTTGTGCAGAATCCATGTCTAATCAGGGGGAGGCAAAGACAAGCCCCTCCAAACAAATCGTGCCAAAAAAATCTCCATGATTTGGGTAGCTGTAAGTTGGAAATGAATTGAAAACACACAGCGAACAACCAATGCCACTTTAACAGTATATAGAGGATGAGAACTGACTGCTAAAATGAATTGGTTTGACTTTAATCTGGTTTTGTGGGGGGAACATTTTATTTATTTTTATATTTAATTAAAACATTTATATTCCGCCCTTCTCACCCTGAGGGGGACTCAGGGCACAGAGCACAACATATATATGGGAAACATTCAATAAAATAAACTATAAATATACACAAACACTAAAATCAGTTATCTCCACTTAAAATCAATTGTTTAAAACCATCTCAGATCACCTATACTGGATCCGGTCAGCAGGGTAGAATTTCCTATTGTTGCCTTATTGCACTGTCCCGGTGGCTTTTAGACTTTTATAAAGTTGTCCAAGTGGAATTATTGGCTTTTTACTCAATTTTAATGTTTTGCACCTGATAAAACCTCTGACATAAGTATCCCACATGCATACACCAGTACATGTTTGTGATAATGCACAACCGTTAGTTTAACTTTCTTCGTTATTTTGCAGTAGTTGTAGCTTTTTTCTATAGGTATGAGGAAGGTCACCTCATGGCTATTCAGAAAACACTGTGAAAGATGATCCCTCAAATTTTAGACATTTCCTTTACAAAATGATCAGTTACGTTCATGGTACAAGTAGGAGGTATCTCATGCCTTGTCTAGTTTGACTTGCTAAGTTCTTTCACTTTGTTGTTGTTTCTGTTTGAGTGATGTTGAACAATTTCTGAAGATATCTCTTTGCTCTGTGTAAATGCATTTGACCTAAATCTCTATTTATTTGCAGTGTTGTCTTCTGCAGTTTTTGTACTTGTGTTTTTGTAGTATAACATGTAATATATGTCTGGGATATTTATAAAGGCAGACAAATTTAAGTGTCAACACTTTTTTTGTGGCGCCTGCAAACTTCTTAGATGAGAGTCTGCAAGTGAGCAAAGTGTACTGCTATTTTTTGAGGTCTTAGACTTTCAGACTTCCCAGGCACCAATTATTCCAGCTAAAAAAGGACTGAAGGGACTTTTAAATAGATAGCAGGACCCTTGCACTGTTTAATGTAAAAGAAACCAACAGTTGTGTAGCCAAAAGTAGTCCATTTTGGGCAGTCTCTATCACCCTCAGAGGCAGAAAATTGCTCTGCATTTGTCCAGCCCTGTCATCTTTATTGTATTTTGGTAACTGAAAATAATATTTTTCATTCTCCCCATACAATATTCTGTAAGAAAAATCAGCAATATGTACTAAAATTGATTAGATAACAGTCACTTCTTAATTTTGTGATCTTGAGCTTATAAAGAACTTCTTAGATCTAGAGATGATTTGCACCATTGCAACGTTTCAGTAAAGTTGGACCAGTATTATATTTTGCTACAATTCTTCCTGTATCCTTTATTTTAAATATTATTGTTGGGTTCACCTCACAATTCAACAACTTATTGAGTTAGCACAAGAGATGTTTGCAAGTGTTATGATTTCAGAACAATCATAAAAATAGTAATTTTAGTTTACCAGAGTAGTGGTTATCAGCCATAAAGACCAAAACTCCCCTTATCTAGGATCCTATTGGTCCAGTTAAGGTTTCATCTTTAATCACTGAAATGTGGGATGTGTTGTGTTTAATGAAAACGGAATGATGTAAATATAAACCCTTGTGCAATATAATTGCAGTGCAGTTTCACTCTTGATACAAGGTAAACCAGGGAGTCAATAATTATGATTTTGGCAGCATCTTTTCCTCCATATTTGAAGAGCACCTCTTTAAGACCCAGAAAATTGCCTTACAATTGCTCAGGGTGAGATCTCAGCCTATCTTGTCTTGTGTAATCAATCTGAATTACTAGGAATAGGTAGCTGTTGTCAATATGCAGAAAGAAAACATACCTTTTGAATAATTCTGTGTCGATGCAGCAGTTGTCCGCACTGTGTTTGACTCTTCCTTGGTTTCTGCTTATGTAATCTTTCTCTTCTCTCCATGTTTTTGTTTTTGTTTTGCTTCCCAAGGGCATGATGATGCGGTTTTGAAAAGTGTGGATAGTTTTAGCTTTCTCCATCACCCAGTTCACCAGAGGAGCTTAGAGATCCTGCAGAGATGCAAGGAGGAGAAGTACAGTAAGGCGCCATATCCCACCATCTCTCTGACATGACACTCACACACAGCAGGAAATGGAAACCAGGAGCCTATGGAATGGCACGGGCAGGCAGCCATGCTTGGACCCATTTAATGCAGAACATAGTGCCCCCCTTAATGATAGAATAAGAGAACTGTTAGTGCCCTTCAAGTGGGAATTTCTCAGTGGCATGGAGCCTAGAAGCTTGAAACAGGTGCTCCGAGCTTTCCTTTAATCATAAAAATGCACAAACTTGAGTGAGGCATGCAGCCTTTTGACCAAAAATAATTATGGTTTGGTCTTCTCTGTGTCCCAACAATTTGATTAAACACTTTTTAAAATATCAATGACTTTTAGATACTAGGAGGAATATTTTACCATGCATTAATATTCCAGAGACAGCTAGGATTCTTCAGTGGGATTTGACCAAACTTTGGTCCTTTTATTGTCCTACCATAATATCTGCAGATGGATTTAAAAAAAAATAATTGTTTCTCAAATTCCTGCAGTTTCCAAAGACTTCACTGTAATTAAGACATGTTACACTAGGATAAGGTTTCTTTGACCTAATAGAATAGCAGGGATGCACTTGGTCTCCATTTCCTTCTTCTCACTTCTGTTTGTTACATAATGAACTAGTCCTGCATGACAACCAGGCCCGTTTGCCTTTGTTACTAATGATGGCTGGATTCCTCTTGTGGGAATTAAAGGGATCCAGCAGCATGAAACATAACATCCTCTGCCGTAAAGAGTAGCACATAATGTTTCCTTCTTACTGCTACATCAAGAAGGTTGCCATAACGCTAGTTTGCCCATCAAATAGCTTTGCCTGAGCAGTAATGCTTTCATCTCAGTGATCAGGTGCATCACAATGACAAGACTCTTCAAGCAGGAGATAGCAGAAATATATTGAAAGCTTGCCTAATAAATGGTAGAGAAAATGTTTCATCTTTGCGATAAGCATTCGTGGACTTTTATCCCAGGGAGGGTTTAAGCCTTTTTCCTCCATTTACCATTTGATGTACCATAAAAGTTTACGGAGATATCACATTGCTGCTAACCTTGGTAAAGGAAATATTGCTGTTTCTGTTGATTATCTGCTGGAGCCCCAATCCCTTCCTTCCAAAGTCTGCTGCTTTCTCTGAAGGGGAGATGGATATAATATTATACATGTAATATAACTAAAAAATATTACAATATAATGGTATAGTGTAATATAGTAATATATAATACTGATATTGTACTATGCTAATAATATAATATATTGTATGTATATATATCTTGTAAGCTGCGCTGAGTCCCCTTTGGGGTGAGAATGGCAGCATATAAATGTTGTAAGTAAGTAAATAAATAAATTTGAATTATTCGATTTTGAAAACTGAACAGGCTGTTATGAGGCTATCATAACCGCCTGCTCCAAAGTCAATTCTGGATGGAACATCATTAAAAACCGCCTTCCTAGATCAGGCCAAAAGGTCATCTAGTTCAACATCATGACTGAAATACAGATAACTTGTGTATTATCACAATGTAAATGAGGCAATGGCAGTACGAGTAAAAAGCCTTCAGACACAGCAGCACTGGGAGAAAGATCAAACTGTCTCCTTTATCTGCATTTCCTGGCTTCTGGGAGGTTTCCTAAAACCAGGGTGCTCTGGGAAGGACAGCAATGAAAAATTTCCCATAGACGACTTTCTAAGACAGCCTTCTCACCTGATACTAAAGACCCAGTCTTTGAATAAACAGGCTGCTTGGGAAGTGGCAACTTTCTCCCCAACCTCTGTGCAGCCCTGCAAAGCCATTACACCAGCATAATCGATCTAGCGTGATCAATTGAATTCTGGCCTGTATGATTTGCTTCCTGCCAACTGACTTGGGGATGCTTGAAACCAACTACCTTCCTCTAGTTTTTGATATTCAGGAGATACTGTCTCAGAATTTCCAACGAGACGCTATGGGAAAAGTTGTTGATCAGGGATATTCTTGATTAATTAACGTGATCATGAATAAATACAAGCATTAAATCTAGAAGAGAATGACATATTTGGTGATAACTATAAACCGTAAGGTGAACTTTTTCTTTCTCGTTTTGTTTGAGTCTACTGGTAATGTGTTTTGTTTGATGACCTTGTATTCCATCATTGAAAGAAGAAGAAGAGGTTGTTTATCTGTATGTAACTGTGGTTCTTTGAGGCAGAAATGTTATTCCACCTGCTTTTCACTCTGTCCCTACTGTTACAGGCATTTACAATCCTTCCTCATTTGTATTTTTTCCAAAACGAAATGTTTCAGTCTTCCTCCATCTCAGCAAGTGCCTCAGCCCTGAATTTCTTTAGTTTTTCTTCATGGTGTGCCTACCGCACAGAAATGGGTTTTCATGCCTAGGCAGGGACTCCATTGGGATCAGGCATGTAGCCGGGGGGGGGGGGGGGCTTGAGGGGCTTCCCCCCCCCCCCCGAACTTCTCGAGAAGGCCCGAGAAGGCCTTACTGGTACATTATTTAAACTGTTATGTTTATACATATCATATCATGATCTGATCACCATGCTCAATATATCCCATATGCATGGGGTATTGGGATAACGATACAAAAGGTTTGCGAGGGTAGATCCTCAGCGCCCCCCCCCCAATCAAACTCAGCACACACACACACACCCCCGAAGCAAACTCAGCACCCCCCGAATCAAAATCATGGCTACGGGCCTGATTGGGATGTTCTAGAACTGAACAGCTAGGAGGACATCAGTCTCCCTCTTTGTTTCCTGTCTTATTTCCTATTATTTTGTTATTTCTTCTAATTGCTTATTTCCTTTCTACTTTAGCCTGTTAACTGCTTAAAGAAACCTTTCTCTTTACCTCCCGTTCCCATCCTTTCCCCTCAACCTCTAGTGGACTCTACTTCTCCATTTAAAAATAATTTCTCTTGAGGGTGCAAAGTCATTTTATCTGGCATCCATTGGTTGAGAGACATGTAATCCAACAGTATTCAAATTCACAGGATTCACCATTCAGGCTTTGAAAAACTGAGCCTCACATTTGCGTTTACACCTCTACTAGACGTTTCTTTGAATTTCTGAACAAGCAGCAGCTTGTAAGTAACTTTACACTGCATCTGAAACTGTTACAGAACTGAGGGACAAGTCAAAACTTGCTTTGGTATCACCCACCTGAGGACTGATTCTATAGTCATCATATCTCAAGCTTCGATTCCAATAAAGTCTTCCCCACAGACTACTGAGGTTCTGGTGACCAGTGTTTCAGGGCTTCCAGACTCATTGTTTTCCTGTAGGGTCAGCAAGATATCTGAGAAGGGTTTGGGAGATCCAACTTTATCCGCTCCAGAGCACCCTTCCATCTCATAAGAAACACAATGCTGCAGAGGAGCAAGGATCAGTTTCTTAGGAACCTGAGAAGAAGAAGAAGCAAAAAGGTGAAGCATTCCAATAAGCCCTCAACCTAGCTTTTGGTTACTACTCCTTTGGTGCCAACTGTTGAGGCAGTCATTACTGTACCCGCTTCAATATTATGTTTTGGTATGTCAGCCCCAACTGTGCCCAGTGTTCAACTGAAGTAGGACAACAACACGCAACAACACGCGCCTTCCCCTTCACTCCATCTAACACGACCAACTTTATCAGGTCAGTCATTGAGGGCTTTCTTCCATCATCTAGGTGAGACAGATTCCCATCCTATAGAGGTCTTACGTGCCTTCTTGTCCTTCCTACAGATAATATGGCTGTCATGAAGATTCACCATTTATTTCAGTATTTTACCAATGGGAGCGTCTTTGGAGAGAGGCCCCTTGATTGCATAATTCCTCCTGTTTTATAGAAATTAGGCTTGGGCAATCCATGGTTCTAAATGGTTCTAAAGTACTTACAAAACTAAAGTTCTGGTGGTGAAAATTTCAGAACTCTAACAAAACTCTCAAAATTTCATAATAAATGGCAGTTCCTAATTGGTTCTGTCATTAAAATCACCAATAATGAAATAATAATTAAATTTTGAAAGTTTTGTTAGAGTTCTGAAATTTTCACCACCAGAACTTTAGTTTTGTAAGTACTTTAGAACCATTTAGAACCATGGATTGCCCAAGCCTAATAGAAATCTGTAATATGTCCACGAAACCATCTACCATTCCACTAGTAGATCTCTGTATGGATTGTACCATAGTTGGCCCGCATCTATCACAGCTCACTCTCTGCAACATCGGCCACCTTCAGTTCCACGCGGTCTGTTGACACCACAATCACCTAGATGTCTACCAGCTCTGCATTCTGTGCCCATAACACTTTGTTCTTTGGTACTGATTAAATATCCAACATACTGTCGTAAGCATTACAGTCACCCACTTGTATGAGGCACAGAGACCGTTAGGAGGAAGAAGAAGAAGAGGATGAAAAGGAGGAAAAGAGGTTGCTTATCTGGAACTGTGGTTCTTTGTATGCTCAGCTGCACTTTCCTACAAACCCACGCTACCTCTGCTTTTTCCAGGTCCCTGTTGATTATTTTTGGGGAAATTGAGGGTAATTTGGCGGGCTAAGATATGTCAACCTTCTTAGCTCTAGAACATTCTTATTCTATGCAGGTGTGAAAACCTTTTTGTATGTGGGTACAAATGATCACAAGTTCTTGGTGGGATGTGCATACCAAGCTACCTTGTCTCTCTCCTGAGGAATCTGTATAAGGACCAAGGAGCAGCAGTCAGAACTGACCACGGAACAACAGGGTGGTTCAAGATTGGGAAAGGCGTACGGCAGGGTTGTATACTCTCACGCAACCTATTCAACTTGTATGCAGAACACATCATGCAATGTGCAGGGCTTGACAAATGCAAGACTGGGGTGAAAATTGCAGGAAGAAACATTAACAACCTTAGAGATGCAGTGTTTTGATTCCTAATGTTGTTGAAGATCTTATCAAATAAGGGGCATTTGGAAGAGAAGTAGCCAATGACCTGTAGGATTGAGTTATTCACAGGCAGAGTTTTATCTTTTGATTATTCAGATTTTTCCATTGTAAATTCTTTGGCGTGACTCAGTTGTTGAGACCAGTGTTTACAATGCCGGGCAAGCTTGGCTGATAGTGTTCCATTGGGCTTTTCCTTCTGTGTTTGTTTTCTAAATTACTTTCAACTATGGTTCCTCTGTAGGATTGCTAGTAGATCCTGTGGTCAACCATGGTTTTCTTCATTTTAACAGCTTGTGTTAAATGTATGGCATCATATTACCAGCCATGGCTCCTCTTTTACAACATTCTCCTCCGCCCTCATTCCCAGCATGTTATCATTTTCAGAACATTATTGCAGGTCCGTGATCTTTTAATTTGAAGCACAAAATTTTCTTTCTCACAAAATAGAGTGTTAATGTTGTTGTTGATATGCTGCTACAGGTATTGCCCGAAAACACCCAAGGACACCCCTTTCAGACCTTCAGGGCGTTAACACAATCAATGAGAAAGCCCAACGGTAAGTCAGATTGAGAAATGAAACTGCTGAAAACAAAAAGAGTACTGATTAAAAAAGATCAATGCCTGCCATTGATCATTATTTTTTTATGAAAGCTGGAGATCTTGTATTTATGGTTTCTGTCTTGTAGAGATGCCTATGGGGTTGGCTGGAATAGCAGGATGTGTGTCCGACAGAGCCGGCTCTCCAATCATAGCAGTTTTCTGGATAAAGATGGAATATTTGTGAATTCTACGAACAGCAAGCTTCTGGAGAGAGCCCATGGCATTCTCATGTGAGTGAATATTTTCCTTTTCTTTGAAGGACAAGATTGATCTGAAGGGATAACAACACATATGGGAGAAACTAGGGTGAAAGAAGCCCTGGATAAATTTTTCTTTCCTTTTCAGCATCTATTGCAGGTATGGGCAAACCCAAGCCCTGGGCCTGGATGCGACCACTTTCTCAGGCCCTCCCCTCTCACCATAATATCTTTCCTTTTCCTTCTCTCTCTCTTTCTCCTTTTCTTCCACCCTTTCATCCTTCCTTCCTTCCTTCCTTCCTTCCTCTCTTTCCTTCCCCCTCCCTTCCTTCCATCCCTCCCTTCCTTACCTCCCTCTTTCTCCCTCTCTCCCTCCTTCCCTTCCACACTTTCCTCCTTCCTTCATTCCCTTTTCCCTCCCTCTTTTAACTCCCTTTCTTCCCTTTTATCTTTCCTTCCTTCTCTCTTTCTGCCCTCCCTTCCATCTCTCCCTCTTTCTCCCTCTCTCCATTCCCTTCCTTCCTCTCTTCCTTCCTTCTCTCTTTCCTTCCTCCTTCCCTTCCATCCTTGTCCTTCCTTCATTCCCTTTCTCCTCCTTCTTTTTCCTTTCTTCCCTTTTGTCTTTCCTTCCTTCTCTCTTTCCTCCCTCCCTTCCATCTCTCTCTCTCCATGCTCTCCCTCCTTTTCTCCCTCCCTCCCTTCCTCTCTTCCTCCCTTCTCTCTTTCCTTCCTCCTTCCCTTCCACCCTTRCACTCTTCCACCCTTCACTCCCTTTTGTCTTTCCTTCCTTCTCTCTTTCCTTCTTCCTTACCTCCATTCCTTCCCTGTTTCTCCTTCTTTCCTCTCTCCTTCTTTCTCCTTCCTTCCTTCCTTCCTTCCTTCCTTCTCTTTTTTCTTCCTCCTTCCCTTCTTTCCTTCCATCACTGGACAGCCAGTTCTCCTAGCAAGGAGTGCTAGCATGCAGCCCCCAAGTTAGAAAGTTTGCCRGTGCCTGATCTGTTGCTTGAGGGATACAAATTACTATTTGAAAATTCTCAAAAGCTTCCCATTGGAGAGTGAAGCAGTTTTCTCAAGTAGCTGACTTTAGATGTCCTGATGTTGTATGCTTTATTTATTTATTAATTTTTATTAATACATCCATTTGATTAACAAACTTTTGCTATACAAATCTTGTCTTGATATACATTATTCCAAAAGCCACTTCACCTTAAATGACTCTTTATATATTCCTTAGATGTGTATCACCCGTTACCCATGCCCCCCCATTTCCCCCCTCCCTCCTGAAACAGCAATTCCAAATGAAGTTTTTGCATCAGTTTAACCATGTGGAAAGGCTGGTTCAAAATGCTGTATCTATGATCTCCATCTGTTTTGTTGGTTAGAATAGACCATTTCCTATACCAGTCTTGGTTTGTATGACTATTCGTATACTTGTTTTTCCTTTGATTAATGAACTCATTGATTATGTATTCCGAGAGATAGGACCACCAAGTTTCCAAATCCCATCTTGTACTGTCTCTCCGTCATACTATTATACTCTATATTGCGGCTCTCATATATTTTAGGATTTCTGTCAAATTATTGTTATCCTCCTTTGCCCCTATAGTGAGAGACATGAATCTGGCTTTATCCTTATGTTTTATCCTTATGTTTGTCCTTATGTTTGGTTCTTATGTTCTATGTATATTGGTTATATGCTTTGATGTTCTATACTTTAATGTTATGTTGTTTATTTTATTGTAATCTTGTATGTTTTGTATTGTAATTTGTTGTTTGGGCTTGGCCCCATGTAAACCGCTCCGAGTTCCCATTGGGGGAGATGGTGGTGGGGTATAAATAAAGATTATTATATTATTATTATTATTATTATTATTATTATTATTATTATTATTATTAGTATCCCACTAATTTTTTCTGATGTTGTATGCTTCTGATAAAAGATGCATGTTGTGTCATTTTAAATTTTTTTTTAATCAAAAATAACTTCCACACACAAAAGTGCAAGATTTGTTTTCATGTCAGGAGCAACTTGAGCAACTCCAAGTCACTTCTGGTGTGAGAGAATTGGCCATCTACAAAGACATTCTAAGGAAAGGGCTTGTAGGAGACAAAGTGTCATTCCAGACAATTTCCAAGCAGCACCCAAACATATTTTGTGTTTGTCTCATGAAAAGATTAAATGGCAGCAGTATGTATGTCCCTACTAAATTAATATAGTTCTTACCATTTTTCTTAGGAGAAACAAGAACTTCAAAGCCAAACCTAACCTTCCAAAGGTGAGAAAATCCCACTAATCTCTGATGACCAATGTTAGTGTAATGCATCGATATTTTACACTGATGTTTCCTCCTATTAAAAAGCACATGAGAAATATGAGCTGCTATTTATGCACACCTTTGAACATATTCTGAAATCTGTTGTGCACATTTTCCCATTCTCTTATAACAGATATTTTTCTTCATTGTTTCTGTGATTTGAGCAAATGAGGGCATTCTTGCTCTATGAAGGAACAGATTTGGGGGTATAGGCCCACTCTGGCATCACAGAGCCCTGAGCCTCTCTTTGTTGTACAAGCAGAACAAATTCCTTCAAATCTATGCTATGTTGTTCTTTATTCTTGTTTAATATCCAATCTTGGAGATAGGGATGTGCTGCTCAGAAGGCTCAGCTAGAAATCCTTCTGAGCAACACATCCCTAACCTCACAACCTCTGAGGATGCTTGCCACAGATGCAGGCGAAATGTCAGGGGAGAATGCTTCTAGAACATGGCCATACAACCCAAAAAAACTACAACAACCCAGATCAGCTAGAGATTTTGTCATAACTTTTAATTTATTCATATATGTTTGTTCATGATTGTCACAACCCAAGTTAGCTCTTGCTTCTTTATTTCCTCAGCACTTGCTGGAAGTGAAATCCCTCAAGCACCTTGCGAACCTGACTCTTCATGACCGTATCACAAAATCTCTCCTCCATCTTCACAAGAAAAAGAAGCCCCCAAGCATCAGTGCACAGTTCCAGGTCAGCTGAAAATATTACTTTCAGGAAGTTTATCTGTGGGGCAGATTATTTGTCATACTAGCCAGAAGTTTCAAATCTATTAAAAAAAACGTACATTGTGAAATAAAATATGGAGCATTCTATTTATTTATTTATTTATTTATTGGCAGACATGTATACTCTTCTTGGTTACAAATCAACAAAAATCATTTGATGAGATTACTGGAATGTGATGGCACATATATATAATTTTAGAATATATCTGGCATATATTAAGGGTCTTAAATAATTGTAGATATTACATTTTTATTTAATGTTCATTATGAAATTTAAATTTAGTACACTGTTCAAAATAATATTTAAAATAAGATTATTACTCTACTAGCCATCCCCTGCCATGCATTGCTGTGGCCCAGTTCGTGTGTGTGTGTATATTTGTGTCTATGTGTATATATGTGGTTTGTGCATACGTCATAATGTATTTTTATTTATTTATTTATTGGCTTTTAAAGTCTCTTCCACTGTGTTTTTCAGTGTTTGTATGAGTGATGGTCACTTGTTGGCCTGAGAGGTGTCTTGTGTCCAAATTTGGTGTCAATTTGTCCAGTGGTTTTTGCGTTATGTTAATCCCACAAACGAACATTACATCCACAGACCCACAGACCACCAGTAGAGAACTAGTAATGGTTCAGCTGCGGACCATATTTTCATTCTTAGGGACCACTGGTGATCCACAGACCACCAGTAGAGAACCACTGGCTTAATAGAATGAATGTGTAGTATAGGGCAAGGCCATTTCCTCCTTTCTGCATGCTACAGTGAAATCACTGTTCCTATTCCATATACCTTATAAGCCTAGTTTTTCAGCCCCTTTTCAGCTTCCCTCGGCTTATACTCAAGTCAAGGTTATTTATTATTTTACTCTCTTACTAGTATTATTTTTATTACATTTATTATTTTACTCTATTATTATTTTGACATTTACATTATTTTACTTGATTATGATTTTTTTAACATTTATTATTTTACTCTATTTATTTTTATTATTATGATTACATTTATTATTTTACTCTGTATTATTATTGGAAAGATATGTCAGCACATTTGCATTGAGGAAGGTTTAGAATAATGGTTTGATCAGAGTTACAGTCTTATTTTAAATTACAGTTTTATGTAAATATTCAAAAACATTTAACCCACTGATGTCTGAGTTAATGTAATTTTATTGGCATCTATTTTTTTTTTTTTACCAGTAGCTGCTGCATTTCTCACCCTTGGCTTATACTTGAATAAATAGGTTTTCCCAGTTTTTGGGGGTAAAATTAGATGTCTCGGCTTATATTCGGGTCGGCTTATACTCAAGCAAATACGGTATTTATGGTTACAGGTTGAAAACTAGATTGGTAGAAATTTGGCAAAATGAAAATTTTTTATTAAGAATACTGTTGCAGAAATAAACTAAATTCAGTTCACTTGCACTTTCCTCTCTGCTTTAGACTTCACTTACCAAACTGATGGAGACTCTTGGCCAATCAGAACCCTACTTTGTCAAGTGTATTCGCTCCAATGCTGAAAAGGTAACCTACAGATATTCCATTCCAAATTATCTGTAACTAAAACCAAATTTTCAATGACGTTCTATATAATAAACATTATCACTTAAAACAGTGTTTTTCAATCTGGGGGTCGGGACCACTGAGGGGGTTGCCAGGGGGGTGTCAGAGGGTTGCCAAAGACTATCAGAAAACACAGTATTTTCTGTTGGTCATGGGGGTTCTGTGTGGGAAGTTTTGCCAAATTCTATCATTGGTGGTGTTCAGAATGCTCTTTAATTGTAGGTGGACTATATATCCCAGCGACTACAACTCCCAAATGTCAAGGTCTATTTCCCCAAACTCCACCAGTGTTCACATTTGGGCATATTGAGTATTTGTGTCAAGTTAGATCCATCATTGTTTGAGTCCACACTGCTCTCTGGATGTAGGTGAACTACATCTCCAAAACCTTCCAATACTTTATGTTGGTCATGGGAGTTCCATGTGCCAAATTTGGTTCAATTCCATCGTTGGTGGAATTCAGAATGCTCTTTAATTGTAGGTGAACTATAAATCCCAAATGCAAAATCAGTCCTCCCCAACCCCAACAGTACTCAAATGTGGGTATATCAAATTTGATCCAGTGAATGAAAATACATCCTGCATATCGAATATATACATTACAATTCATAACAGTAGCAAAATTACATTTATGAAGTAGCAACGAAAATGTTATGGTTGGGGGTCACCACAACATGAGGAACTGTATTAAGGGGTCACGGTATTGGGAAGGTTGAGAAACACTGACTTAAAAGATTGCATTCTTTATTTATTGCCTCCTTGCTCTCCAAGATCGGTTTGGGAATGAATTCTGCATGCAAGTCTCCTTTATATCAGATAGTTTTAAGTTCCTCCATTAAAGAAAAAGGCTTTTTTTTTTTACAAATTGTTGTCAAAATTGTGGACAAATGTATGATTGTTGATCAATTGACTATGAAAGGGAACCAAGCAGTGCATTAGTAGCAAAGATATTATAACTTAATACCAGAGATATTTAATATGTGTGAATTTAAACCTAATCTACAAAGATGTTTATCTGAGAGAGCTTACATTTTGCATTCAGTGTGTTCTAGTCATTTTATTTTACTTTTTCAGCTTCCTCTGAGATTCAGCGACAACCTGGTGCTTAGGCAGTTGCGCTACACAGGGATGCTGGAGACGGTGCGCATTCGGCAGTCTGGGTACAGCTGCAAATACTCTTTTGAGGTCAGATAATCTTGGTTCTAAAAATGTCTGAGGCGTGAAGCTGAAAGCATGTTGTCAGTTGGAGAATGATTTGATTGTGGAGGGGACTGCGTATTCTAAAGAAGTATATGAAGTATATTATGCTGAAACTAATATCTGAATTGTTTGGCAAGTGGGCTTATTAACAAAAGACCCTCCCCACAAATGCACAGCAGAGTAACTTATTAGCAGTCGCATGACCCAGCAGTAGCAAAAATAAACAGACCAATGTTATCTCTTCCCTTGGAGGTTTTTCTTTGTAGCAAAATGATATGGTTGCACTATTTACAGAAATAAGGTTTCCATAACACAAATAAAGTTCTTTATCCTTCCTTCTTTGTTTCTTTGCCCGCTGGGCTTCTTTCCCATACAACTTACCTTTCTGAACGTATTTATTATTTTATTTTATTTATTTACAGTATTTGTATATTTTATTTATTTACAGTATTTGTATATTTTCTTACCCTAGGGGGACTCAAAGCGTTTACATGCGAGTCATGGCAAAAATTCAATGCCAGTACAAACAATTACAATTATACACTACAATTAAACATAAATCAAATTAAAACAATACATCCATAAGCAGTAAAACAATCATTAAAACAATCATTAAAACAACTTATCTCTCCTTATGAACCATCTAGGAGCTTAAGATAGTCTGGAGAGGCCCTGATCTCCATCCCGCCTTCTTCGCAAGCGTGTCTGGCGGGGACAAGAGACAGGGCCTTCTCAGTGGTATCCCTCCCCAGGGATATTAGATTGGCTCCCTCCCTCCTCACTTTCTGAAAAAAAGGAAAAACTTGGTTCTTCCAGAAAGCTTTTGGAAATACAGTGGAATAGATAAACATGAAACTATGAAGAATGAACAGGGAATGGTTAGACAATGCTATTGGAAAATTATTTTAATGGGATGACACTGGTGATTACATGTTTTAAAATGGTTTTTATGTGTTTTTATATTATGCTGATTGTTTTATTCGTATTTTTTATGAATGTATGGCATCGAATTGTTGCCAATTTGTAACCCACCTTGAGTCGTCTTAGGGCTGAGAAAGGTGGGCTATAAATGCTGTAAAGAAACAAACAAATAAATAAACAGCTTCCAGCTTCACACGTAACTTGCACAGGAGCTTGACACACAATAGCTTCACACGCAGCAGCCTTCACATTGGAGCTTCACTCATGAGGCCTTCAACCTGGGACTTTTCTCACAGATGTTTCTCTTGGTCTGACTAAGCTACAGGCACACCTGCTTATATTGAACTGTACCTTTTGCTGAGTCATTGCACCCATTTTAACCCTTTTAGTGCTTGGCTCACATTTTTGTAATTAAAAATACCTAGTTAATTTTTAATATTTCTGACATGCATTACAACTTGATATCAGAAATTTGCGGAAGGGTCTTGCCAACTCTTTCTTCAACAGTCACTTGAAGTTACTCTTGGCTCCTTTTTCAGTTTATACTTCAAAAAATGTGGAATATAAAACAGTATATTTTTTTATAATAAAAGGACAAAATATGTACTTATGACCTAACACTGGTTGTGATGGTGTCTGATTTTCTAGGACTTTGTAGACCATTTCCATGTACTACTTCCACGAGGCACTGTCCCATCAAAACAAAATATCCAAGATTTCTTCAGGAAGACAAAGGTGGACTCCGAGATTTACCAAGTGGGGCAAACAATGGTAAGTTTTGTCTCTATTAAATTTCTCATCGGTGCTATATTAAAAATGACTCGATTTGCGTGAAGACAGACATTGCTTTAGGATGCGACCTGCTTTAGTTAGTTTTTTTTACAGAATGCCCAAAAGGATGACTGACACATACAAAGTCTCCTTTAAGAGGGAGACTATGCCAGAGGTGGTACTTCCTTCAATACTCTACTAGGTTAATTTTCATCTATCTGAGCAGTAGTTGGAATTTCAGTCTCTGAGAGAGGCAACAGTTATCATGCTGAAATAAATATGCTCATAATTTTGCATAATAGAATTTTGTGTACTTTTCATATCATAATCATATTTAATTACTTATTAATCGCCCTCCATCTGAGATGCTCTAGGCGATTTACAAGCTAAATTGTAAAAGATAAAAATACATACATACATAAATTAATGATGAACATTGATCAAATGCTCTAGCGAAAAGCCAGGTCTTAAGTGCTAGAGTAAAAGGCCCTAAGTCACACATGGCTCTCAAGTAGGGTGGCAAGGAATTCCATAAGGCAGGGGCAGAAATAGAAAAAGCCCTGTGTCTGGTACTTTCCAAATGCACTTCTCTAGGACCCGGTATATAGAGTAAGTCGCGTTGGGCTGGTCGTTGCGACCTCCGATGCTGGGAGACGGAGAGACAGTCCCTAAAGTATGATGGACCCTGACCGTAAAGAATTTTAAAGGTCAGAACTAGCATCATATACAGACCACAGTAATCAATTGGAAGCCAGTGTAAGTGCTGTAGCACTGCTGTTATATGGCATTTCATGGGCGTTCTTGTGAGGAGCCTGGCTGCCGCATTCTGAACAATGCGGAGCTTTTGGGTCGTAGACATCGGAAGGCCAACATACAGGGCGTTGCAGTAGTCTAGCCTAGATGTGACTGTGGTATGGATGACTGTTGTCAGAGCCTCATCAGATAGGTAGGGCGCCAATTGCCTTGCTTGTCGTAGATGGAAAAAGGCCTGTTTGCTGGCAGCAGCGACCTGAGCTTCCATTGTCAGCTGCGAATCCAGGACGACACCTAAGCTCTTAATGGTAAGCGAAGGAGATAGGGCAGCACCATCGAAAGTGGGTAGCAGATGGGTCAGACCTGTTGGGCGGCCATGCCAGAGAATCTCAGTCTTCGTCTGGTTCACCTTCAGTCTACTAACACATAGCCAGTTTGACAGAGCTTCCAGACATAAGGTGAAATTGTCTGGTATTGACGTTGCTCCCGGCTCCAAGTGCAGGAGTTGGGTGTCATCCGCATATTGATAGCAGTTCAGGCTGAAACTCCAGACCAAACTAGCAAGGGGTCTAACATAGACGTTGAAGAGAAGAGGGGAGAGAATTGCACCTTGGGGGACCCCACATAGAAGGAGGGATCTATCAGAGACTTAATCCATGTACCCCACACACTGACTTCGGTTCTGGAGAAATGAGTTGAACCAATTATTATTATTATTATTATTATTATTATTATTATTATTATTAAACTTTATTTGTACCCCTCTAGCATCTCCCGAAGGACTCGATGCGGCTTACAAAGGCCAAGGCCTCAACACACAATATAACAATACAAAACCTAAAGCAAATTAAAACAATTAAAGCAATATAAACAACAGGCAATAAACAATACTCTAAGACACAATAAAACTGGGCCGGGCCAGAGTAATGGGTACAGGATTAAAAGTGCTGATGTGACAGGTGGTATATAAGGCATTAAGGGCAATTGAGGGCCTGACCGCGAACTCGGGACATGGCAAGACAGTGAATCATTAGATCATAGTCAACGGTGTCGAACACTGTGGTAAGGTCGAGAAGTACCAGTAGCGCCGGTCTGCCGCTATCAGACTGGCGACCAAGTTCATTTGTAATGGCAACCAGGACTGTCTCTGTCCCATGACCAGGGTGAAAACCTGACTGGAAAGGGTCCAAGCCGGCTGTGTTATCCAGGAATAGTTGCAATTATTCCAGGACAGCCCGCTCTATCACCTTACCTAAGAATGGCAGATTAGAGACTGGACGATAATAGGCAAGGGTCATAGGATCCAAGCTAGGTTTCTTAAACAAGGTACGAACCCTTGCCTCTTTTAGGTTGTCCGGAAAAAAACCCTGTTCAAGAGAGTCATCAATTATATTGCTCCACGGACCGAGTAGACCTTCCAAGCACCTTCTAGGCAGGTCTTGACTAATTTATTTCCCGAGTATCACTTCAGGTCCTCACAGTGCAGGTTTCAAAGATTCCACATTTACAGGCCATGTTATCCCAGAGGAAGACATTTTAAATACCTGGCAGTGGGACTTAGTTACCCCTCCATGAGTGTCAAGAGTGGACAGATTCACTTATTTTACATGTATTTTGATAATTTCACAGTTGTGTGTTTTACCAGAAATGCTAGTGAGATGGACTATGTTAGGTTGTATGGGAAATGATGGCAATCAGATCCATAGTGAATGAATATGTGTTTCTTCCTGCTGTCACCTGATGTATGTTAGGTGTTCCTGAAAGAGCAGGGGCGGCAGCTTTTACAAGGCCTCTTGCATGAGGAGGTGCTGCGGAGGATCACCTTGCTGCAGAGCTGGTTCCGGGCTATGCTCCACAGAAGGCACTTCCTTAATTTGAGGCAGGCAGCTACTGTCATTCAGGTTGGTAACAATTGCGTGCTACTATTATTTCATAATATCTATCATTCCTGGATTCTCCAGAAAGAGAGGCTGTTCATTAGGTAACAGAAACTATAAGATTCCTTTTTTGATCATTTTTATTCAAAGACCAAAAGAAAAAGAAAAAGAAAACAAGCAAAAGCATGTTTACACAAATTGCAGTTTTGGTGTTGCTTAAAAAAGAACTACTTAACAAACACAAAACAAACAAGGAAACACGCTTACACAATAAGAACAAAGCTAATTAACAAACAGAAAAACGAATGGGTTGTTAGCATTGAATGGCCTTGCAGCTTCAAAGCCTGGCTGCTTCCTGCCTAGGGTAATCCTTTGTTAGGAAGTGTTAGCTCGCTCTGACTGTTTCCTGTCCGGAATTCCCCCGTTTTGTGAGTGCTGTTCTTTATTTACTGTCTTGATTCTAGAGTTTTTAAAATATTGGTAGCCAGATTTTGTTCATTTTCATGATTCTCCCACCCACAGATTTATAAACCCCACTTGTCTAGTTTCCAACAGACCTCACAACCTCTGAGGATGCCTGCCATAGATGTGGGTGAAACATCAGAAGAGAATGCTTCTGGAACATGGCCATACAGCCCGAAAAGCTCACAGCAACCCAGAATCTGGGATACCTCATTCATAAGGACAACAGCTGTAACAGATTCTAGCTGGAATCCTGTGATTAGTTCCAACTAGATCAGACTTGTTATATTAATAGCTAAACACTTTTTGGTGACAATTTTTATGCTTATATTGTTTTGTTAATCTTATGGTTATGTTGTTTACTCTGTATGTACTGATGATGTTATTTGGAAACCCATCTGAGTCCCTTCGGGGAAGTAGAGCGGTATATAAATAATTATTATTGGGTTGTAGGTTTTTTCGGGCTATATGGCCATGTTCTAGAGGCATTCTCTCCTGACGTTTCGCCTGCATATATGGTAGGCATCCTCAGAGGTTGTGAGGTCTGTCCCACAGCCAAGTTTTGACCATCCATCTGAAGGACAGGAGGGAGGGGGCTGAACTGATCTCACCAAGAAGGGAGTTCCATAGCCGGGGGCAAACACCGAGAAAGTCCTGTCTCTCGCCCCCACCAATCGCGCTTGTGACAACGGCAGGACGGAAAGCAGGGCCTCCCTGGAGGATCTTAATCTCCACAATGGTTCATAGGGAGAGATGCATTCAGACAGGTAATTTGGGCCAGGGCTGTTTAGGGCTTTATAGGCCAAAGCCAGCACTTTGAATTGTGCCCGGTAGCAAACTGGCAGCCAGTGGAGCTGGCATAACATGGGAGTTGTGTGCTCCCTGTATGCTGCCCCAGTTATTAACCTGGCTGCCACTCGTTGGACTATTTGAAGCTTCCAAGCAGTCTTCAAAGGCAGTCCCATGTAGAGTGTGTTGCAGTAGTCTATCCTGGATGTAACGAGAGCGTGGACCACTGTGGCCAAGTCTGACTTCCCAAGGTATGGGCGCAGCTGGCGCACAAGTTTTAATTGTGCGAAAGCTCCCCTGGCCACCGCTGCAACCTGGGATTCCAGGCTCAGGGATGAATCCAGGAGAACCTACAACAACACAATTAAACAATTACTGAAAATTAAACATTCCTCATATAGTATTGATAGGACCCGTTGTGGCAATGCTACCCAATATTTCAAGAATACTGGAAAATGTTTTTCCCTTCTCTTTTAATTCCCTTTAGAAAAATTGGCGTCATTATTTGCTAAGAAAAAAAGCTGAGTCAGAAGAGGCCGTGGATAATTCAGCCCATTTAGACAAGGCCGCAGTTGTCCTTCAAGCCCACTGGCGAGGCTGTGTGGCAAGGAGAAGGTTCCAGCAGATGCGGATGGCGGGGTTTACGATCCAGAGCTATTGGCGGAAATGTCTAAGACGGAGGCATGCGGCAGCTACTACCATCCAGGCAAAATGGCGGACCTACCGTACCAGAAGACTCTATAGGGACACCAGGAACAAAGTCATTTTGTTGCAAGCAGCATACAAAGGATGCAGAGAACGAGAAAGGTAATACTTTTAAGGGAGGAATAATTTACATGGACTTGAAAGAAGAATTCAGGGATTTTGAATTAATAATAATCATCATCATCATCTTTTATTTGTATCTTGCCACCATCTCCCAGAGGGACTCGGGGCGGCTCACAGAACACTCAAGGTGTAACATGCAAAATACAACAAGTGCAAAACAAAACATAAACAATAAACAGTTAACATAACAATTCACAGTACCCCCCTGGTCAGGCCAGTAGCCAGAATTTTGATTGGGGGGGTGCTGAGTTTGATTTTGGGGGCGGGGGGCTGAGGATCTACCCTAGCAAACCTTTTGTATCGTTATCCCAATAACCCCATGCATATGGGATATATTGAGTATGGTGATCAGATCATGATATGAATCAACATAACAGTTTAAATAATGTACCAGTAAGGCCTTCTCGCAGACTACCCTGAGAATTTCGGAGGGGGGAGGGGCTCAAGCCCCCCCCCCTCCCCCGGCTACATGCCTGCCCCTGGTTAGGTTATATGCCACCAAGATCTAAGGGGCATTCAACTACAATCAGTGGAACCAGTTTAAAAATAGTAACAGTTAACAACTGTAAGGGTTTAAATAAAGTATTTTATAAAACAATTTTAAAAACGAAGCATCACCCTGGTGGCGCACTGGGTTAAACCACTGAGCTGCTGAACTTGCTGACCGAAAGGTTGGTGGTTTGAATCTGGGGAGCAGAGTTAGTTCCTGTTGTTAGGCCCAGCTCTACCAACTTAGCAGTTCAAAAACATGCAAATGTGAGTACCGCTTCTGCAGGAAGGTAATGGTGCTCCATGCAGTCATAATAATAATAATAATAATAATAATAATAATAATCTTTATTTATACCCCGCCACCATCTCCCCGATGGGGACTCGGAGCACCTTACTTGAGGCCAGGCCCGAACAACAATTACAATAAAGAAAACCAAGACACAACCAAAAACGCGAACAATAAACAATAACATCATAATTACATAAAACATGTGGATACGTAACAATTTGAAAATTACAATAGACACAGGCACAGTAATGATCGAAAGACAAACTGATTAAAACTAATTAAAAACTCAGACGAGATAAAAGAGAGAAGCAGATAATTTGTGGAAGAGGGCTTATTATGGCGGGGGTTGTGGAGTCAAGCTTTCCTACGAGGGGGAGACATCTACTCCAGTGACAAAACTTTGAGGCTAAACAGTCATGTGAAATTGTATATCTACTCATCAAAGGCGCAGCAGAAGAGCCAGGTTTTAAGGTTCTTTTTAAAAGCTTCTAGAGAAGGGGCTTTCATGACCTTGAAGGCGTCTACAGACAATGCCGGCTCTTCGGCTTGGAAACAGAAATGAGCACCCCTCCACCCATCCACCCCGAGTCAGACACGACTAGACAATGTCAAGGGGAAACCTTTACCTTTACATCAGGTTGCAGTTGCTGGAAAAACCTGAAATGGCAGAGAAGCTTTGGTAGAATAGACCATCCCCCTGAAATGTGTTCAGATAGGCCAGTCTCCAGCTTCCATCATCAACCAGCATAACCTTGTTATCTGGGTGCATTGGGAGTTATAGTCCAAACCACCTTGATAGATTGCTGAAGGGTACCTAAACTAGTAGTCTACCCTTCTATATAAATAAAAATGTAATGTTCGTTTGTGGGATTAACAGAACTCAAAAACCACTGGATGAATTGACACCAAATTTGGACACAAGACACCTAACAACCCAATGTATGTCCTTATCTCAAAAAAATGATTTTGTCATTTGGGAGTTGTAGTTGCTGGGGTTTAAAGTTCACCTGCAATCAAAGAGCGTTCTGAACTCCACTAACGATGGAATTTAACCAAACTTGGCACACAGTTCTCACATGACCAACAGAAAATACTGGAAGGGTTTGGTGGGCAGTGTCCTTTGGTTTTGGAGTTGTAGTTCACCTACATCCAGAAATCACTGTGGACTCAAACAATGGTGGATCTGGACCAAACTGTACAACAGGGGTCCTCAAACTAAGGCCCAGGGGCCGGATAGGGCCCTGCAAGATCATTTACCTGGCCCTCGCTCAGGGTCAACCTAAGTCTGGCATGACTTGAAAGCATACAACAACAACAACAACAACAACAATCCTATCTCATCAGCCAAAAGCAGACCCACACTTCCCATTGAAATACTAATAAATTTTACTAATACTAATTTAGATTTGTTAAAGTTGGTCTTCATTTTAATTATTGTATTGTTTTTAAGCGTTTTTTTTTTTTTGCACTACAAATAAGATATGTGCAGTGTGCATAGGAATTCATTCATGTTTTTTTTTCAAATTATAATTTGGCCCTCCAACTGTTTGAGAGACTGTGACCTGGCCCTCCGTTTAAAAAGTTTGAGGACTACACGAATACTCAATATGCCCAAATGTGAACTCTGATGAAGTTTGGGGAAAATAGAATCTTGACATTTGGGAGTTGTAGTTTCTGGGATTTATTGTTCTGAACCCCACCAACAATAGAATTGGGCCAAACCTCCCACACAGAACCCCCATGTGGGCCACAGCAACGCTTGGTAGAGGACGGCTAGTACTACTATAAGGATGCTCACTGGGATCTTATAAAATGAAAAATTGTGGCTGCATTTGTTTAATTTAATATATTCATGCTGATTGCATCATAACAATAACTCAGTAGCAAACTGTTGACTTGAGGAGACGTTTACTTCAATGAATCCAACATCTGATATCTTTTTTCTTTAAAATAAAAAACAGATTTAGAACTTTAAAGCATCAGAGCTTGAGAAGATCTAAACTGAAAAATGGACTAGCAGCTCAAGAAGATGGGCGAGAACAAGGGGATGGTTTGGACATTAAGGGTTCAGACCCCTCTGACTGGGAAGACGGTTCATTTGAAAAGAGAGTGAAAGATGTCGAAGAGCATAAATCAGAGCTGGAAAATAGAGTCGGTCAAATAGACCCCCTGGATAATTCTCGGACTTCGCTGTATAAACACCATGAAAGAGCCAACAGCCAGAGTGGAACAAACCTGGAAGAGCAAGTTGTTGTGAGAGAGAGACCAAAGTCGCTGGAAGACCTCAATCAGAAAAAAGGAGTGCGTGCAAAACGAGAGAGCCGTCGGATGCGTGAATTGGAGCAAGCCAACTTCAGTTTGGAGTTGCTCAAGGTCCGCTCCACTGGTGGGACATCGCCGTCAGAGGAGCGCCAGTGCTCCCCGGAGTGGATTTCTGAGGAGGGCCACTCTCCCCAGGGAACCCCAGAGAGTGAAGTCTCTCAAGGAAGTCTAGAGATGCTGAGCCACGAAGAGATCCTGAAAGAGAAGCTGCAGGAGCAGGATGCCCAACCTTTTCCTAGAAACTCAGTACTGAGTAGCCCTCAACTGGGCGAAATTCAAGACATCCCCATGTTTGCTGCCGATGTAAATAGCAATGTGCCAGATAGAAAACAGACAGTGTCAAGTTCTGAATTACCCAAGTGCCTTGCAACTACAGAGCGGCCAGTTCGTGACCTACAGGGAGTAGTTCATAATGTGCACGCAAGAGAACCACTCATTTCAAGCAACCTCCCTACCTTTTACTTGCCCCCAAAAGACAATCTGAAATCTGGACATTCGGTAATACAGAACAATTTAAGGAACAGGCAGACGGAAGTGCGGGACACACCTTTTCTTCCAGAAGTAAAAAAGAATCCTCAATTGGACAGCTACCATGGAGAATGTCTGCCTTCCTTCAGCAGAGAAGAGGGCTTCGCTCTTCAAGCTTCAGAAGGGCCTTCTTCAGATTCCATTCTCAAGAAGCTGGAGAAGCTCAATGTGGAGAAAGAGGAGCGAAGGAAACAAAAACAGCTTCAGAATGAGAAAGAAATGATGGAGCAGATTCGACAGCAGAAGGAAATTTTGGGCAAACAGCGTAAAGTTTTTGAAGAGTTTGAGCGGCAAGAGAATGAGCAGAACAGAATCCGAGAGTTCTCCCAAGGAGCCTCTCTCAAGTCACCAAAGAAAATAGCCGAGCCTCAGCCTGCAAATCCCCAAAACAAAGGGGAGTATTGCCCTTCGACGGTCCCAGAGACCACAATGTCTTTGAATAGTACAGCTTTCACTGCCCTCAAAAAAGAAAGCCCACCTGCCAGCAAGATGACCCAAAAGGAAAAGACTATTGTCATGATCTTGGAACGAAAAGAAGATCGGGTCCCAGATGCCAAGGAACAGTCAACCGGTACAGAACAGTTAAACTCACAGGTGGCTACCAACTCTCAGGAAGGCTTGAGCAATCCATCTGCAAGGGAGAGGAGGTTCCGGTTGCCCAGAATCCCAAGCCAAGGCTCTGAAAACTTACCTGGTGAAACCAGAGCTGGTCCCATTTTTTTTACCCCAAAGGACTGTTACATGGGTAGTAGGTGAGTATATTGGTAGGATATTTACATTTTTAAGGGGCTGTTATATACTGTATATTCTGGCATATAAGACTACTTCTTAACCCAAGAAAATCTTCTCAAAAGTCAGGGGTCGTCTTATATGCGGGAGTAGTCTTATACGCGGGCTTCGTCTTATACGTGGGAGTAGCCTTATGCATGGGAGTCATCTTATATGTGGGAGCAGTCTTATATGCTGGGAGTCGTCTTATAGAGCGGATGCTGAAACTTCCACTCTGGATTGGAGAATCTGTGGTTGCTGCATATTGTGGAGGGAGCTCAAAAATGGCAGTGGCAGCGTCCCTGCCATATGCAGCGACTGTATGAAAACACTAAGGGCGACGCTGTACAAGTATGGTAGAAGAAAATCCATTTATCAGGATTTGTGGACTTAATGCGGTCCCAATGGTGAGGTGACGGGGTGCCTCACTGGGAAGGTGTAAGTGAAGGGCGGACCAAGCTGCAGGCATCCGGGGCGCCCGGGGTATGGAAAAAAGAGATAGAGTGGCTCTGGGCCCAGGAAAACACACCTCTTTTACCTGTCTGGCCTGCTCTTGTAGCCTATTACCATCCCTCCTCCTCTGTCTCTCAGATCTCGCTCCTGAAGACTGCAGTGAAGCGGTGCAAATGCGAGATCTGAGAGGCAGAGAAGGAGGGACAGTAATAGGAAAATTACCATATGGAAATCAAATCTGATGCTTTTAAATTTTTTATTTGGTGTGCGTTGGAAGAGGGGTAGTCTTATACGGCGAGTATATCTCAAACACTATATTTTAACTGGAAAAGTTGGGGGTCGTCTTATATGCCAGAATATACAGTACTTGTCTGCCAGACTTCATAATACTGTTTTCTGGTTTCAGCCAAGAATCTTCAACACGTCTTTTGGCTTCAAAAGAAGAACATAAGAAACCTCTGAAGATTTCTGGACCATTCAGGGGCGAGGTAAGCAACCCCTTTCTCTGCTGGCTGCCTAAACTGAACAATTAACTACCAGTTAATGAAGAATATGGGCAAGAATGCAGAGATAGCTTGGCCATGAAGGGTTCTGTTTGCATTGGGAACCCCCAAATCAAAGGAAAGCATTGCCCTTCAACAAGTCCACAGACCATAACATCTTTCAGTAATACAATACTAAGCAAAGGCAACCCAGTCATAGATGCGTCCTTCATTCAGAAATAGGTCAATGTCCTGTTCTGGATTATCCCTCTGTATAAGATATATCTAAAGCAATTGTGTTGTCCATTTTTAGTTTCTTTCCCCCTTCTCCATTATTTATATCAGCTTCCATTACAATATATTTCCTTTCATTTTCTGGTTTGGTACCCACTTGTGACTTCATCTTTTAAAGAAATCATTTGGCAATGGTTTTGAAAGAAATCCTTATGTTGCACGTTCCCCATTCTCAGTGCCAGCAGAACCACCTGTGTTTTTGTTTGTTTGTTTAAAGCATTTTCATGTTATTTGTTTTATCATTTGGTATCAAGCAGGTTGCCAGACCGGCCCATAAAAAGAAAGCCCGCATGGCACGGACACGCTCCAATTTCTTGACTAGAGGTGCTTGTGCGGATTGGGAGGGGGATACGGAGGAAGAGGATTGTGAGGACAGTTTTGAATTCCTTCTCTCCCTTGACCATCCTCCTCACCCTGAGCCCGGCTGTGCAGCCAGACTTGGGCAGCCCTGTCACAGTGACTCTGAAATGGTAATTTATGCAACACGCAGCTGTGCGGGAGCATTTCTTGGCTAACCCTTAGCTCTACTGACACCTTCCACTGCTCTGTCTCCCATCTCGTAATCACAGTGATGGCGGATAGCCTTTAAGAACACAGTTGAAAATTGAATCATCTTGCTGCTTCATCTCTTTCTCTGATGCTCTCTGTCAGGCTCCAATACTGCACCCTGCTTTCTTTAGATCAATGGTTCCAACCTTTTTTTTGACCAGGGACCACTTTGACCAGAGTCCATTTTGACCAAGGACCACTCTCCAACATTAGTACCAAAAGGGTTACAAATCAGTTTTTGGTCAACTTTAGATTTGGTTTGGTTGCTGATTCAGACAATTGCATTGGATAAACCCCCGGGTGGCGCAGTGGGTTTAACCCCTGTGCCGGCAGGACTGAAGACCGACAGGTCGCAGGTTCGAATCCGGGGAGAGGCGGATGAGCTCCCTCTGTCAGCTCCAGCTCCTCATACGGGGACATGAGAGAAGCCTCCCACAAGGATGATAAAAACATCAAATCATCCGGGCATCCTCTGGGCAACGTCCTTGCAGATGGCCAATTCTCTCACACCAGAAGCAACTTGCAGTTTCTCAAGTCACTCCTGACATGACAAATAAAATTGGATAAACGACATCTGTTCTTGTTTCTGATACATAACGTATGCCATGGTCAGCAACAGGGAAGAAGTGGCAGGTGGCTCAAAATGGAGTGGAAATAAAATAAAGAAAGAAATAAAAAAAAGAGGAAGGAGGCTTGTGGACTGGATTTTCGTCCTTGCAGCCCACTGGTGGTCCATGGCCCACAGGTTTTAGATAGACTCAGCCAATCAATTTGTAAAATTAAATCTATATAAATAAAAATGTCATGTTCGTTTGTGGGATTAACATAACTCAGAAACAACTGGACGGATTGACACAAAATTTGTACACACTACACCTATCAGTCCAATGAGTGAACATCACTCATAAAAACACTGGAAGAACCTTGGTCTCAGGGAGAAGCAGCAACATTTTTATTGAACGATGTCTTCTTATTCAACTCTCTTAATTGAATACAAATTATAGACCGGATAGTTATGTAGCGTTAAACTGTCTTTCTGGAATGGACAGAAAACATGCTGTGTTCTTGGAGGTTTGGCCGTATTACAAAACCGTGTTTCTACAAAGAGTAATGCCTTTCCCACTGGGAATCACTGGCATGAAGGGTGCTGGCCTCACGTTTTGCTTGAAGAATGTTATCCTTCGAAGGAGACCGTTCACACCACTGCTCAGGATGCTCCTCTGATCCTTCTGCCACTATTTAATTGTTGTCACTTGCATGCAAATAGCCCTCATAGAACTCATCTCTTTCTGTATTTTCGCCTTCTCTGCTACCCTTGGTGTCCCTTCAGGATTTTCACGGGTGGTTTAGCACAACTACGTCAAAGCACCTGCCTGTCTCATCAAGCTCTGCTTTTTACCTAATGCTAAACTTCATACTCATTGTCATTCATGAATATGGTATAAATATTCATATCCGAGCATGTGTTTCTTTACCATGTTTATTTTGTATTGCCATCTGTATTTTGTTTTGGTCTTTCTAGACTGTTAGATTAATTTTCCAGCAGCTCCTTTATGTTCACATATGAGTGGCTAGCTTTTGTCAACACTTTTTTCAATCAGGTGACTAGCAATCCGGATGCAACAGTGGATACAGAAGGTTTGCACTGATGCCTGAACCCATGAGTATGTAGGATATTTATCTTGAGCTCTCAGTACAAGAAGCCGGGTAGCCAAGCAGTTCATCTTTGTGTGTAGAGCTCATTAATTCCATGAAAGAAGCAGAACAGGTTATCAACTCTGTGCCAGTTGGTGGTGAACAAAAGCCCTGCCACTTGGCATTTCCCCAGTTTTGCACATTTTTCATGGGCTTCTGTGTGCATCGGAGAAAATGGATTCTGATGAGGTCCCAGCCAGCCAGGACAAAGCAGGCCAATACAGCCACAGTCCACCCTGCAGAGAAAGATTGATGTCTATTCCTGGGCAAGATAACTTTGCAGAGCAATCAAATGGAAGAATATAAATGGAAATGCAACTGCTACAGAATGTTTTGCATTTTACAGTTTTAGTAGGACTTTGTTTTATAATATCTTTGGAGCTGGAACATCTCTATTATTATGGTCACCACATCTCCCAAAATATACTGCAATGTTGTAAGGGTTGTAGAAAATTGCAGACCATATAATGGGGCTTGAGTAACTCCTACATGCAGGAGGATTTATAAAAGCAAGCAAGACTGGGCAACGAGACAGAGTACATAAAAGAGTCGATGGCGCTTAAACAATGGATAGAGATTTACTTTCTTCAGTATCAGGAACCCTTCTTAGTGGAATTGAATGGTGGGAGATCATAGAATCATAGAGTTGGAAGAGACCTCATGGGCCATCCAGTCCAACACCCTACCAAGAAGCAGGAACATCACATTCAAAGCATCCCCGACAGATGGCCATCCAGCCTCTGTTTAAAAGCATCCAGAGAAGGAGCCTCCACAATCTATATAAATAAAAATGTAATGTTTGTTTGTGGGATTAACATAACTCAAAAACCACTGGACGAATTGACACCAAATTTGGACACAAGACACCTCTCAGGCCAACGAGTGACCATCACTCATAAAAACACTGAAAAACACAGCAGAAGAGACTTAAAAAATACATTACAACGCATGCGCAAAACCATACACACACACACACACAAAATACATATATACACACAAAAACATATATATATATATACAGACTGGGCCACAGCAACGCGTGGCAGGGGACGGCTAGTATCTCTCTTTCTCTCTCTCTCTCTCTCTCTCTCTCCTTCTCCTTCTCCCTCTCCCTCCCTCCCTCTCCCTCTCTCTCTATATAAAATCTGCCTTTATGGGATTAGCATAATTCAAAAACCACTGGACGAGTTGACACCAAATTTGGACACAAGACACCTATCAGGCCAAGGAGTGACCATCACTCATAAAAACACTGAAAAACACAGCAGAAGGGACTTAAAAAGCCAAAAACAAAAAATATATTACATTGTATGCGCAAAACCACATATATATACGCAAACACACACACATATACATATACACAAATATATACACACACATATGCACACACAAACACATATACACAGAGTGGGCCACAGCAATGTGTGGCAGAGGATGCCTAGTAGAAATAAAAAAGTAATATTCGTTTGTAGGATTGACATAACTCAAAAACCACTGGACGAATTGACACCAAATTTGGACACAAGACACCTATCAGGCCAACGAGTGACCATCACTCATAATAACAAAAGGGACTTAAAAAGCAAAAAAATACATTACAATGCATGCACAAAACCACACACACATATATGCACACATACACATATTCACACACACAAAACACATATACATAGACTGGGCCACAGAAACACGTGACAGGGGTGGCTAGTGTCCAGTAAACTTATTTGTACTAAAATCTGAATTCCCAATAATTGGCAAGGCCACTCAGCCATCCATCTCCAGTTGCCCAGAAATGTTTTATAATAAGCTGTTTTATAATATTCCCTTACGGGTAGGTTGTGAGGTATTATCAGAAGTATAATAATTGGAGTGCATAGCCACCTGTCGGCGGCTTCCAAGTATGCCTCAGATAGATACAAAAGAACATGTGGAGTTGCTTGCTGTTTTTGCCAATATTGATTTTTTTGAGCCAGTGCTGGAAGAGAACAATGTGCGGCATATTCCTTCTTCCAGTAACAAGGAACCCGTCATTTCTTTATATATAGCCAGCTCTTTTTCAAGGCAAGGTGTTCTTTCTGAAAGCATCTTTTTATCGTGGCTGTTTTTCTCTGCAGCAGATTAAATATTTAGACCATCATAAGAAGACTGTGTTGCCTTTATAATACCAAACGATACTCGTGAGTGTTGAAGTATTCATCGTGCTTATATTGTTGCAGATGCTGCAGCGATTCACATCGAGTGAAGGCCAGGCAAAGCTTCATAAAACCATGTCTCAAGGAGAAATTGGAAAGCTGGCATCTTCGCAGAAGATTGGAGCTGCAGATGGGAGGTATAAAATGCCTAGGAAGTGTAAAGAGGCTACATTATTCTGTCCTGATTTCTGTTTGGGTTAAACCACTGATCTGCTGCAGATGCTGACCAAAAGGTTGGTGGTTCGAATCTGGGAAGCGGGGTGAGCTCCTGCTGTTAGCCCCAGCTTCTGCAAACCTACCAGTTCGAAAACATGCAAATGTGAGTAGATCAATAGGTACTGCTTTGGCAGGAAGGTAACAGCACTCCATCAGTCATACTGGCCACATGACCTTGGAGACGTCCATGCACAACGGCTGCTCTTTGGTTTAGAAATGGAGATGAGCACCACCCCCCAGAGTCGGACACGACCAGACTTAATGTCAGGGGAAATCTTTTTTTTTTTTTTTTAATCCCAGTTTTGTTTTATTTCCATATAATATAATATACAGAACATGGCATTCTTATTTTCTTTGGGTCTAATTTTGCATAATGTGGTCTACGTTCATGATGTTTTGCAATATACGCTTTATCTTTCAAATTACTTTTTTTAAAGGCTCTGAATTCTTTAAACACAGTCTTTAAGCTCGGTCACTCACTTTCTCTCTGTGTCTTTCTGGCTATGGCAATATTTATATCCAGTTAACTCTAGAACTGTGTTAACTTTTTTTTCTTCCAAAATGATAGTGATAAGAAATTTGTGATCACTGCAGAATAGTAAGCATTTTTATACATAGCGAACAATTAATTTAAAATAATAATTTAGCCATTAAAAAGTCATAATTTTTTAGCAACACAATCCTGTGGTTGCTGAGTAGTGAGGAAACCTCAACTTAGCAGTAAGTTCCACATAAGTCAATGTGACTTACTTCCAAGTGTGAAAATGTTATTTAAAGGTTTTAATACACACTTCCTTGGAGATAAGTAATAAACAGCAGGACTGATCAGATGATTTACGCACAAAGCGGCGAGACTCCTCTTTATTGAGGGCCTTGTGCTAAAGGGTACCTTTCTGGAGGTGCAATTGTCAATCCCAATGTATAAAAGCCAGGTGTGGGGTGTGTGTGTGTGTGTGTGCGGAAAGAGAGCACCAAGCCAGCATGACGCTACCTTGCAGGAGAGCACAAGAGGGATTATTGTCTTTACCTTAATTTTGGTTTTCTTCTGTGTTTTTTATTTATTAAATATTTCTGAAGTTCTGTTTTCCTGTGGAGACCAAAATCCACTGATTGTGGTAATGCAAATGTATCTAAATTACTGTATATACTCGAGTATAAGTCTAGTTTTTCAGTCCTTTTTTTAGACTGAAAAAGTCTCCCCCAGCTTATACTTGAGTCAGTGTTATTTATTATTTTACTTTATTGTTGATGTTATTATTATTGATATTATTATTATTACATTTACTATTACATTTACTATTTTATTATTGTTGTTATTATTACATTTATTATTTTACTCTATTTATTATTGTGATTGTTACATTTATTATTTTACTCTATTATTATTATTATTATTTTACTCTATTTAGTATTATTGGAGGACATGTAAGCATATTTTCATTGAAGAAGGTTAGAATAATGGTTTAATCAGAGTTGGACAGTCTTATCTTGAATTACAGTTTTATGTAAATATTCAAAAACATTTAACCTACTAATGCCTAAATTAATATAATTTTATTGGTATCTATTTTTATTTTGAAATTTACTAGTAGCTGCTGCATTTCCCACCCTCGGCTTATACTCAGAGTCAATACATTTTCCCAGTTTTTTGTGGTAAAATTAGGTACCTCGGCTTATATTCAGGTCAGCACAGAATCATTCTGTTTTTGTGTGAACGAAATCAAAATGAGATCAGTATTTTTGACTGGGTTGTTGTAGGTTTTTTCAGGCTATATGGCCATGTTCTAGAGGCATTCTCTCCTGACGTTTCACCTGCATCTATGGCAAGCATCCTCAGAGGTAGTGAGGTCTGTTGGAACTAAGAAAAAGGGTTTATATATCTGTGGAATGACCAGGGTGGGACAAAGGACTCTTGTCTGCTGGAGCTAGGTGTGAATGTTTCAACTGACCACCTTGATTAGCATTTGATAGCCTGGCAGTGCCTGGGGCAATCTTTTGTTGAAAAGGGATTAAATGTGCCAGATTGTTTCCCCTCTGTTGTTTTTTTTAATTATTATTTGTGGGCTCTAGTTATAGACTCTGTAAGCTAGCTGGCATTTCCCCCATTGATGTTGCCGCTAACTGGGAGAGAAATAAGGTTGAACACTGTGAAAGCCACTCACTGCATGGCTATCAGCCTCCTCCCAGTAGACTCAAATCAAGGAAAAGCATCACAAGAACCGTTTTTGGTCAAAAATTATTTAGCCACTGTGCTTCCTCTATTTTATTATTTTTTTTACTTATTTATGCAATGATTTTGGCACAAAATAAAAATAGAAGCATCCCTGGGCAGCACCAAAAAGACTTGGAATAAAATGGACAATCCGATTCGATCTCTCTCATCATTTCTGATTTATCATTTAGCAGACCTCAAAAAGCCAAGATGAAATTCTGGGGGAAAGGAAAACAGGGAGAGAAGAAAATGAGCAGGGAGAAGCTTGCCACCCAGTCGGAGCTGCTGGAATTTTATTCGAGTCAAGATTCAACAGGGCTACAGCTTGATGAAGGTAAGCTTGTGGGTGGCACATCATGGTGGTTTAATTCAGGATTCGCGTGGCTAAATGCTCATAAACTAGGGTTCATATAGGAGGCACACAGAGAAGATTAAAGAGCCAATCACTTGGTAAGGTGATTGTTTTCATTATTCTTTCAAATCTTTAGAAAAAGCATTTTCATTCATTCATCATCTAAGCCAGGGATGGGCAAACTTTGGCTCTCCAGGTGTTTTGGACTTCAACTCCCACAATTCCTAACAGCCGACTGGCTGTTAGGAATTGTTGGAGTTGATGCGTTGTCCGAGTAGGATTGTCTTCCAAGATCAGTGTCCTGGTGGTGGGTCCGTAGGTGACTGTGGAGCCCTATTCTTGATCTGCATGTTCTCCCACAGTGAGGGCATTGGTTTCCAGGTGGAAGGCGGTCCTGGTCGGGGTTGGCTTGACGCGCCTTCCTCCTGGCATGTTTCTCTCTTTCGCCCTCCACTCGTGCCTCCTCAAATTCTGTAGCACTGCTGGTCACAGCTGACCTCCAGCTGGAGCGCTCAAGAGCCAGGGCTTCCCAGTTCTCAGTGTCTATGCCAAAGTTTTTAAGGTTGGCTTTAGGCTATCTTTAAATCTCTTTTCCTGTCCACCAATGTTCCATTTTCCATTCTTAAGTTCAGAGTAGAGCAACTGCTTTGGGAGCAGTGGTCAGGCATCCGGACAACGTTCTTTAGCACCGGGACTTGGGTCATTAATGTTCACCATATGTGTCGCTATTGCTGGGCATATTACTGATGGGAGAAGCACTTGTATTGATTTAATTATTTGCACTCTTAGAGCTGACTCCCCCAAGGAGCCCGGAATTGTCTGGCCTCTATCGAAGGGAATGTAAGGAAAACAAAGAGCCATCTCCCAAAGTGAAGCGAAAGCGCAGCCTGAAAATCAGCAGCGTCACTATGGAACCTGCCCAGTGGCAGAACGATGCTCTTCAGATCATCACCAGTGCCAGAGACTTGAAAAGCATGGATGAATTTCTTTTGAAAAAGGTAACTTGTGTTTGGAAATGGACATGTCAAGAACTGTGTAGCGTTTGCTGTTGTCATAGAATAAGAATTAAAGATTCAGCTGTATGTGAACCTGTTTTTAGTGAGCCTGAACAACTCTATCTTATTTATTTACTCACTTACTTACTTGCTTGCTTACTTCATTTATATATCACTTTTCTCCCTGGAGGGACTCAAAGCAGTTTCCAACATATAATAATAATTGAGTACCGCTGGTTTAGGGATTTCTGGACTAAAGCCAGCATTTTGAATTGTGCTCAGTAGCAGATTAGCAGCCAGTGGAGCTGGAGTAGCAGGGGAATTGTATACTCCCTGTACACTGCTCTGATGAGCAATCTGGCTACCACTCATTGGACCAAATGCAGCTTCCAAACAGTCTTCAAAGGCAAACCCACCTAGAGCGCGTTGCAGTAGTCTATTTGGGATGTCTTCACATCTTCCCATGGATTATATTATTAGCTACCTTTGTGACCCACCTGGGATGATACTGTAGGGCTGATATTAGGGTCCTAGCCAACAACATTATTTACAAAAAAGTATACAAAGGATATTTCTGTTATTAATGATGAGTCATTAAGTTAAACGGGCGGTTCTTGACGGCAGTATTGGAATATACCCTGATTGGGCAAGAATACCAATCTTGAGATGGAAAGGTGTTTTTATACACTGATTTTAGGGTCACTTAGTAGAAGCAGGTTGCTAGTCCTTCTAGAAAATTATATCCTATAGATATAATAGATCCCATGGTTGGATCAATTAGATCTCTTTTATGTTATAAATTTATAGAACCGGGACTGTGGCGCAGTTGGCTGGGAGTCAGCTGCATTAAGATCACTACCGACCAAAAGGTCATGAGTTCGAAGCCAGCCCAGGTCGGAGTGAGCTTCCGACCAATTTGTGTAGCTTGCTGACGACCTTTGCAGCCCGAAAGACAGTTGCATCTGTCAAGTAGGAAATTTAGGTACCACTTACGTAGGGAGACTAATTTAACTGATTTATGAAGCCATAAAAATCTCCAGGAAGTATGCAAAGAATGAGGAACTACTTCATCAGTGTCACAAATGGACGGTGAAGCGACAGCTCCCCTGGTAGCCAGAAGCTGGAATGTTAAATAGCCTCTGTGTGTCTGTCTATGTATGTTGTGTGTCTAAGGCATTGAATGTTTACCATGTATATGTACATTGTAATCTGTTCTGAGTCCCTTGCGGGGTGAGAAGAGTGGAATATAAATAAATAATAAAATAATAAATGAGCAATAGTAACACACACACATATTGTTGCCAAAGTAATGATGTGATGGTTTTGTGATTCACAGATGAACGATCTGGATAGTGAAGATTGTAAAAAGGACACAATGGTGGATGTTGTCTTTAAAAAGGCCTTAAAAGAATTCCGACAAAATATTTTCAGTTTCTACTCTTCAGCTTTGACAGTAAGTTACATTGTTTTAGCCAAGTGCAAGTGAAATATGACATGACACCTGTAAATTAAAATGGAAATCTATCTTTATTTCCTCTCTGCACTATTATAGATGGGCGATGGAAATAGCATCCGGTACAAAGACCTGTACGCCCTTTTTGAACAGATTCTGGAGAAAACGATGAAGTTTGAACAGAGGGACTGGAATGAATCCCCTGTTCGGGTCTGGGTCAACACCTTCAAAGTGTTTTTGGATGAATATATGACAGAATATATGCCGCTGGATTATACTGCCCTAAAGGTAAACTGGTTCAACACAGCAAGTTCTTATATTTTTCTTGAATGAGGATTGTACTCTTATATGTTCCTTAAACTATCTCCCTCTTGTTATTTCACTGCCCATTAAGGCTTGGCCTACATTATTTTTCTTGCAATTCTGAATATTTTTATTAGTCTTTCTGGTAGATGATATGACAGGTTGTAGTATTGCATGGGATAACCTCAGAAATCATAATACTGATTAATGTATTGTATATAGACCTCTAGAAGCCAGCATGGTGTAGAAGTCTTCATGTTAGACTGAGACACTGGAAGATTGAGATGCAATGTCTTGTTTGGCTGTGGAAATCTCATGGGTGACATTAAGCAAATCACACTCTCTCAGCTTCAGAGGAAGGCAAGAGCAAACTCTCCCTGAACAAATTCTGCCAGGAAATCACAGTGATAGGTTTGCCTTAGGTCACCGTAAGTGAGAATAGAGCAAAGTGATGACAGCTTGGAGAAGAAAACAGTATATGAGACAGTTATAGAACAACTGTTATAGAACTCCAGTATGCTGATGACAGTGTCGTCTGTGCACATTCAGAAGAAGATCTACAAGCCACTCTAAACACCTTCACAGAAGCATACGAGAAGCTCGGCCTGTCATTGAACATCGAGAAAACCAAAGTGCTGTTCCAGCAGTCACTAGCCAATCCCTTTCCAATGCCAGAGATACAGCTTAATGGTGTAACATTAGAAAATGTTGACCATTTCCGCTACCTTGGCAGCCACCTCTCCACCAAAGTCAACATCGACACCGAAATACAACACCGCCTGAGCTCTGCGAGTGCAGCATTTTTCCGAATGAAGGAGAGTGTTTGAGGACCGGGACATCCATAGGGATACCAAGGTGCTTGTCTGTAAAGCTATTGTCCTCCCAACCCTGCTCTATGCCTGCAAAACGTGGACTGTCTACATGCGTCACATGCAACTCCTGGAACGATTCCATCAGCGCTGCCTCCGGAAAATCCTGCAAATCTCTTGGGAAGACAGGCGGACAAACGTCAGCGTGCTGGAATGTCACATGCAACTCCTGGAACGATTCCATCAACGCTGTCTCCAGAAAATCGTGCAAATCTCTTGGGAAGACAGGCGGACAAACTTCAGCGTGCTGGAAGAAGCAAAGACCACCAGCATTGAAGCGATGCTCCTCCGCCATCAACTCCGCTGGACCAGCCACGTTGTCCGGATGCCCGACCACCGTCTCCCAGTTGCTCTACTCCGAACTCAAGAACGGAAAACGGAATGTTGGTGGACAGAAAAAGAGATTTAAAGATGGGCTCAAAGCCAACCTTAAAACTCTGGCATAGACACTGAGAACTGGGAAGCCCTGGCCCTTGAGCGCTCCAGCTGGAGGTCAGCTGTGACCAGCAGTGCTGCAGAATTTGAAGAGGCACGAATGGAGGGTGAAAGAGAGAAACATGCCAAGAGGAAGGAGCGTCAAGCCAACCCCGACCAGGACCGCCTTCCACCTGGAAACCAATTCCCTTACTGCGGAAGAAGGTGCAGGTCAAGCAAAAGTCTCCACAGCAACCTACGGACCCACTGCCAGAACTCTATTCCTGGAAGACTATCCTACTCGGCCAACGAGGGATCACCTAAGTAAGATATGAGACAGTAAATGCCTACCTGGTATTAAATATGCCTTTTGAAAGACAGAAGCAGAATGAACGTAGTGGGGGAAGTTCTGAAGAATTAGAACTATTGATTGCTTATTTTGTTCTTTTCTCTTTTTAGATGACCAAAACAGAAAGAAAGAAAAGAAGGAAGAAGGAAACGGATGTTGTAAGTTGAATTTTTCCTCTTCTAATGATAAGCTAACTCTCACTGAGATATTTATTAGGGGAACGGAATGGTCTAGTCCAATGGAACACACGAACAGTGTCAATTTTTCTTTTGTTTTGTTTTGTTTCTATGTCTTTTGCATCATTTTGGCTTTTAGTGTTACAATGTAATAATATCAAGCACCATTAAAATTAATGTAGCCATAAGATTGCTAATAAACAACTAAAGTTGAAACTACAAATTGTATCCTGTTGTCACAACATTATAGACGTTTTTATAGTATTTAATAAGTAAAACATTGAATCTATAATTTTATGCCATCTAGTGAACACAGAACTACAGGTTACAAACAATTCTGTTGTTCAGTGAGTGCCTCCAGTGCTGGGACCATAGTATAATATATGAAATGTGTGTGCTCGCTAGTGATTACATGGTAATTATAAAAACTCAAATCTTCCAGAGCATTTGTGGCATGCATTTCAGTTTATGGTCACTGGGATTCTTCAACCCAGCTAAGAAGTATACAAAATACAAAAAGGCAACACACGTAGTTGCATAATAATAATAATAATAATAATAATAATAATAATAATAATAATATCCCAGGTGACAGCAGGATTGCAGAGAAACAACTGGAAAAGCTGACACGATATGAGGATTTAAAGATCGAACTGCAAAGACTCTGGCACAAGCCAGTCAAGGTCGTCCCAGTGATGATCGGCACACGTGGTGCAGTGCCTAAAGACCTTAGCCTGCACTTAAACACAATCTGCGCTGACAAAATTGCCATCTGCCAGCTGCAGAAGGCCACCTTTCTGGGATCTGCACGCATTATTCGCCAACCACATTTCCGATGGTGGCAGCAACCACCTTTTTAAATATAAAGGCAGATGACATAAATCCTTGGGTTCTGATATAAACATATGTCCTGTGAGTCTCAGTGGAGGTCCTGGAATTTTCTGCTTAGGTGCTGATGAGTTGGGTGCCTCATTATTGAGAAGGGCATTTTATATATTCTTAAATGGTTCATCATGACAAAATATGGATCGCCAACATTCTGAGTGAGTTGACATGATTAAAAATTCACTTTTGGCATTCCACCTAAACCATACATTAGCAGGTGTCTGAAATGCCTTATTATAATAGTTTAGTAGATGAGTAATCACTCTGATCAGATATGGTTTGGGCTATCACTGAAAGTCTAATTTTTTTCCTTTTTGACAGGTAGAAGAACATAACGGTCACATTTTTAAGGCCACTCAGTACAGCATACCCACATACTGTGAATTCTGTTCCTCCTTGATTTGGATAATGGATAGAGCCTCTGTTTGCAAATGTAAGTCGAAAATGCTCCTTTTATTGCCCCTTCCAACCTGCACCCTCTTTCATCTGCTTTTTTTAAAAGTTGTTTACTAGAACAGCATTTCCCAATCTATTTTCCCCTGGAGAATCCCTGGAATACTTTTCAGGTCTCAGGGAACTCTCACATAAAATGTACTGTATCTACTGCTCAAAAATATTGTGTTGCTTTTTTTCCCCAATTACAATGTCTCATTGAGTCCATGGGAGCCCCTAGTGCAACAGTGGGTTAAACCCTTGTGCCAGCAGGACCGCTGACCAAAAGGTCAATGATTCGAATCTGGGGAGCGGGGTGAGTTCCCCTCTGCCAGCTACAGCTTCTCATGCAGGGACATGGGAGAATCCTCCTACAGGCTGGTAAAACATCCGGGTGTCCCCTGGGTAACGTCCTTGCAGACTGCCAATTCTTTCACACAATAATAATAATAATAATAATAATAATTATTATTATTATTATTATTATTATTATTATTATTATTTAAAAAACAAAGTATGGATTGTTGATGTTGAAATCCCAGGTGACAGCAGGATTGAAGAGAAACAACTGGAAAAGCTGACACGATATGAGGATTTAAAGATCGAAACTGCAAAGACTCTGGCACAAGCCAGTAAAGGTGGTCCCAGTGGTGATCGGCACACTGGGTGCAGTGCCTAAAGACCTTGGCCTGCACTTAAACACAATTGGCGCTGACAAATTACCATCTGCCAGCTGCAGAAGGCCACCTTACTGGGATCTGCACGCATTATTCGCCGATACATCACACAGTCCTAGACACTTGGGAAGTGTCCGACGTGTGATCCAATACAACAGCCAGCAGAGTGATCTTGTCTGCTGTGGACTGATCTTGTTGTGTTTATAATAATAATAATAATAATAATAATAATAATAATAATAATAATAATAATAATAATAATAGATACTTGGGAAGTGTCCGACGTGTGATCCAATTCAACAGCCAGCAGAGTGATCTTGTCTGCTGTGGACTCATCTTGTTGTGTTTCTAATAATAATAATAATAATAATAATAATAATAATAATAATAATACATCACACAGTCCTAGACACTTGGGAAGTCCCGACGTGTGATCCAATACAACAGCCAGCAGAGTGTCTGCTGTGGGCTCATCTTGTTGTGTTTCAAATAATAATAATAATAATAATAATAATAATAATAATAATACATCACACAGTCCTAGACACTTGGGAAGTGTCCAACATGTGATCCAATACAACAGCCAGCAGAGTGTCTGCTGTGGACTCATCTTGTTATGTTTCAAATAATAATAATAATAATAATAATAATAATAATAATAATAATAATAACAACTTTATTTATATTCGCTCTATCTCCCTAAAGGGACTCAGGGCGGATTCCAAACATAAAAGGCAAACATTCAACGCCCAAATACAACAACAATACATCCATACTAACATAATTTATACAACCAACATATAAATACAATAACAATACATTCATACTAACAAATGTATACAACCCAACATATAAATACGAATTATAACTTAAACTAAAATTAACTCTTCTCAAGTTGCAGTTTCTCAAGTCACTCCTAACACGAACAAAAAAAAAAAAGAACTCCTAGAGACCTCTCATCAAACTGCAAGGTTTTGTGGAATCCTGCTTGAGAAGCTCTGAACCAAACTATAGTTTGTTCATTCAGACTGGCTTCAAGTGATACACAGAATATAAAAATAACCATTTCTGAATGGAGCCTTCCATTGCTTCCCTTTTCAATGGCTGGAAGTTACAGCCTGGAAAACTGTCAAGAAAGAAGCTTTTTTGGAAGAATGAGCCACATCTTTACTGCATAATTTCAGTCTGTGCTTCTAATTCTCTCCAAGTCATGTGGATTCTTCTGCTTTACTCTGGTTTCACTCCTTTGCACCCAGATGAATGACTTGAATGAGTTAAAAGTGAAGGTGATTCCTCAGTCGTTTGCTAGCAGGGAGTAGCAAATGGTAGAACAGCATAAAATTGAACTATTTTGGGTTTTTAATCCTTGGTTTATCTTGTAATGCTAGTAGATAAGAGGCGTGGGAGGTAAGATCCTTGCAATGTTTGAGTGTGTGAAACACAAAAAAACCTCTAAAATTATAACAGTAAATAAAGAACAACTGATTTTCTGCTGCCCTGGAGACTAGGACTCAAATACAGGGGAATTCCAGACAAGAAACAATCATGGCCAGCTATTTATTTACTATTTATTTACTCTACTTGTATATCGCCCTTCTCAGCCCTCAGGCGACTCAGGGCAGTTTACAGAGGCAACGATTCGATGCCCAAGAACATCATAAAACATTTAAAACATTAACCAAACAAAAGTAATAAAACATTAAAACAAAAACAAAAAAACATTATCCATCTCATTGTCCAGTCGTTCCAAGTTCCTATATCTTTTAAATTGCATTTTCAAATGCTTGCTTGAACAGCCAGGTCTTGACTCTTTTCCGGAATGTTAAGAGGGAGGGGGCCGATCTAATGTCCTAGGAAGGGCGTTCCATAGCCGAGGGGCCACCATTGAGAAGGACCTGTCTCTCGTCTCACCAAACATATTTGTGCTGCAAGCGGGATCGAGAGCAGGGCCTCCCTATATGATTTTAAAGTCCTAATAGGTTCATAAGGGGAGATGCGTTCAGACAGGTAAGTTGGGCTAATCACCTCCCAACAAAGGATTCCCCCCAGGCAGTGAGGAGCCAGACTGCTGTTTATTTTATCTATTCATTTACAGTATTTGTATACCGCTTTTCTCACCCCGAGGGGGACTCAAAGCGGTTTACACATAATGGCAAAAATTCAATGCCAGTACAAACAATTACAATTATACACTACAATTAGACATAAATCAAATTAAAAAAATACACCCATAATCAATAAAACAATCATTAAAACAATAAAACAGTCTCGTCCATCGAATCGCTGTTCCAGTCATTGTCTTTCCGAAATGCTGCATACATTTGCTTCTACTGCCCGAAGGCCTGGTCCCAAAACCATGATTTAATTTTTTTTCTAAAAGCCAGGAGGGAGGGAGCGGATCTTACCTCATTTGGGAGTGTGTTCCACAGGCGGGGGGCCACAGCCGAGAAGGCCCTGTCTCTCGTCCCTGCCAGGCGCATCTGTGCAGTTGACGGGAGCGAGAGCAGGGCCTCCCTGGATGATCTTCGATTATGAGGTGGGACGTAGGGGTGGATGCGTTAGGACAAGTAAGCTGGGCTAGAACCGTATAGGCCATTAAATGCTAATCTAGGTGGCCAATTGCAGCATTCACACCTACCTCCAACAGACAAGAGTTCTTTCTCCCACCCTTGACACTCCACAGATAAATAAACCCCGAAATGTCAGAAGAGAATGCTTCTGGAAAATAGCCATACAGCCTGGAAAACTCACAACTACTAAGTGATTCTGGCCTTGAAAGCCTTCAACAATACATTAAACGCTAAATGTTTTCCACTTTTTTCAGTATGCAAATATGCCTGCCACCGAAAGTGCTGTCTCAAGACCACGACAAAATGTTCCAAAAAGGTATGGTTTCTTCATCTATTAGCCACTAACTGTTGATAATCTTCCCACATGCAATTTTCTCTACATGATTTTGAGAAACTGTCTTCTCAAAAGATCCAAACTATCTCCAGTTCTCCTCTGACTTAGGTCCTGTTTTCAGCATGTCTTATCATGTGCAGAAAGCTGTTAACCTTTTCCCGGTGCTTCTAAATGGTATCCTGACAGCGTAGGCGTAACATGGAGATAGTTAGGAAGAAAAGATGAAAAACAAGGAAAAAGGATTGTGCTTACTGACTGCTAAACTCTTTATCTTTTCATTTTCTCCTGTTTTTGGTTTACTCAGTAGCTGGTTTGGCTCTGGGTAGTGTATTAGGATATAACGTGGACCAAGGCTTGACCAGCATTCTCAGGGTGTAAGTTTTTTTGTAGGGCAGGTATGGAAAAACCATTTCCCTGTGAAACTAACAGAAAAAAAAACCCTCACTGGATTGAAAATACATTTAGATGTATTTTCTTTGAAGCCATTCCATCTTCTATTTCCTCTGACTGCCTGGCTTTTCCTCTACTTCCTCTACTTTAAATAAACTGGATTTATTTAAAGGCAATGGGCCATATTTTATTAGGATATTGTTGATTTATTTATTTATTTATTTACTGTATTTGTATACCGCCTTTCTCAGCCAATTGGCGACTCAAGGTGGTTTCCAACAAATCAGTATACATAAAACATAATAGATAAAAAACATTAAACGTTTTAAGACATCACAAAAGCAATAAAAGCAACATCATCAGCGCCTCATTATTCTCAAGCATTGTCCAATTCCACAAAGTTTGCAAGCTGCACTGGAGACTAGGACACGGAACAATGGCTTCACACTACAGGAAAGGAGATTCCACCTGAACATGAGAAAGAATTTCCTGAGCGTGAGAGCTGTTCAGCAGTGGAATTCTCTCTCTCTGCCCTGGAGTGTGGTAGAGGCTCCTTCTTTGGAAGCTTTTAAGCAGAGACTGGATGGCCATCTGTCGGGGGTGCTTTGAATCTGATTTTCCTGCTTCTTGGGAGGGGGTTGGACCATATGGCCCACAAGGTCTTGTCCAACTCTATGGTTCTATGATTCTATGACTTGTAGTGGGAAGTTATTTATTTATCGTGTCAGGCGCAACCGACATTTGTATTACATTTTTAACAAAACAAACAAACAGACAGACAGACAGACAAAACACAAAGTTTGGAAGCTTGGTATTCTATTAAATGTCCTTTGAGCAGGATCTGGCCACTTGGAGTGCCTCTGGTGTTGCTGCAAGGAGGTCCTCCATTGTGCATGTGGCAGGGCTCAGGTTGCATTGCAGTAGGTGATCAGTGGTTTGCTCTTCTCCACACTCGCATGTCATGGATTCCACTTTGTGGCCCCATTTCTTAAGGTTGGCTCTGCATCTCGTGGTGCCAGAGTGCAGTCTGTTCAGCACCTTCCAAGTCACCCAGTCTTCTGTGTGCCCAGGGGGGAGTCTCTCATTTGGTATCAGCCATTGATTGAGGTTCTGGATTTGAGCCTGCCACTTTTGGACTCTCGCTTGCTGAGGTGTTCCAGCGAGTGTCTCTGTAGATCTTAGAAAACTATTTCTTGATTTAAGTCGTTGACGTGCTGGCTGATATCCAAACGGGGTGGACTGGAGATGTCACTGCCTTGGTCCTTTCACTGTTGGCTGCTACTTCCTGGCGGATGTCAGGTGGTGCAATACTGGCTAGACTGTGTCATTTCTCCAGTGGTGTAGGGCGCAGGCACCCCGTGATAATGCGGCATGTCTCATTAAGAGCCACATCCACTGTTTTAGCGTGGTGAGATGTGTTCCACACTGGGCATGCATACTCAGCAGCAGAGTAGCATAGCGCAAGGGCAGATGTCTTCACTGTGTCTGGTTGTGATCCCCAGGTTGTGCCAGTCAGCTTTTGTATGATATTGTTTCTAGTGGCCACCTTTTGCTTGATATTCAGGCAGTGCTTCTTGTAGGTCAGAACACGGTCCAGGGTCACTCCCAGGTATTTGGGTGCGCTGCAATGCTCCAGTGGGATTCCTTCCTTCCCAGGTAGTGAGAAGTGATTAAATACTATAATGGAGAGATCCTACAAGACTAAAATATAGGTAACTTTGTTCTCGCATAGCCCTGTTTGCTGAATAGAAGGGTTGGTAACGGTTGTTTTCCCTTTTTTTTTCTGGTTTATTCTTGCATGAAAATTCTTGTTCCCAGTGTAAATTAACTTCCCTATCTCTTTCCTTCTACGTTTATGTACTTAATATCAGTGCTAAATGAGAAAACCCAGGTCCTTGGAGCCCCTGTTGTCATGCCACCTTTCTCATTCATTCCTTGGATGATGACACTTTGCACATTTTTCCAAACATGTTTTGAACCTCTGTGGATTCTCTTTCCCCCAGAACTCTTGTGCAGATGGAAAGATGACCTAATTGTTGAGCTCTGTGCCTCTCTCTGAAAGTGCCTCTGTCTGAAAAAACTATCCAAAGACTCCCACGTTCATTCTCTTGCTCTGGGACTGCCTAGTTATATAATATGCTTATGGTGCAAATGCTTCATTTCGCCACGCACCGAGAGTCCCTGCTATTACAGAGCCATGGACAAAGCTGAAGCCATAAATAAAGAATCTTGAACAAGCCATAAATGCTGGAGAGAAGAGCTGAGTTAGGCACTTTGGTCAAAGGCACTTGTCCAGAGCCATTTTTTATGTGTGACTGCAATCCTGTTTTAGCTCTTGAGTTGAATTCCCCCAGCTACCAGCACAGTGGTGTGAATGCATTTGTGATTTTCCAAACTGTGTTGGGTCCCTTATTGGAAGAAATAGGATGTATATCTATATAAATAAAAATGTAATGTTCATTTGTGGGATTAACAGAACTCAAAAACCACTGGACAAATTGACACCAAATTTGGACACAAGACACCTCTCAGGCCAATAAGTGACCATCACTCATAAAAACACTGAAAAACACAGTGGAAGAGACTTAAATAGCCAAAAAACAAAAAATACATTACAACACATGCACAAAATGACACATATATGCAAAAACACATATATACACATATACACAAATATATATACACACATATATACATAGCACATATGTGTATAACACACACACACACATACACATAAGGCAAACACACAAAACATATATACACAGACTGGGCCACAGCAATGCGTGGCAGGGGACAGCTAGTCTATATAAATAAAAATGTAATGTTTGTTTGTGGGATTAACAGAACTCAAAAACCAGTGAGCCAATTGACACCAAATTTGGACAGCATACACCTAAAAATCCAAAGTATGTCCTTCACTCAAAATATTTTGATTTTGACATTTGAGAGTTGTAGTTGTTGGGATTTATAGTTCACCTACAATCAAAGAGCATTCTGAACTCCACCAGTTATGGCATTGAACCAAACGTGGCACACAGGACTCCCATGACCAACAAAAAACACTTGAAGGGTTTGGTGGGCATTGACCTTGAGGTTGGGAGTTGTAGTTCACCTACATCCAGAGAGCATTATGGACTCAAACAATGATTGATCTGGACCAAACTTGGCACGAATATTCCATATGCCCAAATATGAACACAGATAGAGTTTGGGGGAAATAGACCTTGACATTTGGGAGTTGTAGTTACTGGGATTTATAGTTCACCTACAATCAAAGAGCATTCTGAACTCCACCAATGACAGAATTGGGACACACTTCCCACACAGAACCCCCATGACGAACAGAAAACACTAAAGGCCATCCAGTCCAATTCCCTTCACCAGGGCAAGAAAATGTAATCAAAGCCCTCCGGACAAAGCCATCCAGCCACAGATATAGATAGATAGATACGATTCACACACACAGAGATATTTCCACTGCCTCATGTTGGCCTGGTATGTTGCGAGAAGTCAGGCTGTTATTATAAAGTAACGTTCTTCCCTACCTTGTCTTTGCATCTGTTACCAGAATGAGTTTGGAAGCATTCCTAGATTAACTGAGCTGTAGCCAGCATAACTTTGAGGAAGCCCCTCGGAATATGGCTCAATTAAATCTCTGTCCTTCTAGTATGATCCTGAGCTGTCTTCACGGCAATTTGGAGTTGAACTCTCCCGTCTGACCAGCGAAGAGCGGACAGTGCCAGTACTCTTTGAAAAGCTCACCAATTATATAGAAATGCACGCACTCTACACAGAGGGCATCTACCGGAAATCTGGATCAACCAATAAGATTAAAGAGCTGCGGCAGGGACTTGACACAGGTAAGGAACCCTGAAGGCTGTGGAGCAGTGTCTCCCAACCTTCCTCATGCTGCGACCCCTCAATACAGTTCCTCATGTTGTGGTGACCCCCAACCATAACATTATTTTTGTTGCTACTTTATATAATTTTGCTACTCTTATGAATCGTAATGTAAATATCTGATATGCAGGATGTGTTTTCATTCACTGTACCAAATTTGGCACAAATACCTGATATGCCCAAATTTGAATACTGGTGGGGTGGGGGTGGGGATCGATATTGTCATTTGGGAGTTGTAGTTGCTGGGATTTATAATTCACCTACAATTAAAGAGCATTCTGAACTCCACCAACGATGGGATTGAACCAGACTTGGCACACAGAACTCCCATGACCAAGAGAAAATACTGAGCATTGACCTTGAGTTTTGGAAGTGTATTTTACCTACATCCAGAGAGCACTGTGGACTCAAACAATGATGGACCTGGACCAAATTTGACATGGATACTCAATATGCCTAAATGTGAACACTGCTGGAGTTTGAGGAAAATAGACCTTGACATTTGGGAGTTGTAGTTGCTGGGATGTATAGTTCACCTACAATCAAAGAGCATTCTGAACCCCATCAATGATAGAATTGGGCCAAACTTCCCACACACAGAACCTCCATAACCAACAGAAAATACTGTGTTTTCTGATGGTCTTTGGTGAACCCCCCCTCCCCCCAGTGGTCCAGATCCCCATGTTGAGAAATGCTGCTGTGGAGGATCCTGGAGGAGTGCAGCAATAATGTAATTACTAGGCCATTCCATGACAAGGGTCTAAACCAGGGGTCCTCAAACTATGGCCCGCAGGCCACTTCTGGCCCGCCAAGGGCACTTATCCAGCCCGCAGATAACCTGGCTGCCTCTCGTTGGACTATTTGAAGCTTCCAAGCAGTCTTCAAAGGCAACCCCACATAGAGTGTGTTGCAGTAGTCTATCCTAGATGTAATGAGAGTGTGGAACTATTAGCAGTGCTGACCATGTATCATTGTAGTTAATATATGTGTCATGTAGAGAGGGAAAGGGGAGTCCAGGGGACAGTTCCATCTTGTCTCCTGGATATGCCATCAGCTGGAGGCCCCTCCCCCCAGCACCAACTGTCGCTCTGGGCCAGAGTGAAGAGAGGAGAGGCCAGGAGACAGTTCCCTCTTGTCTCCTGTGCTATTCTAATAAGATAATATAATATATTGTATATACATATAATATTTATAATATTTTAATGAAATGCAATATAATAATAATACGATATTATAATTATATATTTATATTACATGTAATATTACTAATAATATTATGATATAGTGGTATGGTGCAATATAGCAATGTTTAATGCTGATATTGTACTATGCTAATAATATAATATATTGTATGTAATATATACCTTGTAAACCACTCTGAGTCCCCTTCGGAGTGAGAAAGGCGGCATATAAATGTCATAAATAAAATAAAATAATAATAAATGTCTCTATATCAGCCCAGTCTTAGGATACTCATTTATATTATCTATTTGTGGTCATACTGGTGTTGGTTTGTCTCTTACTGCATTCTGAAATGGAGTATTTTTGTTAACCTTTTCTTCTACTGTGTTTTTTTTCCTCCCATTTGTTCTATTAGATATTGAGAGCATAAACCTTGATGACTACAACATCCATGTCATTGCCAGTGTGTTCAAGCAGTGGCTACGGGATCTTCCTAATCCTCTCATGACATTTGAACTTTATGATGAATTTCTGCGAGCAATGGGTAAGGAAGTGCCATCTTTTATTTATTTATTTATTTAGGGTATTCCTATCTCACCTTTCTCTGCAACATGGACTCAGGGCGGCTTACGAACAGAATACAAACATTAAAATCCTTCAATCAGGAAAGCAAAATAGGTAAAACCATGAAACAACAACAATCAATAAAGACCCACATTTCAGTTCAAACCGCAATTCCCTTCCCTTGGGCACCTGTGCCCCATTCTATGTTGTGCTGGTCATAGACCTTAATAAATAATTGATTGATTGATTGATTGATTGAGTTAAAACCATGTATAAATGATTGCCTTAAGTAAGTTTTGTTTGTGTATTAGTGTTAGCATTGCATAAAAAAGAATGGCTATCCTATTTATTTATTTATTTAAAGATTTTGTATACCGATCTTCTCACCTCCATCGAGGGACTCAGGTGATATTGTTGTTTCCAACAACACTATCACAAACAATAATTAAAAACATCATATTCCATATTACACTAAAACATTAAAATAGCAAAATACAATCATATAATTACAATGGTCAGTCGTCACAATAAAATCGTTGTTCATCATCATCCTTCCATATCGCAGGATAATGACTCACTCGTCAAATGCCAGTTTCCAGAACCAAGTTTTCACCTGTTTTCTAAATGTCAGGATAGAAGGGGCAGTTCTGATCTCCAGTGGAAGAGAGTTCCAGAGCCGAGGGGCCACCACCGGGAAGGCCCTGTCCCTCGTCCCCACCAGACGCAATTGTGAGGCTGGTGGGACCTAGAATGTACTTTAACCGTAAATCGAATTTCGCAATTTTGTTCAGTGAGCAAAATAAAAGTGGTAGGTGTAGAGATGTGGGGTGTGTGTTACTTCCTCATTTCCTCAAATTGATATATGTTTTTATTGATATTGATTGTTTTACTTGGTTTTATATTTAAATTGATTGTTTTTAGATTGTATTTTATGTCTTTGATATTGACTGTAAACCGCTCTGAGTCGCCTGTGGGCTGAGAGGGGTGGTATATAAATGTAGTAAATAAATAAATAAATAAATAAACAAAATGCTCATTTAAGAAGGATTTGCTTTAGCCAGTACAATACAAAACTTTATTATGGTCACTGAGCAGGGCACAAGCGCTCTGGGAAGGAGAAACACAGCTCCCCAGTGAGGCAGTTATTAAAAAACAGATTGCAAAACAGTTTAAAATCACAGTTTAAAACACAGGTTATTGTTAACAGCTATGGAACCTGTGGGGGAGGGCACAGAGACTGATAGGAGGTGTCAAAGCACTGGGGGGGGGGCACTAAAGGGGATGGGAGGAGCACATTACAAGTCCAGCTGTATTTCAACTGTAACATTTTGTTCTAACTACATTCCCAACCAGATCAATCATCATCCATCTAATTTTAAGTGCTGCAGCACAAAACTTAGCAACACTGTAAGTTATTCTACTGCTAGAATCCAAAAGCAGCATGGCAGAATAATATTTTTCGCTGTGCCCATGGTGTAATGAGATTACTCCTAAGGTCTCTGTAGAACATGCATTGAAGAAGTACATGTTCAGTTGTTTCTCTGAGTCCGGACTCACAGAGGCATAGTCTTTCCTTGAAGGGGTTTTTCTGATCCCTCCCCTCCAATACAGCTGATGGGAGGGCATGGTATCTTGCCAGGGTAAAAGCCCTTTGGTGTTTGGGCACCTCCAGATCTGATAAGTATGCCATGGGGGCAGGGAGGTATCTATTGGCTTCCATAACAAGGTGTAAGTCTGTAGGATCTATATAGCAATATTAAATGACCACTCACAAGCTGGTTTTGCTTTGAAATGGATATATTGCTTGTATCTCTGCAGCAAAGAAAGACACTACTGACTTTTTCCCACCACTACTTCCTTTTATACCCCTTTCCTGCCCAACTCCCTCCGCTTCTCAGTTTCCTTATTAGAGCTGGTTGCTTCACAAGTTCCAATACAAGGTTTCCAGCGCCCTCTGCTGGCTTCAAAATGTCAGAGAGAGAATTGAGGCAGCCAGGATGATTCAGTCAGGATGTCACGGAGGGAATTTGTGATGTCTTCATGCCCTCAGAAATTGACTCCTGACACAAGGTCTGATTGGTACTCTATGTCCAGGATCCGTTGCTTAATGAGATCTTTGGCTTGGTCCCATCTCACGCTTAGCAATTGTCCTTGGGAGAAACCTAGTGTTGCAATCTTTACTGTTTTAGTCCATATGGACTGGGTTGCCCCTCATGGTTAGCGGGGCAAGACCACATGGGGAGGATAAGTGTATCCAGTAGTTGAGAATGGCTGTCCATATTCTCGCCTCCATTTTCACAAAGCCTGTCTCCAATCGCAGGGTGGCATTAGAGACATATCTGGGAGCCTGTAAAGCTGCTCTTAGGAATTTTGATTGAACACGCTGTAGTGGGCCATAATTTGAAAAGGGGCCAGGCTGGGCTCCATACAGCATTTGTGCAATTGGTTTAGCTTTGAAAAGTTTAGGTGCCATCGGTATAAATTGGCCTCCACCCGTCTTGAGTTATCTTAAGATGGCGGACAAGCTCTTTTGCACTGTCTCTGCTGCGTACTCTGCATGGGCTTTCCTGCTGTTAGTGCAATGGAGGATTACTCCCAGGTATTTAAAATTTGACACCTGCTCAATTTTTTTTTACATCTATTCTCCAGTTGTACTTCTTGAGTCGTTTAACAAACATCATAATTTTGGTTTTCTGAAAATTGATATGTAGCTGTTCTGCCTGGCAGTAATTTGTTAATACTCTCAGGGCTCTTTTCAGTCCAACTTAAGTTCCAGAAAGAACTGTGTCATCTGCATAAAGTACGGTGGATAGATGCCTTCCTTCTAATTTTGGAGGGTAGAAGTCCAAGTTGTATAGGTGTTCCAGCATGGCATTGAATAATAGTGGAGCCAAAATGCACCCTTATTTGACGCTTTGCTTGATACTGCTTAATCCAGTAAACACCTTAAATCAACTATAATTCCATTGAATGAAATCGATGTTCTTTTACAGGCTTGCAGGAGAGGAAGGAAGCCATCCGTGGAGTATACTCTGTCATTGATCAGCTTTCTCGCACTCATCTTCATACCTTGGAAAGGCTGATCTTTCACCTCGTCAGGTACTAGTATTGAAGCAAATAGGATATTAACTCCTTTCTTTAATGGATGTCATATAAACTGTGTATATGTTCCCTATCATCAATACTGTTTTAACTCATGAGTGGGTAGATTGCTCCTCCTGCCATCTGATCACTCACAGTAAGTTATAACTACTCTTTTACTTTTGCTATGACTGTTCTCATGTGCAAAATTTGCAGAATGTAAATTTGCAGAATGTCTGGAAATGCTTGACAAGCACAGTAGCAATGGCTAGTGTTTATAAGATATCTGTCATCTTGGAAGAGGTATCCAGTGCAGCATGGTAGAAGGAGTTATCCACATTCATTAGATACTGCATAATAAACAAGTTTAAAGGGATATAGGTGGCTTTTGTTTGCATAGTGCTGCAGTCAGTGCTTCAGGATGAGCAAAAAACTAAGGATTTTGGTACATTGCACATGCAAGTGGATTGCTGCTTAACTCATGACGGAATGCACTCATGCCATGTGGAATCATGGATATGGAAATACTTTAAAAAATCAGAAAGGTGCTTAGGGTATTGTTTTTGCTTCACATTTCAATTGTAAAATTCTGTCTTGTATTTCTTATAAGTTAACTAGCCGTCCCCTGCCAGGCGTTGCTGTGGCCCAGTCTGGTGATCTGGAAAATAAAGTAATGAGAAAGTGTTGGTTTCTAATATATGTAATTTCTTTATGTTTGTGGGTAAACAGTATTTCTTGTTGTTTCTTTGTCAGTGTTGATGTGGAGAGTCTGGTTTGCCTATTCTGGAACATGCAACATATCATTGTCCTTCTTTAGGGGCCCCTTTCAAATCTTTGATACTGCATCTGCCATATACATATATGTGCATGTGTGATTGGCTGGATGGCCCTTTGTCAGGAGGGCTTTGTCAGGAGGGCTTTGATTATGTTTTCTTGCCCTGGTGAAGAGAGTTGGACTGGATGGCCTCAAGGCAGTATTTCTTAGCCTGGGGTTTGGGACCCCGGGGTGGGGGTGCAAGGGGGTGTCAGAAGGGTCGCCAAAGACCATCTGAAAACACAGTATTTTCTGTTGGTCATGGGGGTTCTGTGTGGAAAGTTTGCCCCAATTCTGTCATTGGTGGAGTTTAGAATGCTCCTTGATTGTAGGTGAACTATAAATCCCAGTAACTACAACTTCCAAGGTCTATTTTCCCCAAACTCCATCTGTGTTTATATTTGGGCATATTGAGTATTCGTGCCAAGTTTGGTCCAGATCCATCATTGTTTGAGTCCACAGTGTTATCTAGATGTAGATGAACTACAACTCCAAAACTCAAGGACAATGCCCACCAAACCCTTCTAGTGTTTTCTGTTGGTCAGGGGAGTCCTGGGTGCCAAGTTTGGCTCAATTCCATTGTTGGTGGAGTTCAGAATGCTCTGTGATTGTAGGCGAACTTTAAATCCCAGCAACTACAACTCCTAAATGACAAAATCATAATTTTTGAGTGATGGTCACTCCTTGTGATGTGAGACGTTTTGTTGCCAATCTTGGTGTGATTTCATTCATTGGTTCTTTTGTTTTTAAGGTACTCATTACGCACAGAACATTTATATATATATATATATATATAGAGAGAGAGAGAGAGAGAGAGAGAGAGAGATAGAGAGATAGATAATGGTGATGGGTTGCTGGCTGTATAATAAAACTGTCATGTTTATTTATTTATTTACAGTATTTCTATTCCACCCTTCTCACCCCACAGGGACTCAGGGTGGATTACAATGCACATATACATGGCAAACATCAATTCTAGTTAGACACACAACATATATAGATAGACACAGAGGCAATTTAACATAGAAGGGAGAAGAGTTGATAAAACCTTGTAGGACTCTGGCCTGGCTGGCTGGCTTGAGTGCATACCTTACATGTGTTGGGCGAGTGGGCTTATTAACGAAAGATCCTCCTCATAAATGCACAACAGAGTAATTTATCAGCAGCATAATCCAGCACCAGTAGCCCAAAGTGATAAAAAGAACAAAAACACAAAGACCAATGTTATCTCTTTCATAGGAGGCTTTTCTTTTGTAGTAAAATAATATAGTTGCACTATTTACAATAACAAGGTTTCCATAACACAAATAAATAAATACATAGTAGCTTTACACGCAGCAGCTTTCACACTGGAGCTTTCTCACACAAGCCTTCTCTCACACAGAGGTTTACCTTGCAGTCCTCAGGACAGCACTAACTTTGGCTAACAGGCTTCGGCATACTAACTCTTTCAGTGCTTGACTCACACTTTTGCAATAAAAACCGTAGTTAATTTTTAATATTTCTGACAACACATTAAAAATATAATTAAAATTTCCCTCTTCTTTCGCTTCATCGCTGCCAGCTCCTCAGTAAACCAAGGAGCTGGTTTAGCTCGGTTACTTGAGAGGGGACGTTCCGGAGCAATCATGTCAATTGCCCTAGTCATCTCCCCATTCCAGAGAGCGACCAAGGCCTCGACATGGTCACCTACCGAGGTGGCGGGAAAATCCCCAAGAGCCGTCAGGAATCCATTCGGATCCATAAGCCTCCTGGGGCGGACCATCTTAATGGGTCCTCCACCTTTGCAGAGGTTAGGGGGCGCAGTGAGCCTAAATCTGATCAGGAAGTGGTCGGTCCATGGCAACGGAGAGATGGACAACTCCTCCACACCGCCACCCTGCTCCCATCCCTGGCAGAAAACCAAGTCCAATGTATGTCCAGCACAGTGGGTGGGGCCAGATATTTGTTGGGACAGCCCCATGGTTGCCATGGCAGACATGAAGTCCTGAGCCGCTCCTGTGAGGGTCGCCTCGGCATGGATATTGAAGTCTCCCAGCACAAGAAGCCGTTGAGACTCCAACGCCAGGCTCGAGACTACCCCCGCTAGCTCAGGTAGGGAGACTGTAGTGCAGCGAGGTGGATGGTACACTAACAGAATCCCTAATCTGTCCCGGTCACCCCCAAACCCTTCTAGTGTTTTCTGTTGGTCAGGGGAGTCCTGGGTGCCAAGTTTGGCTCAATTCCATTGTTGGTGGAGTTCAGAATGCTCTGTGATTGTAGGCGAACTTTAAATCCCAGCAACTACAACTCCTAAATGACAAAATCATAATTTTTGAGTGATGGTCACTCCTTGTGATGTGAGACGTTTTGTTGCCAATCTTGGTGTGATTTCATTCATTGGTTCTTTTGTTTTTAAGGTACTCATTATGCACAGAACATTTATATATATATATATATATATATATAGAGAGAGAGAGAGAGAGAGAGAGAGAGAGAGAGAGAGAGAGAGAGAGAGAGAGAGAGAGAGAGAGAGATAATGGTGATGGGTTGCTGGCTGTATAATAAAACTGTCATGTTTATTTATTTATTTACAGTATTTCTATTCCACCCTTCTCACCCCACAGGGACTCAGGGTGGATTACAATGCACATATACATGGCAAACATCAATTCTAGTTAGACACACAACATATATAGATAGACACAGAGGCAATTTAACATAGAAGGGAGAAGAGTTGATAAAACCTTGTAGGACTCTGGCCTGGCTGGCTGGCTTGAGTGCATACCTTACATGTGTTGGGCGAGTGGGCTTATTAACGAAAGATCCTCCTCATAAATGCACAACAGAGTAATTTATCAGCAGCATAATCCAGCACCAGTAGCCCAAAGTGATAAAAAGAACAAAAACACAAAGACCAATGTTATCTCTTTCATAGGAGGCTTTTCTTTGTAGTAAAATAATATAGTTGCACTATTTACAATAACAAGGTTTCCATAACACAAATAAATAAATACATAGTAGCTTTACACGCAGCAGCTTTCACACTGGAGCTTTCTCACACAAGCCTTCTCTCACACAGAGGTTTACCTTGCAGTCCTCAGGACAGCACTAACTTTGGCTAACAGGCTTCGGCATACTAACTCTTTCAGTGCTTGACTCACACTTTTGCAATAAAAACCGTAGTTAATTTTTAATATTTCTGACAACACATTAAAAATATAATTAAAATTTCAAAACTGCATCATCATACAGTATAATATTAATAATAATATGATATTATAATTATATATTTTATATTACATGTAATATTACTAATAAAATTACAATATAATTGTATAGTACAATATAGTGATGTATAGCACTGATATTGTACTGTGCTCATGATACAATGTATTGTATGTGTGTGTGTGTGTGTGTATAACATAACTTATAAGCCGCTCTGAGTCCCCTTTGCGGTGAGAAGGGCAGCATATAAATGTCGCAAATAAATAAATAAAACATATAAATGAGTTGCTTTTCAGCTTATCCAAGAATAAAAAGTCATGATTACTTGGTTGTTCATTGGTGGGTTTTTTGTTTTGTTTTTTTAAATATTATTATTTATTTATTTTATTTTTGCTGCTTGTTAGGATTGCCCTGCAAGAGGAGACCAACCGAATGTCTGCTAATGCCTTGGCCATTGTATTCGCTCCATGTATTCTTCGTAGCCCTGACACCATGGACCCTCTGCAGAGTGCTCAGGATGTCAGCAAAACCATCAGGTAAAACAACAACAACAACTTAGAAGCAAGAATAAGAAGGCACAGCACTGCAACAAAAATGGGACCCTAGAAATGGCAGTTGTCTGGATGTACTATTTTCATTTCTCAGAAGAATAAAAATCAATGGACTAATAACTTCTATTGTATAAATGTTAACAATAATTTGTCCTCAAATAATAAGCATCAGCCATCTGTTTCTTCTCTTTGCCATTTTTTCTTTCAGCTGTGTGGAGCTGATAGTTATTGAGCAGATGAATAAATATCGGGCCCGGCTCAAAGACATCAGCAGCCTGGAGTTTGCAGAGAACAAGGCCAAGAGTCGACTGTCGTTGATTCGCAGGTCCATGGTAAGGGTCGGGACTTGGAGGGATTTGAGACAAGCTATGATCTCTGGACCAAGAAGAAATGTATTGGGGGAATCAGCTGCCTTCCCCTCACTTGCCCAGCTCACATTAGCTGATGTAGCATTCCTTAAGAGAGAATTGGAAACCTTGCTTGTACATGTCCCACCCAATGCTGCAATCTATATAAATAAAAATGTAATGTTTGTTTGTGGGAGAAACATAACTCAAAAACCACTGGACAAATTGATACTAAATTTGGACACAAGACACCTCTCAGGCCAACAAGTGACCATCACTCATTAAAACACTGAAAAACACAGTGGAAGAGACTTAAAAAGCAAAAAAAACCATGACAACATATGCACAAAACCACATATATACACAAACACACATATGTACACATATACACAAATATATACATACATATATGCATATATACACACACAAAACACATACACAGAAAGGGGGGAAGGAAGGAAGAGAAGGAGGGAAGGAAGAGAAGGAGGGAAGAAAAAGAGAAAGGAAGGAAGAAAGGAGAGAAGGAAATAAAAAAAGTGAAAAAGAAGGAAGAAAGAGAGAGGGAAAAAAAGAGAGAAAGAGGAAGGAGGGAAAAGAGACAAGGAAGGATGGAACCGAAAGAGCAAAGGAAGCGAGGAAGGAAAAAAACAGGTAGAGAGGGAGGAGGAAGAGAGAAGGAAGGAACGAAAGAGGAAGGAAGGAAAGAGACAAGGAAGGATGAACAAAGAGCAAAGGAAGCAGGAAAGAAAGAAGGTAGAGAAGGAGAAGGAAGGAGAGAGAAGGAAATAAAAAGGAAAAGAAGGAAAAAAAGAGGGAAGGAAGGAGAGAAGAAACGAAAGAAAGAAAGAAAGAGGGAAGGAAGGAAAGACAAGGAAGGATGGAACTAAAGAGCAAAGGAAGCAAGGAAAGAAACAGCTAGAGAAGGAAGGAAGAAGAAGGGAAAGAAGAAGGGATGGAAGGAGAGAAAGAAAGAAGGAAAGAAAGAAAGAGGGGGAGGGAAGCTTGACCACAGCAACGCGTGATGGGTACAGCTAGTTACTTAATATAATTTTAGGTTATATTGCAAATGTGTGCATGGAAGTCTTTTGCTTAGGACTGGGTAGAAAGCCGCCTGTCCCTTTTCTCCCCTCCCATCCTGCTGATCTTTTCCTCTTCCCATCTTTTCAAACCTTAACACATCTTAAATCCCTTTACACCTAATCAGGTCCAACACAGAATCTAAAGACTGGGCGTTGTTGCTAATGTTTTGAGTGTTCAGAGGTGGGCTTGTCTACTGAAAACAAAGCAAAGAAACCCCAGAGAAACTGGGAATGGGGTTTTCTAGCATTATCCCATCTAGGTAACCCATGCATTTCTTTTGGGCGCTGTTTTTGTTTTACACTTTTCAAGCTAAGGTTTGTGCCTCTGAGCTGCTTTAGTTTGTGTGTAATTGATCTTCCTCCATGACCTTTGTGTCTGGTTCCCCTTAATTACACACTGCTCACATCTTACACTGCTTACGGAAGAATGGGCTTCCATTCACCTGCCTCCTAAATGCACGTGCCAGTGGAAGAGCCTGGGGTGAAGCTGCAGTTGAACCTACCTCAAACTTCACATGGCAGATTGCTTTTTCCCTCCTTGCTTCATGAGATGTGAAAAGCTTCCATGTTCCCTGTTGGGCTCCTTAGTTGAAAGGCAGCTTTCAGCACTGACATGGCCTCTGTTGTCTTCTGGTGTGAGCTAAGGATATGGCAGCTGTGTATACATGTTACCTATTCTCTGCTTTCAGACTTGGTTGTTCATGAGGCAAGGGACCCAATTATTCTCTGCTGGAAATAAAGATGAACTACGAGGGTTGAATGAAAAGTAATGCCTCCACCTTCGTTACTTGGGTTTGGATGGGAATATTTTACTAAATCAATCACAGAAATAACCCTTAGAATGTGCTCTTTAACTACCACTATTCACTTTTCCACATAATCACCAGACAATTGGATACATTTCTGCCAACGATGAACAAGTTTTCTGAAGCCATCACGGAAGAAGTCAACACTTGATGTATGGCAAGTGTTCTTGTCATACATCAAGGAAACCACTGACCGCAGAGGGAAGTTGATGAGGAAACACAACATACAAACTATCTACAGACCCACCAAGAAAATCCAACCAATGCTCTGTTCAGCAAAGGACAAGAGGGATCCTCTCATCTCTGCAGGAGTCTACCGTATACCATGCAGCTGTGGACAAGTCTACAGAGGGACCACCAAACGCAGCAATGACCAAACACGAATCAAGGAACATGAAAGGCACTGCAGACCACTTCAACCAGAGAAGTCAGCCATAGCAGAGCACCTGATGAACCAACCTGGACACAGCATATTACTTGAGGACACAGAAATGCTGGACCACTCTCACAACCACCATGTCAGATTACACAGAGAAGCCATTGAAATCCACAAGCATGTGGACAATTTCAACAGAAAGGAAGAAACCATGAAAATGAACAAAATCTGGCTACCAGTATTAAAAAACTCTAAAATTACAACAGCAAAACAACAGAGAGGAAACAATCAGGGACATCTAATCACCTCTCAACAAAAGATTGCCCCACACACTGTCAGGCCATCAAATGTTAATCAAGGTGGTCAGTTGAAACATTCACACCTAGCTCCAGCAGACAAGAGTCCTTTGTCCCACCCTAGTCATTCCACAGATATATAAACCCATTTTCCTAGTTCCAACAGGCCTCACTACCTCTGAGGATGCTTGCCATAGATGCAGGCAAAAAGGCAGGAGAGAATGCCTCTAGAACATGGCCATATAGCCCGAAAAAACCTACAACAACCCAGTCAACACTCTGTTTCCGCAACCAGCGTCTCACAGTTCTCTCAACTTCTTCATCAGAGGCATAATGATGTCCCTGCAGATCTTCTTTCATTATCAGGAACAGATGCTGCAAGTCGTTTCTGGAGTGAGAGAATCAGCTGTCTACAAAGACGTTGCCCAGGGGAAGCCCAGATGTCTTGCAATCCTGCGAAGGGGCTTCTCTCATGTCCCCTAAGTCTCACGCCAACGACTTAAATCAAGAAATAGTTTTCTAAGATCTACAGAGACACTCGCTGGAACACCTCAGCAAGCGAGAGTCCCAAAAGTGGCCGGCTCAAACCCAGAACCTCAATCAATGGCTGGGACCAAATGAGAGACTCCCTCCTGGGCACACAGAAGACTGGGTGACTTGGAAGGCGCTAAACAGACTGCGCTCTGGCACCACGAGATGCAGAGCCAACCTTAAGAGATGGGGCTACAAAGTGGGATCCACGACATGCGAGTGTGGAGAAGAGCAAACCACTGACCACCTGCTGCAATGCAACCTGAGCCCTGCCATATGCACAATGGAGGACCTTCTTAGAGCAACACCAGAGGCACTCCACATGGCCAGCTACTGGTCAAAGGACATTTAATAGAATACCAAGTCTCCAAACTTTGTGTTTAGTTTGTTTGTTTGTTTTTAATGCAATACAACTGTTTTGGTTTGCTCCTGACACGATAAATAAATAAATAAATCAGGAACAGATGGAAGTCAGTCGATGCTAAATCTGGACTGTATGGAGGATGCCGTAAGGTGGTGAGATCCAGTCTCTGAAGTTCTGCTGTAATGGTATGTGAAGTGTGTGGCATTGTCATGCTGCAGGAAAACATTTCCCTTTTCCTTTCAGACCCTTGTCAGCCGTCATTTCAAAGTTTGTAGCCTTGTGATGTAACGCTCTGAATTTATTGTTGTTCTACGTTGAAGGAACATGGATAACACCATCTGCATCCCAGAACACTGTTGCCATGATTTTTCCAGCTGAGGGCTGTGTCTTGAATTTCTTTTTCTGGGGCCAGTCTTTATGTCGATATTTTACAGACGGACACTTCGTCTCCGGGTCGTAATGGTATACCCACGTTCCGTCTCCTGTCACAATTGAATGGAGAAAGGCGTCACCTTCATTCTCATAACATGAGAGGCAAATTTCAAGTCTGTGCGCTTTCATTTCAGGCGTCAGCATCCTGGGTACCCATTGTGCACAGATCTTCCGATAGCTAAGCAAAGCAATAATGTGACCCACACGTTCTTGTGAAATGTTGATTATGCTTGAAATTTCTCTCTGAGTGATACAACGATCATCGTGAATCAATCTGTCAATCTTTTGCTTGTGAAACTCGGTGGTTGCTGTCACAGGATATCCAACTCTTTGTCACACAAGTCAGATGTTTCCACTTCAGCATCTTTAAACTTACTCACCCGACGACGCACAGTACTCACATCAACACAATCACCATAAACAGCTTGCATTCTCTGATGAATCTCCTTTGGGTGACACCTTCTGTTGTCAAGAATTCAATGACTGCACTTTGCTGAAGTCACATTGACCGACCATCTGTGCAGGGTTCTATACTTCGCACTTTAACAACACAACTGTTCAACGCTAAGACGTCTCACCAAAATGGAACTGTAGAGGAGAGACTACTGAACAAGCCAGTACCTGCCGACTACATTGCTTAAGTCGCATTGACCGACCGTCTGCGCAGGGTTCCATACTTTGCACTTTAACAACACAACCGTTCAATGCTAAGCCTTTCCACCAAAATGGAACTGTAGAGGAGAGTCTACTGAACAAGCCAGTACCTGCCGACTACATTGCTTATGTCGCATTGACCGACCGTCTGCGCAGGGTTCCATACTTTGCACCTTAACAACACAACTGTTCAGTGCTAAGGCATTCCACCAAAATGGAACTGTAAAGGAGCGTCTACTGAACAAGCCAGTACCTGCTACATACGTTGCTTAAGTCGCATTGACTGACCGTCTGCGCAGGGTTCCATACTTCACACTTTAACACAATCGTTCAATGCTAAGGCTTCCCGCCAAAATTGAACTGTAGAGGAGAGTCTACTGAACAAGCCAGTACCTGCCGCATACCAGTACTGCCATCTGTTGAGGAGTTACGAAGGTGGAGGCATTACTTTTCATTCAACCCTCGTATCTGGGTCTTCTTGGCATGTTCTACTGGGAGTGCATTTTAATGGTCCCAGATGCTTTTATGCCAGTAGCTTGTCACTCATTTGCGCTTTCTCGAAGTTGCAACCAAGACTTGGCTCTCTCTTGGAAACCCAGCAGCTGTGTGAGAAGGGCGTTGGCACGTGCACTCTAACCTGCTCCTTTCCTTTTCCTATCCTCTCTAATCCAGAAACCTGTACTAATTGCCGTTAGATTTATGAGCATAACCCGCAGCTCAATCCCGGTATGTATTAGAATTGCATCGCACTGACCTCATGCTTAATCCTCCACTCATTCAAGTGCTGCTGCATGCTCCGTGCCATAACCCACACCTCATGACTCTGTCTGTCTGTGTTTCCCCTTTAAATTGCTCTCAGTGTCTTGTAGTAGAACCACCACTGATAGGGAGTGCCAGGACACCATTTTTTCTCAGAAGATTTATCAGGAAGAAGAAAATAGTGATTGGCATTGCAAAGGGATGAATTTCCTACCAGTATCTGATGCCAAAGAGGAAGACCATAAGGTGCATTCTGCCTTCCTCACCGTGGAACAGAGGGTCAGCCACAAAGTGAGGCAGGACAACTTGGTAAAGCTTGAGTCTGGCCAAATTATTCATTTGGAAACTTGGATTCATGCTTTCTAGCCATATTATTCCATTAGGAATATTATTCTTTATCTACTCTTTGTTTCTTCTTTTGCTTGCCCCTTTTTCAAGATCGGACCATAACTCTAATCATGTGCAATATAATAAACACAAAATCTGAGGAAATCTGTCACCACTTGACTCCAGTTTAATCAGAGTGTTGGTTTGGTTTTTTTAATTGCTCCCCCGAGTGGCGCAGTGGGTTAAACCACTGAGCTGCTGAACTTGCTGACCGAAAGATTGGCAGTTCGAATCTGGGGAGAAGGGTAAGCTCCTGCTGTTAGGCCCAGCTTCTGCCAACCTAGCTGTGCTGTCGCGCACTGGGCCTATGACAATGTCTGTTTATAGGACATGCTTTCTGTATGCCCAACGGGATGCCGGGGTGCCTCAGCTAAAGGGTCTCACAGGTTTCCCGACATAAAGTTCTTTAGAGGCTCAAAATAAGTCCAACAAAGTTCTTTATTAAGGCTTAAATCTTTGAACAAATGGATAAAATGCCATATAATCTTGAAAAACTTGGTAGCTTTCTCAATCTGCCGACAAGGGACAGGCAACTGCTTAATAAACTGTTCCTTTCCTCTTTAGGGAAACCTTCCGACCCTTTCTTGGGCAATCTTTCTTAATCCTGCTGGCGTGAGGCCCCAACTCCCGGCTCCAAGCTGCGTTATGGATAGCCCAAGTGGTCCCTTACCAGGCAATGGTCGTTGCAGATCTGCCAAGCTGGTGTCCCTTTAGTTTCTCCACAAAGGCTGTGGGAACTATTTCTTTTGCCCAACAAAGGCTGGCTGTATTCTTCCAGCAAAGCTGTGGAACTGTAACTTTACTCCCCAGCAGAGCTGTAGAGATTTTCCTTTCTTCTCCAGCAAAGGCTGGCTGTAGATGTATATCTTTAACCCCGGCAGAACTGTAAGAAGCAAAGCTTTTTACAGGTGGGGCAGAGAAGTGCCCACACGTCCTACTGTGGGGCTCTAAACTGTGAGACTGAACTGAAAGTCCCCTTTTCCCTCCAAAACCTGGGGAAAGGGGCGGATCTAAGGGCTCTAATGATGATTGATAGGTCGTTGGGCCTATGATTGCAACCTGGGGAAAGCAAAATGCAAGGCCCAAATAAATTCAAACAAACTAATCAGTGCAAGAAAAGGAATTCAAATCTCCTGGCACAGCCATGCCAGCATACTAGCAGTTCAAAAACATGCAAATGTGAGTAGATCAATAGGTACCGCCTGGGTGGGAAGGTAACATGCAGTCATGCCGACCACATGACCTTGGAAGTGTCTATGGACAATGCCAGCTTTTCAGCTTAGAAATTGAGATGAGCACCACCCCTCAGTTGGACACAACTAGACTTAATGTCAGGGGAAAACCTTTATCTTTACTTGTTTTTTTCTTCTTCAAAAGATAAGCAATTTTTGAATTTTCAGAAAGAACCACATAACAAGAAATTACTCAATTCTGGCAGAGAAGAACATATAGCTAACAGGAAGTCATATGAAAGTCGTTTGTAAATTTATGAGCATATGAAAATGAAAGTTAGATCTGACTTCTGCAGATCTTGGTCTTCTTCCAAGTCAGATCCTTTATTTAGCTCTGTGTTATCCACATCCACCGCAAGGACCTCTTTCTAAGTTTCAAGAAATGATTTGCTCATATTGTGGCTCCCTATTGTAACTGAGGGTGGTGCAGCGGGTTAAACTGCTGAACTGCTGACGGAAAGGTTGGCATTTCAAATCCAGGGAGCAGGGTGAGCTCCCGCTGTTAGGCCCAGATTCTGCCAACCTAGCAGTTCGAAAACATGTGAGTAGATCAATAGGTACTGCTTCTATGGGGAGGTAATGGTGCTCCATGCAGTCATGCTGGCCACATGACCTTGGAGGCGTCTATGGACAATGCCAGCTCTTCGGCTTAGAAATGGAGATGAACACCACCACCCCAGAGTCAGACACAATTAAACTTAATGTCAGAGGAAACCTTTACCTTATTGTAACTGAGATCTACAGGAACATATTTTTCATTAACCTCTGGTAAAAATGAATGTTTTGTCAGACCAGGAAGATTTCTGGGAACTAAAGTAATCAATGTGTCAGTGGGCTATTATTCCTGTCCTGTCTGTGTCCTTGCCAGTTACCTACAGATACTGTTTGTTCCTCTAGTTTACCTGTGCTAAGAAATGTGTGTGTTGATCGGGCTCTGAAGTTGGCCCCCGACTGTGCTCCTCATCAGCCCATCTATGCTTGCAGGGGAAAGGGCGTGCACGTCGAGGGACCTACCCAAGCCCCTCATCACCGGCCCCAGTCCGATTACCCTCGGTGTCGGATGTTCCTGAAGAAGCGCTGAGCAGCGAGGAAGCAATGGAGATGGATGTCACCGAACAGCAACAAGTCGCTATGCAGCAGGAAGAGAGGGTGCTGACGGAACAAATTGAGAGCCTGCAGAAAGAAAAGTGAGTCTGGAATCATAGAACTGAAAAATGTAGGATGGCATGCGTACATATGGTACAAAAGGGAACAAAAGGAGAAAGGCTTTGGAAATCATTTTATTAGATCAGCCCTACTTAGAGTCTGGTCAAAATATAGGAGAAATTTTTACATTAATAATAATAATAATGCTTTATTTGTACCCCACTACCATCTCCCCAAGGGACTCGGTGCGGCTTACATGAGGCCGAGCCCACAATACACATGAAGACCCACCCCCACCCCACCCCGGGTATCTCCGATGGAAGCTAACCAGAGAACACTGCTTGGTTGGATTAATTGGCCTACTTATAAGGACCTATTAATTAAAAAGAATTTACTAATATCTCCTGGTTGCATTACCTAAAAATTAAGGAATATTATAATAAAGATTTTAAAAATAGGTTTTAATTTGAAAGAATCAAGCTGGGACAAAATTTTACAGACAGAGAAAAATTAATTACAAAAATTTATAATCAATTATTAGACTGGCATACAGAATCAGAAGTGGTTAAAAATTGCATGATCAGATGGTCAGAAAATTTAAGACGTCCAATACAGATGAAAGAATGGGAACAAATTTGGACAAAAAATCAAAATATACCTATGCTATGGACTTAAAAGAAAACTTTTTAAAGATGTTTCATAGATGGTATATGACCCCCCAAAAAATAGGACTTATGTATAAAAACGTAAGCAAAACTTGTTGGAAATGCCAGAATCACAAGGACAGCTTCTTCCACATGTGGTGGACTTGTAAAGAAGCCCAAAAATATTGCAAAATGATACATGAGGAGTCCCAAAATCTATTATGAATTAAATTTGAAAAAAAAACCAGACTATTACCTTTTAGGGCTCACAGACTTTGAATTAAATATGGATCACAATAAAGATATTTTATTTACATATATTTGTACGGCGGCAAGAATCATTTATGCGAAGTACTGGAAATTAAATAAAATTCCAGATAGGGAAGACTGGATAAGAGAAATCAGAGACATGGACAAATTAACGTTTTTTTAAAAGTCAAATTCGGGAAACCCGATAAGAAAGACAGACTGGATGTGTATGAAAGAGGAAAAAATACGAAAGACAATGTCTAGAGAAGTCTATCACTTTTTTCCACTTTTTTTTGGAATAATATATAATAATAGACATATCCTTCCTGGTTAAAACTTTTTAAAAAATCATTAGAAAGATCTAGACAAGAAGAAACAGCTGAAGCACAGAATGGAAATAATCAATTTATTATTGTTGTTGTTATTATTATTTATTTTATTCTTTTATTTTTCTCTTCTACCTCAGGACATTTATTACTATTATCTCTTCTCTAATTTTCTGTCTTTCCTATAAAATGATTGTTCTCACACTTTCCATGTGACAAATTCCGTTGGGTTTTTTTTTCTCTTTTTTTGTTTCTTTTTAATTTTTTATCTTATCAACTCCTATTTCTTATATTTTATTACTTATGCTATACCAATAAAATGTATCTTTATATAAAAAGAACTAAAAAATGTACAGAGTTTGTCAGGTTGCAGGTTCTAACTGAGCTGCCTTGATAGAAGTGGACAAAATAGGTCGTCCTATGTCTTTCATTTGAGATGTGTCCATTCTATAGTTTGTTACTGTTATGTGTGAGTATTTTCCAGTGAGCTCAATATTGTATTATTTCTGGGTTCCCTGCCCATTCTGCCTAGTGCCTATCCTTCCATTCGCTGACGTGTGTTTTGCTTTTCAGGGAAGAGTTAACTTTTGAGATGCTAGCACTGGAGCCACGGGCCTCTGACGATGAGACTCTCGAATCTGAGGCTTCAATTGGCACAGCAGATAGCTCCGAAAACCTCAACTTTGATTCTGAAGGAACCGTCTCAGACAGATCAGGTGAGAAAAGGCTATTTTAGAATTATGTTTCCTAGATTTGCAAGTTAAAATTAAAGACCAGTACTCTTGAGCAACCATCAGTGGCTTTCTATTAAAGCTTGCAATATCAAGAACTGAATGTAAAATAACTGCATCTCAAAATAAGTGATATCTATATTATCTGGGTGGCATGGTGGAATTTTATTTTATTTTTTTGGTCGTGTCAGGAGCGACCGCTCCTGTTGTGAGAGAATTGGCCGTCTGCAAGGACGTTGCCCAGGGGATGCCCGGATGATTTCATGTTTTATCATCCTTGTGGGAGGCTTCTCTCATGTCCCCGCATGAGGAGCTGGAGCTGATAGAGGGAGCTCATCCGCCTCTCCACATATGGGTTCTCCCGCACCAACCCTGATTTGGCAGGGCCATTGTTGTAGTTCAACCTGTGATGGTGTCTGATGTTAATGGGGATGAAGGTTTTCCTGGGCCTGAATCAAGTCCAATCGAGAGGCCCGAGATGTCTTATTATTATTATTATTATTATTATTATTATTATTATTATCATCATCATCATCATCATCATCATCAATACATACAGAGTAAACAACATAACCATAAGATTAACAAAACAATATAAGCATAAAAATTGTCGCCATAACACACATATATTAAAAATAATCCTGCCTGTTAAAGGCAATTTAAAAGGCCGGGCTGAGATTAGTGCAAGCTCAAAAATTCTAGGAGGCCTGGGAATTGAGTGCAGTGCTAGAGCAGGTGACAACAATAATAGGTACGGGCCTATTAGAGGAAGTGACCTGGGTAATTGGTAGGAAGAATAAGACCATATTTAGAATGAGATCATTCAACTTATCAAAACATTATCCAACCATATCAAATATATATATATGTACAAACAAAGACGGAAAGGCAGGGTGAATACTGGCATTAATGGCATTAGACTTACTGCTAGCTGCATGGGTCATATACGTCTAAAATGTCATTGTGCATGTAGAAGAGCATACACAAATAATCAGCACCAACAGACAATGGTATATTCTTAATGTGAAATTATGTTAGAAAATATGCAGAATTCTGAGTAACACCAAAGATATTTTGCATTTGAACATCAAAGAGTTGGAAGAGACCTCATGGGCCATCCAGTCCAACCCATTCTGCCAAGAAGCAGGAATATTGCATTCAAATCACCCCTGACAGATGGCCATCCAGCCTCTGTTTAAAAGCTTCCAAAGAAGGAGCCTCCACCACACTCCGGGGCAGAGAGTTCCACTGCTGAACGGCTCTCACAGTCAGGAAGTTCTTCCTAATGTTCAGATGGAATCTTCTTTCTTGTAGTTTGAAGCCATTGTTCCGCGTCCTAGTCTCCGGGGCTGCAGAAAACAAGCTTGCTCCCTCCTCCCTGTGGCTTCCTCTCACAATATTTATTCCTCTCACTATTCCTACTTTACCTCATTCATCTTTCTAGTATATTCATGTAATGAGAGCTTCTAATTGGTGCCTGCTTTTGGAGTCATAAATTTTATCATTCATATTGAAAAGGATACAGCTATGAGACTGCTTTTGAAGAGTGTTCGGAGTACTCTTGACCTGCATCCTCTGAAATGTGGCCTTGGTAGACTGCTCAGTTTCAGGACTTAAAATCTCTGACCCAGAATCCCCATTAACAATAATATCACAAACAACACCATGGGCTGAACTACAACAGGAGCTGTCAACAAGAGAATCGTCCCCTCCATTATTCCTTTTATGAGTTCATGTCTTAAGGAACATGGCCTATAAGTATCTCATGAATTATGGGCTAATATTTCTCTTTGAAATCAAAGTATTTGAGAGACAAATCAGATATTTTTGATGATTGTTGAACCAGGCACGGGCAAATTTCAGCATGCCAGGTGTTTTGAACTTTAACTCCTACCATTCCTAACAGGAGTGACGTTCAGGGAGCACACAACTCTGCTGTTACGTCAGCTCCACTGGTTGCCAATTTGCTACCAGGCACAATTCAAAGTGCTGGCTTTAGCCTATAAAGCCCTAAACTGTTCCGGCCCAGTTTATCTATCTGAACTTATCTCTCCTTATGAACCTTCCAGGAACTTGAGATCGTCCGAAGAGGCCCTGCTCTCGATCCCGCCTGCTTCACAAGCACGTTTAGCAGGAACAAGAGACAGGGCATTCTCTGTGGTGGTCCCTTGGCTGTGGAATTCCCTGCCTAGGGATATTAGATTAGCCTCCTCCCTCCTGACCTTTCGAAAACCTGGCTCTTTGAGCAAGCGTTTGGAACCTCAACATGACCAAAAAACACAAATCAGAAAATGAATTAGGAAGGACTAAGATGATAGAACGGTTGAGGATTTGAACAAGAAGACATAGTTTTTATAATTTTTATTATTCATTGTTTTTAAGGTTTTTAAATGTATTGTAATGTGGTTTTTTGTTTGTTTGTTTGTTTTTGTTTTATTTTTGCTTTTTACCGATGTATGTATTTTTATATATGGCATCTAATTGTTGCCAACTTGTACACCGCCCTGAGTTGCTTTCGGGCTGATATGGGTGGGATAGAAATGTCTTAAATAATAAATAAATGATGGGGAAAAGGAAAGGGTCCGAGGCTGTTAGGAATGGTGGGAGTTGAAGTCCAAAACACCTGGAGGGCAAAGTGTGCCCATGCCTGGCTAAACAAAAGTGCTCAAAACGTCTAGTTTTTAAAATTGAATCTAGGAATGAAACTTCCTTTTTCTGTTTTCCAAAAACGTATTCCTTGTATCTGTGTGAGTTTCTCTGTCTTCTTTTCCCGCTAGACAGAAGTTTAGCGCTTGGCTTGACAAGACCCGGCAAGACGGAGCCTGTAGGTTCCACCAGAACGCGACGCCATCTGAGAAAACAGCAGGAATCGGTGGATTCCGTGGACTCCTCGGTTTCTTCTCCTGCTGTGTCGCCCTCCTCCTCCTCCTCCTCCTGCTTACCTCACGTAACTCGGAAACGGTTCCAGATATACTCCAAGTCCCCCTTCTACCGAGCGGTCCCCTCTGGAGGCGGTGCCACAGCGGAGCGCTCCCCGGGCCTCCTCATTAAGGGTTTGGACGACCGGCCTCAGTTCACCACCCGGGGGACATTCAACCCTGAAAAAGGCAAACAGAAACTGAAGAATGTGAAGAACTCTCCCCCCAAAGCCAAAGAGCTCCCTGAGGGGGCTGCTGGGACAAGCAGGAAGAGGCACCCCGATGCCGCCGATTATGCCGGTCCCCAGCAGCTGGTGCTGCTTGGAAACAATGAGTTCATGGTATGAGCCAGTGTGTCGCAGCAGCATGGAGAACATCTTCTTCTAGGCATTGTCACTTCAGCACCATCCGTTGCCACCTCCATTGCCGGAACGGCTGCCATTCCCCAAGTCAGCTTCTCCTCTTGACTCATTGCTTGGAGCCCAGTGCAGAAGAGAGAGAGAGAGAGAGAGAGAGGAGGCCAACGCGTGAACAGAAGCCAGGGGAGGAAAGCTCCGTTGTGGCCTTAACTGATGCAACTTCTGGAACTCAATGAACTTCTGAGTGCACCAGGCTGGGAATGGGCAGCCAGACCATCAAGGTGAGGGGAGGACGGCTGCTAGGCCGTGACCGCGATTCCCATCAGCCCCCGATTGTGTCTTCTGTGGGCAAGGGAAGGTGCTTGCCAGCCAGGAGTGCTCGGAGGTCTGTTGGGAGTTCAGGGAGCTGGTCCTGATGGTCAGAGCTGCTGTGCTGACGTTGGGATTGGGTATTTGCACTGGGATCAATCAGCATGGACTTTCCTAGAAGAGGAAACGGAGCCCTTTGTTCAGAGCTATTTATAATGCACTCCATAGTGTTGTGGGACGATAGACAAACACTCCTGTCCACTCAAGCACTTCTCAGACATCCACCAGGTAGAAACCTGTGGTGGGAAATAATTATTTGTTTGTCTCTTTGTTTCCTTTCAAGCTCATTTGTTTCATAATGTTTTAATAACCAATGCCAGTTTGATTCCAGGTAGGTCGAAGCCAAATATTTGTGCCGAATTTCCAGTAGCCATAACCACCACGTTTCCTGCGTTGTCCAGGTGCAGGATCAGATTTTTGGGAAAGCAAAAGAAATATTAGGAGGTAGAACATGCGTTTTTTTTCTGACTGTGCCCCAAATTTGCAGGGAATTTGCATATTCTGCCAGACAGGAAAAAAACAAATGGGTGCCCCAAATAATCTGTGCAGGGAATTTGCAAATTCTGCCAGACAGGAAAAAAAAACAAATCACACTCAGAATTGCTTTATCGAAGCAAAACGCAATCCATCAGAAGGCTGCTGTTACTGCCAGTCTGTCAAAGAAGTGGCTTCACGTCATTTACTTTGCTGAACCATCAGTATTAAAAGGCACACACAAAAAACAAAACCCACCAGACTACTTGAAGCTCTTCGTTAGTATTATGGTTACTGAAGTTAAATGTAAATAAAACGTCTTATTTTTTACAAAAACTTTTGTTTTTTCCACAATGTGGGCCATTTTTTAATCTGGGACATTTAAGCCGGAAAGAAAAAACAACAACAGGGGAAAGTACTGGATACTTGAGATCTCTCCGCAGTAAGGAATTGTTATTTTCCAGCAGTTCTGGGGGATCACAGGATCTAGAAGTTTGCCCTTCTTGTTTAAATTACTGTGAATGCCTGGGAAGAGTCTTTCCTTTTTCACGTTGGCCGTAAGGTCTTCCAAACGGGCTCTTTGGAACCCCCTCCTTCATTGGGGCATGGGATTGCCCCATGGCCCTGTTGTAACAGCATGGTGGGAAACACTGGGTGGGATGTGTTGTCAAAGGCATTCATGGCCGGAATCATTGGGTTGACGTGAGTTTTCCAGGCTGTCTGGCCATGTTCCAGAAGCATTTTCTCCTGATGTTTCACCCACATCAATGGCAGGCATCCTCAGAGGTTGTGAGGTCTGTTGAACTAGATAAGGGAGGTTGTATCTGTTGAAGGTCCAGGGTGAGAGAAAGAACTCTTGTCTGTTGGAGGCAAGTGCGAATGTTGCAATTAATCCCCTTGATTAGCATTTATTTACAGTATTTATATTTATATAAATAGCATTTAATGGCCTTGCAATTTCAAGTCCTGGGTCGTTGCTGCCTGGGGGCATCCCTCGTTGGGAGGCGTTATCTGGCCCTGATTGTTTCTTGTGGACAAGCATGTGGATAATTTCAACAGAAAGGAGGAAACCATGAAAATGAACAAAATCTGGCTACCAGTATTTTAAAAGACTCTAAAATCGGGACAGTAAGTAAAGAGGAACGCTCAAAAAGCAGGGGAATTCCACACCTCCTAAGAAAGGATTCCCCCAGGCAGCTATGAGCCAGGCCTTGAAATTGCAAGGCCATTGAATGCTCATCAAGGTGGAAAGTTGCAACGTTCACACCCGCCTCCAGCAGACAAGAGTTCTTTCTCCCACCCTAAACATTCCACAGATATATAAACCTCACTGACTTAGTTTCCAACAGAACTCACAACCTCTGAGGATGCTGGCCATAGGTGTGGGCGAAATGTCAGGAGAGAATGCTTCTGGAACATGGCCAGACAGCCTGGAAAACGCACAGCCATCCAGTTTCTTCTGGGGAAGATAAAAGCCTTGTCTGTGTTTCTGCTTGTCCTGTCTTCCAGCTTTGCAGGCATTCTTCCCTTGCCCCCCAAGAACAGCCCATAAGTGTGGTGCTTCACCCCATTTTCCACTCCATGGTATTAAGTGAATGTACTCACCACCAGGAAGGACATTGGCTGCATCTAATTATTTTTAATGGAAATTTCAAAAGTAATTTATAAGTATCCTGAGTGTAAATTTTCAAAGCAGACTCTGTATTGTCAAAGGATATTATTTTGTCCTGTGTCATCTTCTAGACCTTTGACTTGTTTGAAGAAGAACTCGGATCAAGGAACATGTGTTGATTTGGCCCCCTCCGCCGGGTGGGGGGCCAAATGCAGTCAGGGATGCAGCCAACCAGCACGTCGTAACTCCATGTCTGGAAAGTTCCTTTCGTGTTTGTTTGGGTTTTTTTAATGTTATTTTCCTTATGTTCTGGAACGAGGCCGTCATATTTAAAGTGCAATTTGTGTAATATTTGGTAAATATGATACTCTATGGCTGTACAAAAAACAACTTGATGAACAAATAACCCTTCGCTTATTAAAGAACAAAGCAATGGCAAATAAAACCAGAGTGGCAGAGACGTTCCATATATTGTGATAGTTGTACCTCGGCATGGGTTTTTGCATTGCGGAATCAGGGAATTTTGAAAGGTGCAAACTAGCATTTGTGCAAGGTCGTTAGGATTTTTTTAACCACTTTGGATCGTTCCTCTGACCTTTGAAAAATCAGCCTTTGTGGTAAGTAACCGGCACTTCATTTTACCAATCATACAGCTAATTGAAAATTCAGAGAAAACCATGTAAATACAGCACTTCTAGGATTACCAGAACGTCAAATGTAGGGAGGATTATCCTTTGTAATCGGAGAGTGGGGTGAGCTCCCCCTGTCAGCCCCAGCTTCTGCCAACCTAACAGTTCGAAAACATACAAAGATGAGTAGATCAATAGGTACCGCCCCAGCTTCTGCTAACCTAGCAGTTCGAAAACATGCAAATGGGAGTAGATCAATAGGTACCGCCCCAGCTTCTGCCAACCTAACAGTTCGAAAACATGCAAATGGGAGTAGATCAGTAGGTACCGCTCCAACAAGAAGGTAACGGCATTCCATCCAGTTATGCCCTTGCGCTATGCTACTCTGCTGCTGAGTACGCATGCCCAGTGTGGAACACATCTCACCACGTTAAAACAGTGGATGTGGCTCTTAATGAGACATGCCGCATTATCACAGGGTGTCTGCGCCCTACACCACTGGAGAGATTGCTCTGCTTAGCTGGTATTGCACCACCTGACATCCGCCGGGAAGTAGCAGCCAATAGTGAAAGGACCAAGGCAGAGACATCTCCAGCTCATCCCTGTTTGGGTATCAGCCAGCACGTCAACAACTTAAATCAAGAAATAGTTTTCTAAGATCTACAGAGACACTCGCTGGAACACCCCAGCAAGTGAGAGTCCAAAAGTGGCAGGCTCAAACCCAGAACCTCAATCAATGGCTGATACCAAATGAGAGACTCCCCCCTGGGCACACAGAGACTGGGCGACTTGGAAGGCGCTGAACAGACTGCGCTCTGGCACCACGAGATGCAGAGCCAACCTCAAGAAATGGGGCCACAAAGTGGAATCCATGACATGCGAGTGTGGAGAAGAGTAAACCACTGACCACCTGCTACAATGCAACCTGAGCCCTGCCACCTGCACAATGGAGGACCTCCTTGCAGCAACACCAGAGGCACTCCAAGTGGCCAGATACTGGTCAAAGGACATTTAATCAACTACCAAGCTTGCAGATTTTGTGTTTTGTTTGTTTGTTTGTTTTGTTAAAAAAGTAATGCAACTGTCTGGTTACTCCTGACACGATAAATAAATAGACCATATTTATTTCAGGCCTGAAATGAAACCAGTTTAGCGGTATTCTATTTCCATTGCACTGTATCTGAATGATGCAGGGCTATATACACTGGGTAAATAAAATTGGGGTGAAATTGCACAAGGCAAAGTGATGGGATTTTGGAAATGGCGTGTAGAAAGGGTGTGTGTTTGGGCAATTGGCAATTGTCATTTGGAATGGATAATGTTGCAGTCGATGGATTTCAAAGACTTTTCTGATGATACAATGGTGTCCAGTTGAGGTGCCGTGTGATGGTTTGCAAGTGCTGGTTGTGCAGCAAGTGCCCGGAACAGCTTGCCTTTCTTCTCTGGCATCCAACTTTCCAAACTCGGGTTTCGAAACAAACACATGTCTGAAGTCTTGGTATAACTCCAACGTCAGTTTTTGAACATGTCACAAAGCAGCTTCTCCATAGGGGTGTTTCCGATGGTCCTGCGGAAAAAAAGCAGCTCGATACGGTCTGAAGAAATGAATTTCAGAGAAGGCAGGAGCAGCAAGAGCTTCCCAAACCTGAAAGGAGAAGGAGGAAAAATAGGGCATTGATTTCCATCAAATGGATCCAGGGCTGTGTTAAAAGGAACGTGGGAATCAGGGAGAGGGTGCCATGAGGAGAGGCAGATAAGAAAATTATTATGATTACTAGCCGCCCCCTGCCCATGCGTTGCTGTGGCCCAGCTTGGTGATCTGGAAAATAAAGTAATGAGAAAGTGGTGGTTTCTAATATATGTAATTTCTTTATGCTTGTGGGTAAACGGTATTTCTTGCTATTTCTTTGCCAGTGTTGATGTGGAGATTGTCTGGTTTGCCTACTCTGGAACATGCAACGTATCATTGTCCTTTTTGAGGTGTCCCTTTCAAATCTATGATATATATATATATGTGAATCATATCTATCAATATCTATCTATCTATGGCTGGATGGCTCTTTGTCAGGAGGGCTTTGATGACGTTTTCTTGCCCTGGTGAAGAGAGTTGGACTGGATGGCCTTAAGTGTTTTCTGTTGGTCATGGGGATTCTGTGTGGGAAATTTGCCCCAATTCTGTTGGTGGGCTTCAGAATGCTCTTTGATTGTAGGTGAACTATAAATCCCAGTAACTACAACTCCCAAATGTCAAGGTCTGTTTTCCTCCAAACGCCATCTGTGTTCATATTTGGGCATATTGAGTGTCCCTCGTATCATGATTATAACAATCTACATAAATAAAAATGTAATGTTTGTTTGTGGGATTAACAGAACTCAAAAACCACTGGGGGAATTGACACCGAATTTGGACACAAAACACCTAACAACCCAATGTATGTCCTTCCCTTTAAAAAATGATTTTGTCATTTGGGAGTTGTAGTTGCTGGGATTTATAGTTGAACTACAATCAAAGAGCATTCTGAACCCCACCAACGATGAATTAAACCAAACGTGGTACACATGACTCCCATGACTAACAAAAAACACTAGAAGGGGTTGATGGGCAGTGACCTTGAGTTTGGTCCAGCCCATCCTTGTTTGAGTCCACAGTGCTCTCTGGATGTCGGTGAACTACAACTCCCAAACTCAAGGTCACTGCCCATCAACCCCTTCTAGTGTTCTCTGTTGGTCATGGGAGTCATGTGTGCCACGTTTGGTTTAATTGCATCGTTGGTGGGGTTCAGAATGCTCTTTGATTGTAGTTGAACTATAAATCCCAGCAACTACAACTCCCAAATGACAAAATCATTTTTTAAAGGGAAGGACATACATTGGGTTGTTAGGTGTCTTGTGTCCAAATTCGGTGTCAATTCCCCCAGTGGTTTTTGAGTTCTGTTAATCCCACAAACAAACATTTCATTTTTATTTATATAGATTGTTATAATCATGATACGAGGGACATTCATTAAAGATATCCCCTGACCCACATCTATTTATCACAGGATGCTGGAACTGCATATGTGTAATGATATACATCTCTAGAGGTTATGTACCAATTTACAACTCGGAACTGATAACGGTCTTGATTTGACAGGAGCTGAAGTGGAGTGAGGTTTAATCATGGACCCAGTGGAAGACAGAGCAGTCCTCTTGTTCCGTTACTTGAAAGGCCGCACACCAAAGGACTTCTACAAGCGAGGTGTTTATATTTGCTTCAAAAGATGGGAGAAGTGTGTGTCCCTAGGTGACACCGATCGAGAGAAGGACTCAGAACTGGGCCAAGTTTCTTTGCTCTCTGTCCACAGGAAGTGGGTCAGGGGCAATCTTTCATGAACGCTCCTTGTATCTGCTTCTAGGGAAGAGCACATGCCTGCACCTACCTCACAGGCTGGCTTGGGTAATGTATCTGGTTATGCTGTCCCAGCATCACTTGGGACTGGTCCTGCAAATTCTCCACCTGGTCTGGATCCTTCAGGCCTCTTGTTTCTGTAATAATAATAATAATAATAATAATAATCTTTATTTATACCCAGCTCCAGCTCCCCCATGGGGACTCGGGGCGGTTTACATGAGGCCATGCCCATCAGTACAGTCAACACAATATAACACCAAAGCATAACAGAATTAGAAAATAAAAAACATAAAATGCAAAACCAATATAATAAGCGACACAGCAATATAAAATCGGACATTAGACACACAGGATTGCACGGAGCAGGGCCAAATTTAAGGATTAAAAAATTTAAAACACTGGGAGATTGGACAGTGGAAATTATTGGGGAGGGATCCGGGTTGAGGAAGGAATTAATTGCACGAACCCTAAAATAAGGTGCTTCTGAGGCCATTTGTGCGAAATTTGGTCAGGGAGTATCTTACATTCAATCATTGAAGGTACATTGGAATAACCAGCTTTTCAGATTCCTCCTGAAGATGACCAGCATGGGATCTTGCCTAATATCTCTGGGGAGTGAATTCCAGAGCCGGGGGGCCACCACAGAGAAGGCCCTCTCTCTGGTCCCCGCAAGTCGCACTTGCAATGCAGGCAGGAGCGAGAGAAGGGCCTCTCCGGAAGATCGAGGGTTGACTGCTCTCTGTAATTCGCCCTAGTTAATAATCTGGCTGCCACCTGTTAGACAAGTTGAAATTTCCGGGCCGTCATCAAGGGCAGCCCCATGTAGAGCGCATTGCAATAGTCCAATCTAGAGGTAACTAAGGTGTGGACCACCGTGGCCAAATCCGCCTTCACAAGGTACGGTCGCAGCTGGCGCATGACCTTCAATTTTGCGAAGGCTCTCCCAGCCACCGCCGACGCCTGTGCTTCAAGCGTCAGCGCTGAATCTAGGAGGACACCCAAGCTGCGGACCTGCGATTTCAGGGGGAGTGCAACCCCATCAAGCACAGGTTGCCATCCTATACCTCGATCTGGCCTACGATTGACCAGGAGGACCTCTGTCTTGTCAGGATTGATCCTCAGCTTATTGGTCCTCATCCAGACCATCACAGCGGTCAGGCACTCACCTAGCACTCGAGGGGCTTCCTTGGAATTAGGTGGAAAGAAGTAGTAGAGTTGGGCGTCGTCTGCATAGAGATGGCACCCAACTCCAAAACTCCGGATGACCTCTCGCAGCGGTTTCATGTAGATATTAAAAAGCATGGGGGACAGAATGGAACCTTGTGGGACCCCACAGGTCAAAGGCCAGGGGTCCGAGCAGGTGTCCCCCAGCTTCACCAGGAAGGACCGGAGCCATGACAAAGCCGTGCCCCCAAGGCCCATCCCGGAGAGGAGAGCCGTCCCAGAAGGATACCATGGTCGAACCAGAACGAAATTGTATTGGAGCAAGACTTGCTTGGAATTAAACCGGACGAAGAAGGACAAAGTACAAGAAAGCGTAGACTGTCTTGAAGTTTGCAGAAAAATGGCCTCCAACCTCCTCCTCGGTCTCTCACCTGGCTTGAAGAGTACAATGGCCTTCATACAGGCAAACTCTGCCGGGTCCACCGCCAGGGATTTGAAGCGGGCGATGACTTCCTGCAGGGCACGAATGTCCGTTCCGCCGGAGACAAGCTTTCCATTGAGAGTGGGAGCGAGATCGGATACAGAAAGCAAGGGGCACGTTTCCAGCGGCAAAGACCACTGGATGGCACAGAGCAGGAACAGTTCACTCCAGGCTTCCTCCAGTAAGATCACCTGCAAGCAGGAAAGCAGAGGGCTGAACCTCGGGATCATTTGGGGAGCGCGTGCTGCAAAAGGCCCATTTGTGACTCTTCAGCTGAAATTGAACTCCCATCATCCCCGACCATTAGCTATGTCCTCTTTGGTGAGGTCCTCTTAGATCAGGAGTGGGCAAACTTGGCCCCTCCTGGTGTTTTGGACTTCAATTCCCACCATTCCTAACAGTCTCGGGACCTTTCTTTTCCACCTCAGCCGCTTAAGTGGTGATGGCACGATCATCAGCATAGATGAAATTCTCCCTAAGGAAGAAATAGATCAACTTGGGCTTTCCAGGTGTTTTGGACTCCAACTCCCACCATTCCTAACAGCCTCAGGCCCCTTCCTTTTCCCCCTCAGTTGCTTAAGCTCCCTGCTTGAGCAGTGATGGCACGATCGTCAGCATAGATGAAATTCTCCCTAAGTAAAACATAGATCAACTTGGGCCCTCCGGGTGTTTGTAGGTGAACTACAAATCCAAAACCAAAGGACACTGCCTACCAAACCCTTCCAGTATTTTCTGTTCGTCATGGGAAAACTGTGTGCTAAGTTTGGTTCAATTCCATCGTTGGTGGGATTCAGAATGCTCTTTGATTGTAGGTGAACTATAAATCCCAGCAACTACAACTCCCAAATGACAAAATCATTTTTTTGAGTAAAGGACATACATTGGGTTGTTAGATGTCTTGTGTCCAAATTTGGTGTCAATTCTTCCAGTGGTTTTTGAGTTCTGTTAATCCCACAAACGAATATTACATTTTTATTTCTATAGGCTAGCCGTCCCCTGCCACATGTTGCTGTGGCCCAGTCTGTGTATATATGTTTTGTGTGTTTATGTATGTGTATATATGTGGTTTTGCACATGTGTTGTAATGTATTTTTTATTTTTTGGCTTTTGAAATCTCTTCCGCTGTGTTTTTCAGTGTTTTTATGAGTGATGGTCACTCACTCACACACACACACACACATATATATATTGTATTACATTATAATATTATGCTTCTGGAACATGGCCAGACAGCCCGAAAAACATGCAACAACCCATCCATCAATCCATCTATTCTACACCAACTAGCAGAGTAGGAACGTTAAGGAGTCCATATAATCCATATGTTTAATAAAACCATGTGTCGACTGTCGGAATCTCTTTCAAGCGCCATTTCTGAGCAGGTAGTGTTCTTGCCGCGATAGTTAAATACCGTATATACTCAAGTATAAGCCAACCCGAATATAAGCCGAGGCACCAAATCTACCACAAAAACTGGGAAAACATATTGACTTGAGTATAAGCCAAGGTTGGAAAATGCAGCCGCTACAGGTAAATTTCAAAATAAAAATAGATACCAATAAAATTACATTAATTCAGGCACCAGGAGGTGAAATATTTTTGAATATTTACATAAAACTGTAATTTGAGATAAGACTGCCCATTATTTTAACCTTCTTCAATGTAAATATACTTACACATCCTTCCAACAATAATAAAGAGAATAAAATAATACATGTAATAATAATAATAAAGTAAAATAATGGAAATGCAATAATAACAGTAATAATAGAGCAAAATAATAAATGCAATAATAATAAAGTATAACAAATGTAATAATGATAATAATAATAATAATATGATAAAATACTGTAAATGTAATTATAATAAAGAAAGTAAAATAATAAATGAAATAAAAATAATACTAATAACAGAATAAAAGAATAAATAACCTTGACTCGAGTATAAGCCGAGGGGAGCTTTTTCGGCCTAAAAAGGGGGCTGAAAAATTAGGCTTATTCTTGAGTATATACAGTAAGAATATATTTTGTCCTTATTCCTCCCTATCTCGAAGTCTGTTATGTTTAGTAAATAGAATTAAGGTTTTAAATTGAACTTCGTTTTTAGTATTTTTTTGGTAGTGTTTTTGTATTTTCCCCCAGTATTTCTTCTTTACATGATCACCAAGAATGGGAAAAGGTCCCTACATCTTCCCCAACATAGATTATTTTGCTTTTTGTAATACCTTGCTAACTGCTGGGGTGTTAAATGCTAGCAGAAAAACATACTCAAGATCAATAAACGTAAATGAAAATTGGTATAAGATGTTTTTCCTCCATTCTTGAACACTAAAAGGGTTGTTTGTGTTCTCTCGGCCAAACCACAGATAGTTCTGATCTGGACAGGGGACTCACCTGGTCTCGGAAAGGGAGGTTGGAGAAGACAGGTAGGTTCTTTGCCCACTTCACAGCCATGAAAAGGAGCCGGGCTGAAGTTTCGTAGACGCTCTCGGGGTTGGCGGTCGGATATGGGGAGACATGGGCCTCGCCCCCCGGGCGCTCCGGCTCATTGCCAGTTACGTCGATGTTCTCATCAGCTAAAGAAGAACAAGGCATCCATCAATCCAACAAACCCCACAACTTCTGAAGGGACCTGCCATAGCTGCAGGCAAAACGTCAGGAGAGAATGCTTCTGACGTCAGGCGAGAATGCTTCTACAACATGGCCGGACAGCCTGGAAAACTCACAACAATCCATCCATCAAGCCATCTATTCTACACCAACTAGCAGAGACAACCATTTGATCTTTTGCTGCATTGTTTACTGTCAAGAGGTTGCAATGAAAACCTACTCACCTGTAATTCTCAACCCACTAGGTGGCTTACTTACTTAGGCGATCCCTCGTAGTCCGAGTAGGATAGTCTTCCAGGGTGGGTCCATAGGTGACTGTGGAGCCCTATTCTTGACCTGCATCTTCTCCCATGGTGAGGGCATCAGTTTCCAGGTAGAAGGTGGTCCTGCTTGGGGTTGGCTTGACGCGCCTTCCTCTTGGCACGTTTCTCTCTTTTGCTCTCCATTCGTGCCTCTTCAAATTGCACAGCACTGCTGGTCACCACTGACCTCCACCTGGAGCACTCAAGGGCCAGGGCTTCCCAGTTCTCAGTGTCTATGTCACAGTTCTTAAGGTTGGCTTTGAGCCCATCTTTGAATCTCTTTTCCTGCCCACCAACATTTTGTTTTCCGTTCTTGAGTTCGGAGTAGAGCAACTGCTTTGGGAGACGGTGGTCGGGCATCCAGACAACGTGTCCGGTCCAGCGGAGTTGATGGCGGAGGACCATCGCTTCAATGCTGACGGTCTTTGCTTCTTCCAACACGCTGACGTTTGTCTGCTTGTCTTCCCAATAGATTTGAAGGATTTTCCGGAGGCAGCGCTGATGGAATTGTTCCAGGAGTTGCATGTGACATCTGTAGACAGTCCACGTCTTGCAGGCGTATATCAGGGTTGGGAGGAAAATAGCTTTATAAACAAGCACTTTGGTCTCTCTATGGCTGTCCCAGTCCTCAAACACTCTCTGCTTCATTCGGAAAACAGCTGCACTCACAGAGCTCAGGCGGTGTTGTATTTCAGTGTCAATATTGATTTTTATGGAGAGGTGGCTGCCAAGGTAGCGGAAATGGTCCACATTTTTGAATGTCCCACCATTAAGCTGTATCTCTGGCATTGGAGAGGCATTGGCTGGTGACTTCTGGAAGAGGACTTTGGTTTTCTCGATGTTCTATGACAGGCCGAGCTTCTCATAAGCTTCTGCGAAGGTGTTTAGAGTGGCTTGTAGATCTTCACTAGGTGGCAGCACAGGATAGCTCAATGCCCTTCTTTGACCGTAAGCACAATCAACAATAGCCAATCTATTATTGAATCCCGGTGTGGCCTATTACTTTGCTCCACCACTTGCATTTGTTTTAAGAATGCACCATTAAAGCATATAGGTTCCAGGTGCTGTAGGTCGTCCAGGTGTTTTGGACTTCAGTTCCCAGAATTCCTGTTCATTGGACAAAGCTGGGAATTGGAATCCCAAACACCCGAAGGACTAAAGGTTGGACCCTACTGTGATATGGATATATTAAATGAGAAAAAAAAGTTTTTCCCCACAAATAAAGCAGAGAGTGTTTGAGGATGGGGACATCCGTAGGGAGACCAAGGGGCTTGTTTATAAAGCGATTGTCCTCCCAACCCTGCTATACATCTGCGAGACGTGGACTGTCTACAGACGTCATATGCAACTCCTGGAACGATTCCATCAGCGCTGCCTCTGGAAAAACCTGCAAATCTCTTGGAAAGACAGGCGGACAAATGTCAGCATGCTGGAAGAAGCAAAGACCACCAGCATTGAAGCAATGGTCCTCCACCATCAGCTCTGCTGGACCGGTCACGTTGTCCGGATGCCCAACTATTGTCTCCCAAAGCAGTTGCTCTACTCCAAACTCAAGGACAGAAAAAGGAATGTTAGTGAGCCGGAAAAGAGATTGAAAGATGGCCTCAAAGCCAACCATAAGAACTATGGCATAGACACTGAGAACTGGGAAGCCCTGGCCCTTGAGTGCTCCAGCTGGAGGTCAGCTGTGACCAGCAGTGCTGTAGAATTTGAAGAGGCATGAATGGAAGGTGAAAGAGAGAAACGTGCCAAGAGGAAGAAGGCATGTCAAGCCAACCCCGACTGGGACCGCCTTCCACCTGGAAACTGATGCCCTCACTGCGGGAGAACATGCAGGTCAAGAATAGGGCTCCACAGCCACCTACAGACCCACCAGGACACTGATCTTGGAAGACGAGGGATCATCTAACTAAATAATTAGAAGAGAACTTATTTAATTGCACTACTATTTAGAAATCCAATGCTGTGCTTGGCAGTTAGGCACTAGAACTCTCTAGTGGGCCAAAGTTAGTGGTCCAAAGTTAGCATCGCCCTGAGGGGCATGAGTAGGCCAAATCCTTTTAGAGTTAGTGGTCCAAAGCTAGCGTCATCCTGAGGGGAGTGAGTAGGCCGAAGCCTGTTAACATTAGTGGGCCAAAACTAGTGTTGTCCTGAGGGGCGTGAGTAGGCCGAATCCTGTTAATGTTAGTGGGCCAAAACTAGCGTCATCCTGAGGGGAGTGAGTAGGCCGAAGCCTCTTACAGTTAGTGGGCCAAAGCTAGTGTTGTCCTGAGGGGCCTGAGTAGGCCGAATCCTGTTAACGTTAGTGGGCCAAAGCTAGTGTTGTCCTGAGGGGCCTGAGTAGGGTGATGCCTGTTAGAGTTAGTGGGCCAAAGCTAGCATTGCCCTGAGGGGCGTGAGTAGGCCGAAGCCTGTTAGAGTTAGTGGGCCAAAGCTAGCGTCATCCTGAGGGGCGTGAGTAGGCCGAAGCCTGTTAACGTTAGTGGGCCAAAGCTAGTGTTGTCCTGAGGGGTGTGAGTAGGCCGAAGCCTTAGTGTTAGTTTGTGGGCCTCAGTGAGGGAATGGCTCAGTCTGTGTGAGGAGGCTTCTCTGTGAGGTAGACCTCACAGTATGAGGAAGGCCGAGTATGAGAGAAGCCTCCTGTGTAAAGCTCCAATAGCAGCTACTATGTATTTGTTTATTTGTGTTATGGAAACCTTGTTATTGTAAATATTCTTTTACTACAAAGGAAAGCCTCCTAAGGAAGATATAACATTGCTCTATGTGTTTTTGGTTCTTTTTATCACTTTTGGCTCCTGGTGCTGGGCCATGCTGCTACTCTGCTATACATTTATGGGGAGGGTCTTTTGTTACTAAGCCCCCTCGCCCAGCACAAGCCATGTACCATCCTCGGGCTCCAGCTTGGCACATGTCTCCGCTGTCATCAGGCTGGCCATGAAGCGATGGTTGCTGGGGGGAGTCGGGGCCCGGGCCCTGGAAGCCCCCGTCACGGAGCAGGAGACGGCGGCCCTGTGGCTTGGTGGCAGCGAAGGGCAAGCCAGGGGCAGCGATGGCGGTGCCGCATCCCGCGTGGTCGCCAGGTGCTCGGGTTGCCGCTCCGAATCCAAATCAATGGCGTCAAGGCGGACTTGTGCGGTGCTGCGGGGCTGGCGTTCATTTTGTACCGCTGGGGGCAGAAATAGGAAAGAAAGGTGAGCCACTAACTGTCCTGATAGCACTGAAAACTTATTATTATTTGAAACACAACAAGATGAGTCCACAGCAGACACTCTGCTGGCTGTTGAATTGGATCACACATCGGACACTTCCCAAGTGTCTAGGACTGTGTGATGTATCGGCAAATAATGTGTGCAGATCCCAGTAAGGTGGCCTTCTGCAGCCGGCAGAAGGTAATTTTGTCTGCGCCAATTGTGTTTTTTAAGTGCAGGGCCAGGCCAAGGTCTTTAGGCACTGTACCCAGTGTGCCGATCCTCACTGGGACCACCTTTACTGGCTTGTGCCAGAGTCTTTGCAGTTTGATCTTTACATCCTCATATCATGTTGTTTCTCTTCAATTCTGTTGTCACCTGGTATTGCAACATTGACGATCCATACTTTGTTTTTTAACACGATTGTGAGGTCAGGAGTCTTGTGCTCCAAAACTCTGTCTGTCTGAATCCGGAAGTCCCAGAGGAGTTTGGCGTGTTTATTTTCTGTAACTTTTTCCGGCTTGTGATCCCACCAGTTTTTTGTCACAGGCAGACGGTGTTTGTGGCACAAGTTCCAATGAATCATCTTAGCAACGGTGTTGTGCCTCTGCTTGCAGTCTGTCTGCGCGATCTTCTTGTAGCAGCTGAGGATGGGATCTATTGTTTCATCTGCTTCCTTGCAGAGTCTACATTTGGGATCTGTTGTTGACTTTTCAATTCTGGCTTTGATGGCCTTGGTTCGAATGGCTTGTTCTTGGGCTGTCAGAATCAGGCCCTCTTTTGTCTCCTTCTTCCGAGTCCCATTTGTGAGCCACAGCCATGTTTTTTCTTTGTCAATTTGGCTCTCAATTTTTCCCAAGAACTGTCCATGGAGAGAGAGCCTTCTTTTGCCAGTTTTCTCTTCTGCTTTGGATTGTGTTTTTACGGTATTCCCTCTTTGTCATTTGCACTTTAAGCAGTTTACTACTCTCGACTTCCCTCAATGTTGGTTCTTGACTGCCTTTCCCATCATCTGCCAGTGCATGTTTCTTTTCTTCTACCGTTTGTTTCACTTGCAGAAGCCCTCTTCTCTCTGCCTCCTGATTTTCTGGGCAGGTAAAGTCTGCCGATATCACTACGCGGTTGTAATGCGTAGTGGATTGTCATCAGTTTTCTTGTTTTTCTGTCCAGATCCTCCAGCTCTGCTTGTGTCCAGTTCACAATCCCAGCCGTGTCTCTAATGACTGGGATGGCCCAGGGGTTGAGAGCCTTGATCGTATTTCTGCCATTTAATTTGCTCTTCAAAACTTTTCTGACTCTGGATATATTCTTTGCTGACCACATTTTTTCACATGGCCATGCTTGAATAGTGTCCAACTCTAGTATGCCCAGATATTTATAGGCTTCAGGCTGATTGCACTTTATGGTTTGTCCATTTGGCATCTCTATGCCCTCGCTGTGAGTAATTTCCCCTTTCTTTAATGCCACTGTGGCACATTTGTCTAGGTCAAACTCCATACTGATGTCAGTGCTGAAGATTCTGACTGTGTTGGTCAGTGACTTGATTTCAGTTTCTGGCTTTCCATAAAGCTTTAGATCATCTATGTACAGCAAGTGAGAGATATTATTATTATTATTATTATTATTATTATTAATCATCGAAGCAGAACTCCAAAATCTCAACCTTCCAAGCTCTGTTCTCCCATCTGTTATAGAACCCGCTGATCTATTTTACAACAACAGGGAAAGGCCATTCCCCGCGCCTTCTCCCCACTCCTTACAAGCGTACTCACCATCCTTGTTCATTCCTGCCTGTAGGCATTTCTTCAGGCGGCAGGCTTGGCATTGGTTCCTGTGTGCTTTGTCCACCGGACACATCCCTGTGCCAGCTTGACACCTGCAGGAAACAAGACAACATCGCAATGTATGAGGTGTCAGTTCTTCCACACTGCATCATCGTCTATCTGTGATTTTACGGCATCAGATCCATCCTGCAGAATTTTTGGCTTTTGCTATTTCATGAAATATTTTGCATTTTGCATTAGAAATGCCTTAGTGCTTCACTAACTCCACACATCCAAGAACTGTGTAGGATTCTGCAGCCGTTGGCAATTAAAGTAGCATTAAAATCACAAAATCGCAACAAAGAACCCCTAAACAAGGTAAACATTAATTTAGACAGGCGTTTGACATTTGATTTATTCTGAAAGATGATTTTAATGGGCATATGATATTTATGTTTTTAATATGTTTTGATGAATTTTAATTGTAATTTAGTGCTTTTTAATACAATTACCCCCTGGTGGCACAGCAGGTTAAACCGCTGGGCTGCTGAACTTGCTGACCAAAAGGTTGGTAGTTTGAATCCAGGGAGCAAGATGAGCTCCCACTGTTAGGCCCAGCCTCTGCCAACATAGCAGTTCAAAAAAAATGAAAATGTGAGTAGATCAGTAGGTACTGCTCTGGTGGGAAGGTAATGGAGCTCCATGCAGTCATGTTGGCCACATGACCTTGGAGGTGTCTATGGACAACGCCGGCTCTTCGGCTTAGAAATGGAGATGAGCACCACCCCCCAGAGTCAGACACGACTGGACTTAATATCAGGGGAAACCTTAACTTTTACTAATCTGAATAGGAATACAGTGTTCCCTCACTGATCACGGGTGTTATGTTCCAGGACCACCCGCAATAAGTGAAAATCTGCCAAGTAGGGACTTAATATCAAGGGGAAACCTTTACTTTTACCTTAAAGTCACATAATCACAACAAAGAAACTCTGAACAAGGTAAATGTTACTTTAGACAGACGTTTGGTGTGTGATTTACTTCTGGCAGAAGGGTGTTTTAATGGGTATATTATGATATTAATGCTTTTTACTATGTTTTGGTGTTTTTTAATTGTAATTTAGTGCTTTTTAATACATCTTTTAAAATACTTTTGTACCATGTAGGTTTTTAGCGCACCTAGTTCTTAACTTAGCTGTATTGAATCCCATGCTGGAAGAAATGTAGGCCAGAATATAATAAAATGTGTTGTCAAAGGCTTTCATAGACAGAATCACTGGGTTGTTGTGAGTTTTCTGGGCTGTATGCCTATGTTCCAGAAGCATTCTCTCCTGACATTTCACCCACATCTCTGGCAGGCATCCTCAGAGGTTGTGATGTCTGTTGGAAACAAGGCAAGTGGGGAACATTCCACAGATATATAGACCCCACTTGCCTAGTTTCCAACAGACCTCACAACCTCTGAGGATGCCTGCTGTAGATGTGGGCAAAACATCAGGAGAGAATGCTTCTGGAGCATGGCCAGACAGCCCGGAAGATCCACAGCAACCCACTAAAATAAAATTTCAACACTATTTGTGACCTCATTCTAGATATTTAGAAACAACACATATAAGAAGAAGGAGAAGGAGAGCTTTCCGAGATGTGTGGAGAAGCATTCTCTCCTGACGTTTTGCCCACATCTATAGCAGACATCCTCACAGGTAGTGAGGTTTGTTGGAAACTAGGCAAGTGGGGAACATTCTACAGATATATAAACCTCACTTTCCTAGTTTCCAACAGACCTCACAACCTCTGAGGATGCCTGCCATAGATGTGGGTGAAACATCAGGAGAGAATACTTCTGGAGCATGGTGATACAGCCTGGAATATCCACAGCAACCCACTAAAATAAAATTTCAATACTAACTGTGACCTCATTCTAGACATTTAGAGACAGCATGTATAAGGAGGAAGAGGCGGAGGAGGAGGAGGAGGAGGAGAAGAAGAAGACTTCAACAACAACAACAACAACAACAACAACAACAACAACAACATGTATGTCCAATGTCACCTCCCTTCTTGTGATTTGGAAAAAAGGGACTGAGCATTTGCAAGTATGGAGAAGAAGGTGTCAGATGCAATTGGTGAGTAAATCCACTTTCCCTTTGATGCACCTCCCATTGATCCACACTAGATTTGCTCTGAAGTCTTCTGTTGTTTTCTTTACTTTGCTCCACAAGAGCAGTGAATTGTGCCAGGTTCAAAAATGGCCACCTCCTTACCTATAGATGAGCTTTCTGCGGACACTGCGCTTAAAGAAGCCGCTGCAGCCGTTGCAGGCATAGATGCCGTAGTGCTTTCCGCTGCTGGTATCGCCACACACTTTACACAATAAGACAGGGCTTCCAACTTTTCCAGGAGCCATGCTGAGCCCTACTGGGGAGATGCAAAGGTCATTATRGCACAAAGCTTTGTTACCATCATAATGAAGCGTTAGTTTCCTAGAATCATAAACTTGGAAAAGACCCCAAGGGCCATCCAGTCCACCCCCCCCCCCCCCCCCCCCACCCCCAATCTTTACCACACTGCAAAGTTCCTCTCCAGGCATTGTGGAATTAAAAACGTTGGGATAACAACACATTGGAAATAATCATGAATGACTCTATTGCGTTGCTGTGYGTTTTCCGGGCTGTATAACCATGTTCCAGAAGCATTCTCTCCTGACGTTTTTCCCACATCTGTGGCAGGCATCCTTGGAGTTTGTGAGGTCTGTTGAAGGTAGGCAAGTGAGGGTAATATATCCAGCATGGGGGAACGAACTCTTGTCTGCTTGAGGCAAGTGTGAATGTTGCAGTTGGCCACCTTGATTAGCACTGAATGGCCTTGCAGCTTCAAAGCCTGCCTGCTTCCTACCTGGAGTTGGTCTTTTGTTGTGAGGTGTTCGCTGGCCCTGATTGATTCTTGATTCTGGTCTGGAATTCCCCCCCCCCCTTTTTTTAAATTAGTTTTTATTGTGCAAAATTTTCTGGTAAATACATTGATAAGAATATTTACAAAAAAGGTAATAAACAATGATAGAGGAAAGCAATGTGTGAGAGAAGAAAAAAAAGGGGAGAAAAAGAGGAAGAGAGAGAAAAAAAGAAAAAAATTCACCAAAAACCCAGAGTCCCCTGTGTCCGAGCTTCCCAGTGTCTTCAAAAAGTAAAATTATTTTGGTGGTAATCGCGGTCTTCTTCTTATACGTTTCCGACGTTGCTTCTATTGACTTATCATCTTCGAATATTGGATAGATCTATTACTAATGTCCGTTTTCTTGATGGTATAAAGTCCTTAAAGCCTGCCCAGTTCGTCTTTTTCTGTGATTTGTTCAATCTTTGGGACAGGCAGTCCATCTGGATTATGTCAAATATCTTCATGATCCATTCATCGGTTGTTGGGATTTCAGATTGTTTCCATATTTTGGCCAGTAATATTCTGGCCGCTGTACTTAGTAAAAAGAACATTTTTTCTTGATTCACGTTTAGTTTAGGGTGGGATATACCCAATAGATAAATTTCTGGGGATTGCGGGAAGTTAACTTTTAAGATTTTTTGGAAATTCCCCCTTTTTTTGAGTGTCGTTCTTTATTTACTGTTCTGATTTTATAGTTTTTTAAAATATTGGTAGTGAGATTTTGTTCATGTTCATGGTTTCCTCCTTTCTGTGGAAATTGTCCACATGCTTCTTGTGGATTTCAGTGGCTTCCCTGTGTAGTCTGACATGGTGGTTGTGAGAGTGGTCCAGCATTTCTGTGTTCTCCAATAATATGTTGTGTCCAGGTTAGTTAGGTGCTCTGCTATGGCTGACTTCTCTGGTTGAAGTAGTCTGCCATGCCTTTCATTGTCTTGTTGAAGGCTTTCATGGCTGGAATCACAGGGTTGTTGTAGGTTTTTTTGGGCTCTATGGCCATGTTCTAGAGGCATTCTCTCCTGACATTTCACCTGCATCTATGGCAAGCATCCTCAGAGGTAGTGAGGCTTATTGGAACTAGGAAAATTGGGTTTACATATCTGTGGAATGACCAGGGTGGGACAAAGAACTTTTGTCTGCTGGAGCTTGGCGGGAATGTTTCAACTGACCACCTTGATTAGCATTTGATGGCCTGGCAGTTGATTGGTGTGGCTTGTTATCTTTTGTTGTCCAACCTGGATACAGCATATTATTTGAGAACACAGAAATGCTGGACTATTCTAACAACCACCATGTCAGACTACACAGAGAAGCCACTGAAATCCATAAGCATGTGGACAATTTCAACAGAAAGGAGGAAACCACGAAAATGAACAAAATCTGGCCAATGGTATTAAAAAAAACTCTAAAATTACAACAGCAAAACAACAGAGAGGAAACAATCTGGGACTTCTAATCCCCTCTCAACAAAAGATTGCCCCAGGCACTAACAAGCCACACCAAAGAACTGCCAGGCCATCAAATGCTAATCAAGGTGGCCAGTTGAAACATTCACACCTAGCTCCAACAGACAAGAATTCTTTGTACCACCCTGGTCATTCCACAGATATATAAACCCAATTTTCCTAGTTCCAACAGACCTCTGAGGATGCTTGCCATAGATGCAGGCGAAACGTCAGGAGAGAATGCTTCTAGAACATGGCCATAGCCCGAAAAAACCTACAACAACCCAGTGCCTTTCATGTTCCTTGATTCGTGGTTGGGCAATGCTGCTGCGTTTGTAGACTTGTCCACAGCTGCATGGTATATGGTAGATTCCTGCAGAGGTGAGAGGATTCCTCTTGTCCTTTGCTGAACGGAGCAGTTGTTGGCTTTTCTTGGGGGGGCTGGAGATAGTCTGTAGGTTGCGTTTCTTCATCAGCTTCCCAATGCGGTCAGTGGTTCCCTTGACGTATGGCAAGAACACTTTTCCTCTGGGTGGATCTTTGTCTTGACTCTTGTGGCTTTTTCTTGGCCTTGCAGCTCTTCTGATGTCTATGGTGGAGTCTCCATGGGCCTCTGCTCCGCTGTTGCATGCTTCCAGAAAAGCCACTTGATTCTTACACAGCCAGATAGGCAGATGATAATAAACGTTTATGGAGTAATATCAAAAGGCTGTTGAGACATGGTGACTGGCCCAAGTTCACCCAGGAAGCTTTATGATAAAGCGAGGCTAGATATAATATGCCTGGCCCTCCAGGTGTTTTGGACTTCAACTCCCACCATTCCTCACAGCCTCAGCCCCTTTCCTTTCCTTTCTCAGCTGAGGGGGAAAAGGAAAGGACCCGAGGCTGTGAGGAATGGTGGGAGTTGAAGTCCAAAACACCTGGAGGGCCTAAGTTGGCCCATGCCTGATCTAAGAGGACCTTACCCAAAGAGGACTCATGTTTCCATCCAACTTTCTAACTTGGGGGCCGCATGCTAGCGCTCCTTGCTAGGAGGACTGGCTGCACAGTGATGGAAAGAAGGAAGAAAAGGAGGAAGGAAAGAGAGAAGGAAGGGACAGATAGAAGGGGAAGGAGGGAGGAAAGAGACAAAAGGGAGGGAAGGAAGGGCTGAAGAGAACGATCGAAGGAAGGAAGAAGAAAGGAAACAGAAGGAAAGAAAAAAAAGGGAGAGAAGGAATGAAGGAAAAAGAGGGTGAGGGAAGGAGGGAGGAAAGATGGAAGGAAGGACGAATGGATGGAAGAGGAGGTTGGAAGGAGAAAGAGGGAGGGAAGAGGAAGGAAAGACAAAAGGGAGGAAGGAAAAAAAAGAGGGAAGGATGGAAGGAAGCAAAAGAGGAAAAGAGAGAAGGAAGGAATGACAAAAAGGAGGGAAGGACGAGGAAGGGGAAGGGATGGAAGGAAGGAAGGAAGGAAGGAAGGAAGGAAGGAAGGAAGGAAGGAAGGAAGGAGGAAAGAAAAAAGGGAAGGGAGGAAAGAGGGAGGGAAGGAAGGAGAGAGGGAAGGGATGGAAGGATGAATGGAAGGATGGATGGTAGAAAGGAAGCGAAGGAGGGAAAAAAGAGAGAAGGAAGGAAAGACAAAAGGGAGGGAAGAACGAAAAGGGGAAGGGGAAGATGGATGGAAGGAAGGAAGGAAGGAAGGAAGGAAGGAAGGAAGGAAGGGAAGAGAAAAGGAAAGAGAGAAGGAAGAAAGAAAAAGGGAAGGAAGAGAAAGGAAAGAAGGAAGGGAGCAAGCAAGGAAGGAAGGAGGGAAAGAAGGAAGAAAAGAAGGAAGGAAGGAAGGAAGGAAGGAAGGAAGGAAGGAAGGAAGGAAGGAAGGAAGGACAAAAGGGAGGGAAGGACGAAAAGGGGAAGGGAAGGAAGGAAGGAAGGGTGAAAGGAAGGAAGGAAGGAAGGAAGGAAGGAAGGAAGGAAGGAGAGAAGGAAAGAAAAAAAAGGGTGAAAGGGAAGGAGAAAGAAGGAAGGAAGATTAGGATGGTGAGAGAGGAGGGCCTGAGAAAAGAGCCCAAAGGGCCATATCCGGCTCCCGGGCCTGGGTTTGCCCGTACCTGCTCCAACTGCTAGGAGAAAGCTTAGACCTGGATGGGGCACAGATGCAATAACGAAGAGGGCAATGTCGCTCAAAGAAGAGCAATGAGACTTACCTGTTGGGCTCCCTTCCAGTCCTTTGTTCATCGCAGACTCTGTTGGGGAGGCAGCCATGCCTGCACTTGATTCGGGCGGTTAGGTCTTGAATTCCTTGGGCTTTCGTACGTCTTCTTGGTGTGTTACTGCGCCAGCCTCTTCCTCCTCAGATGTTGACCAAGACTCAAGAGAAGTCGTTGCAAACCCAGGCTGATGTGGACCAGCTGCTATCTACAGTTGGAACTGGGCAAGTGGTTGGAAGTGTCCCTTCAATGCAAGGCAGCCTCTTCCATGCGAAATGGGCACGACCATGAGCCTATCCCAATCCTGGACAGGCGTGCTCTTCCCTGAGGGTCTCTGGGTACTTTGTGTGTCGGTGTGAGTCCTGCCCGCGTGCGAGCCCCCTTCTCTTCAAGGCTCCCGTGGCGCAGTGGGGAAGATTAGCCCTTAACGCTGTGTAAGCAGATGCCTCTCTGTCATCCTCTTAATCTTTAGCCTCTCTCCAAAGGTGGAACCATCAGCCACACAAAGAGGAATGGGAAAGGTGCCGAAGAACCGTCGCCGAGGCCCGAACGGTGCCAGAAAGCTGTAACCAGACCTCCCTCTGACACCGAATCTGTCCGCACCATTTCTCTCCGCAGCCGCTTAACAAAACGGGGCCGTGCCATGCTCTTGCCATCCATCTATGGGGCAATTACCACTCATTTGTTCAGCCATCAGCTGGCGGGCCAGAAATTAAGATTGGCTGTGTTCTCTAGACATTTGATCTACCTCAGCCTTCACTCCCCACCAGTCACCACAACATTGTCTACTTTGGCTGGCACCCTGAGATCCAATCGAAGAGGTTTTTGGAGAGGGAGGAGGGCTCACCTGCAAGGACAGCTGCTGATCCGAACTAAATATTTCATGGGGCATTCATTTTTCAGGCAAGTGAGGCCACCGGCTCTCCAAATAGACCCTGGAGGGATGAGGAAAGTTGCCAAAGAAATCACAGGGCCGCGAGGAGAAGAAAAATACCCAAATTCAAGTCCTGAACTCTTGGGGTGACCTTGGAAGAAGCTTCTGGGATCAAGCTAAAATTGTGATTGTGGCGTGGTTCATGCACTGTGTGTAGGAGGACTATCACATGAAAGAGGAATTTTATTTAGCTTTTCTTATTGAGTTTGAAAAAGTTAACTTTTTAACTTCCCCAAATTTCCCTTCCAGTATAAATAGTGGCTAGGTTGGCTGGTGGATTCTGTACTTCACCTTTGAACTTTTGCAAAATCCTTGGCCAGGCTCTCATAGCAATTTAACTATACAGTTACACCAGCATAAGTACTTTTGGAGGCATGGTGCAAAAAGCTATCCAATACCTTCTGGTGTCATGGATTTTCTGCAACTGCGAAATAGCAGTGCCTCAGTCCTCTTGGCTGCTGTTTGGTCATGGAGTAAATCAAGGCACTGTGGAACTGCCATTGCACAATGGGAGTGGCAGAGAAGGCTCCCTGGCAACTGAGATATGGGCAGATACCATCCAGTTGCTATTGTAACTTGTGGCAAGGGAGGGAGGATAAAAGTAAAGAAGGGAAGACAAATGGAAGAAAGGAAGGAAGGATAAAAGGGAGGGAGGGAGGAAAGAAGGAAGAGAGGGAGGAAAATTGGAGGAAGGAATGAAGGGAGGGAGAGAGGTAGGGAGGAAAGGAGGAAGAAAGGAAAGAAGGATAAAAAGGAGGGAGGGAGGAAAGAAGTAAGAGGGAGGAAAATTGAAGGATAAAAGGAAGGAAAGGGAAGGAGGAAGGATGGAAAGAAAGAAGGAAAAGGAAGGAAGGATTAAAGGGAGGAGGGAGGAGAGGGAGGAGAAAAGAAAGAAGTAAGGAAGGAAAGAAGAATAAAAAGGAAGGAGGGAGGAAAGAAGGGAGGGAGGAAAAATGGAAAGAAGCATAAAATGGAGGAATGAAAGAAGGGAGGGAGAGGTAGGGAGGAAGGAAGGAAAGAAAAGGAGGGAGGGAAGGAAAAGGAAAGGAATAAAGGGAAGGAAAGAAGGAAGAAAGGAGGGAGGAAAGAAGGAAGAAGGAAGAAGGAAAAAAGGAGGAGGAAGAAAGAAGGAAGAGAGGGAGGAAAGAAGGAAAAAGGGAAGGGAAAGGAGGAGGAAGGATGGATGGAAAGAAGGAAGGAGGAAAAGAAAAAAGGAAGGAAGGATAAAACCTTTTTTTTTTTTTTTTTTTTTTGGGAGGTAGGGAGGGAGGGAGGGAGGGAGGGAGTTTTTTTTTTCTTTTTTTTTTGTTAAGGGTAGGAGGTTCTTGCTTGGGATTGTTTGATTTGTCTTCTGGTAGAAAATGCATGGAGAGAGAAGAGGATAGGAAGGAAGGAAGGAAGGAAGGAAGGAAGGAAGGAAGGAAGGAAGGAAGGAAGGAAGGAAGAAGTAAGGAAGGAAAGAAGAATAAAAAGGAGGGAGGAAAGAAGGGAGGGAGGAAAAATGGAAAGAAGCATAAAATGGAGGAATGAAAGAACGGAGGAGAGAGGTAGGGAGGAAGGAAGGAAGGAAGGAAGGAAGGAAGGAAGGAAGGAAGGGAAAGGAAAGGAAGGGAGGAAGGAAAGAAAAGGAGGGAGGGAGGAAAATGGAAAGGAGGATAAAAGGGGAAGGAAAGAAGGAAAGAGAGGAGAGGAAAGAAGGAAGGAAGGAAAAAAGGAGGGAGGAGAAAGAGGAAGGAGGGAGGAAAAGAAGGAAAAAGGAAGGAAAGAAGGAAGGGAAAGGGGAAGGAGGAAGAGAGGAAAGAAGGAAGGGAGAAGAAGAAAAAGAAGGAAGAAAAGGGAGGAAGGAGGAAGGAGAAAAAGGAAGAAGGAAGGAAGGAAGGAAAAAGGAGGGGAGGAAGAAGGAGGAAGAAAATGGAAGGAAGGAAAAAGGGAGGGAGGGAGGAAGAAAAGGAGAGGGAGGGAGGAAGGAAGGATAAAAGGGAAGAAGGGAGGAAGGATAAAAGGAAGGGAAAAGGAAGGAATGATGGGAGAGAGAGAGGGATGGAGAGGGGAAGAAGGATAAAAGGGAAGAAGGAAAAGAAGGAAGAAGGATAAAAGGAAGGAAGGAAGGGTTGAAGTCATTGAGCAGAACAATTTTACTGGTCCCTAGAGCATGGGGGGCAGGGTGGGGGAGGGGATGCCAGTCTCCCATATAAAAGAAGTGGGCTCCGGGCAACTGATTTCTCCAACATATGGATCCCAGTGGAGGGCCACATTCCAATACTTGTTTAGCGTTTCATCTCTGATGCCCTGTGAGAGATGCCGGGCCAGGAAGGCAGGGAGAGGGGGTGAAGGGGTTGTCACCTTCGCTGCTCCTCTCTGCCACCTCCCGCAAGCAGATGTACTTCAGGCCCTCTTTGCCACAATCTGGTGGCTAATCCATTTACTCTGTGGAAGGAAGGGGGGGGGGCGGGAGACAACAGGGCAGGCTGGAGGGGAGTCTGCTAGTTTAACAAAAACAATTAGCCCCCGGATTGAGATGGCAGCTCTTGAGTCAATCCCTGCAGCCAGTCAGAGACCAGATGGTGATGGATGCTTCATCAGCCATTAGTGACAAGGTCATAATTAGTCTGCAACCCTGATCTCTCTCTCTTCCTCCTCTCCTCCCTCTTTGCAGGAGACCCTTCATAAGCAGGGAGCTGCCTAGATTCACACAGACATTAGTACTCTATAGAGCAGGCACGGGCCAATACATGCCTCTCCAGCATATCCTGATGCCTCCAAGGAAAAAGTAGGAGCCGTCTTTCTGAAATTAGGAGCCAGCCTTTGGCTCTGTAGATGGGCAGAGAGGGAGAGGCTATAAACAATTCCTAACAGCCTCAGTCCCATTCCTTTCCCCCCTCAGCCGCTTAAGCTGAGTGCAGGGCCCATAACCAAAGTTAAGAGGAGAGCTGGATCCATAACCAAAGTTAAGCAGAGTGCTCAGCCCATAATCAAAGTTAAGCTGCGTGCTGGGCCCATAACCAAAGTTAAGTTGAGTGCTGGCCTCATAACCAAAGTTAAGTGGAGTGCTGGGCCCATAACCAAAGTTAAGCGGAATGCTGGGCCCATAACCGAAGTTAAGCTGAGTGCTGGGCCCATAACCAAAGTTAAGCTGAGTGCTGGGCCCATAACCAAAGTTAAGCGGAATGCTGGGCCCATAACCAAAGTTAAGCTGTGTGCTGGGCCCATAACCAAAGTTAAGCTGAGTGCTGGGCCCATAACCAAAGTTAAGCTGAGTGCTGGGCCCATAACCAAAGTTAAGCGGAATGCTGGGCCCATAACCAAAGTTAAGCTGTGTGCTGGGCCCATAACCAAAGTTAAGCGGAATGCTGGGCCCATAACCGAAACTGAGTGCTGGGCCCATAACCAAATAAGCTCAGTGCTAGGCCCATAACCAATCTGAAGATGACTCCTGGGCCCATAACCAATGTTAAGCTGAGTCCTGGAACCATAACCAATGTTAAGCTGAGTGCTGGGCCCATAACCAAAGTTAAGCTGAGTGCTGGGCCCATAACCAAGGTTAAGCTGAGTGCTGGGCCCATAATTAGGGTTAAACTGAGAGCTGGGCCCATAACCAAGGTTAAGTTGAGTGCTGGGCCCATAACCAGGGTTAAGCTGAGTGCTGGGCCCATAATCAAAGTTAAGCTGAGTGCTGGGCCCATAACCAAGGTTAAGCTGAGTGCTGGGCCCATAATTAGGGTTAAACTGAGAGCTGGGCCCATAACCAAGGTTAAGTTGAGTGCTGGGCCCATAACCAGGGTTAAGCTGAGTGCTGGGCCCATAACCAAAGTTAAGCTGAGTGCTGGGCTCATAACCAAAGATAAGCGTAGTGCTCGGCCCATAACCAAAGTTAAGCTAAGCGCCGGGCCCATAACCAAAGTTAAGCTGAGTGCTGGGCCCATAACCAAGGTTAAGCTGAGTGCTGGGCCCATACCCGAAGTTAAGCTGAGTGCTGGACCCATAACCGAATTAAGCTGAGTGCTGGGCCCATAACCAAAGTTAAACTGAGTGCTGGGCCCATAACAAAAGATAAGCTGGGTGCTGGGCCCATAACCAACGCTTAAGCAACTGGGGGGGGGGGGGAGAGGGGAAAGGGCCTGAGGCTCCTAGGAATGGTGGGAGTTGCAGTCCAAAGCATCTGGAGGGCCCAAGTTGGCCCATGCATGATATATACATTATTGTACTGTTTTTTGCTTTGTTGTGAGTTATTCATTGTTGTATTGTTGTTGTTATGTTTTTTATGATGTATTGGGCTCGGCCTTTTGTAAGCCGCACCAAGTCCTGCGGGAGATGGTAGCGGGGTATAAACAAAGGTTTATTATATACCCTCATTCCCAAAGCTGGTCCCTATCTAGCCTATGGATGCTGAATCTGTAGACATGGAAACATTCATGCTTTTCATTTTCTATTGACTTGCATGTAAGGATGGCCATTGGTAGAATT